CGCGATGTCGTATCAAAAGTTGTTGAACGTTACATAACAGTCGCCGACTCTCGGTGTTGAACCAAAAGCCTGGGTTTGTTCAACTTGTCAATTGTGGATGCTCTAGCCTGTCTGTCTGCTAAGTTGCAGCGATATCCAAACTGTTATCCCAATAATCGGTTGATGGTGTTGGAACCGAGCGCCAGCTAGTCATGATGCTATTTTTCCCACCACTGCGGCAGGTGCAAACCACGCGTGGCACTCATACTTAAGTACTTAAGTACAGGCTATAAGCTACTTGGCGGTTTCAAGTTGCATACAGTGTAGCTTCTTGCTTCAACTTTAAGCTTTATGTATTGAGAGGCAATGCTCGTCGTCCCCTTACATGAGCATGCAACAAATACCGTCCTTACTATTCCAGACATCCAAAGTCTTGAATACAACATTGTGCTCATCAATCATTTCCTCACGCCGGTATCATGACTTTGTTCGTTTCTCCTACACCAGGTTAGCTTCCTTTCCTTTCTTGTTTTGAGGTTTAAACGAACAAGCTACTTTTTATAGGTGGCGCAGGCCGTGTACCACTCCATGCCCCCACTATCATAGGTGTAGCATCGTCAAGAGGTACTCGTGGGTGAGCACTCTTTCTCACCCCTTGTCGCGCACCTGAGGTTCAGTCTTTGTTTTTGCAGTCACCAGGAAGATTACTATGCTTTTGCATCATTACTCTTGGATCCTGAGGGGTTACAGGCAGGCTTGAAGAGAACACTCGGCATCGATTGGACCCCAAAGAACATCAGTGATCCGTTAACACGTCAGGTAGTCTTTGTCGGCCTTTATGACGGGTATGTATCGCACCCATCTTGACACACAGCAGCCGTTGACACCATGCAGACATGGCGGATCTACCGTTTCTCAGTTTTTGCGTCAGGAATTGCATGGGTTATTCGAATCCGTCGACAAGGCTCACATCCCAGAGTTGTATCTGTGGATCAAGGATCAAGGGGGTTATTTTAAGAGGTTCCGTGGGGGTGCCCTTGCTCCCTGGATAAATCAGTCCAACGGAACGCCTCCGCTAGATCTCGAGGCACGTGCTACCCAGGCATTCTTTGAAGTTGGTGAGCAACATTGTCTCGCCCATTTACGTTTACAAATGGGGTAAGTTTAGATCGCCTCCTCTCTATTGAGAGTGAAGCCAAAACATGTGGAGCGACAGCGTCCGTCGCGATCCTCCACTCCCTTGATACCCGCCCGTTCTTCTCGTCCACAAAACTTGTTTTGACAGTCGCTCATGCTGGGTTAGTCATATTTTCAATGAACACAGACATATGTTTAGAAAACATGCAAATAGCGATGCTCGAGTACTCCTTTGTGGCACCAACGACTGTCTTGTCCGCCCGATGACCGAGAATCATCACCCCGATACCCTTATAGAGGCCACACGTCTCCGACGGATGATGGGTTCATCACTTATCACTGATTCGTTTGGCGAGTCTCGGTAAGCCAAAACAACGTCTTCCATTATCGTGTCCCGTTAATGATCTTGCAGCTGGATGGGTGCTCTGGCAAATACGAGAGCGTGAGCAGCACACCTGCCTGCTTCTAGTGATTTGCTGATGTCAGTCTTAGCCTCGGAGATCTCAAGTGGAAGCCGTACGGCGTGACTCCAGAACCAGATGTTCGAACCATGCTGCTGGAAGGTGTTATACTTCCTGTGGAGTGTTATTATAGCTTCTTACATCATTGACAGGCACCAAATGGGCGTACATGATCATCGTCTCCGATGGTGTGTCATCCATACTATCCGATCAAGAAATAGTCGATGTTGCCCGAGGCGCACCCAGCCCAAAGAAAGCTGCCGAGCAAATCTTATCATACTCTGAAGAGCTGGGTGGGGAAGACAATGCAACGGTTGTAGTTGTACCCTTGTCTGGTTGGAGAAAGATTCAAGGGCCTGACAGGACCCGCGCTCTTCGTGAGTATCGAAGTCAGCAAGCGGGTAAGTGTTTCGAGTTTTCTTTTTTCCCGTTGATTAACAGTGTCGTGATAGTCGGAAGTGAGCGACAGAGAAGAATGTGATTTAGAGGATTCATCAGTTATACCCTCCGTTAGCGTACATAATTCACTACATTATTGTAGACATTTATTTGACTTCATTTGTCTGGTGTGTTAGTACAATTAAATCTGCGCTACGGCATGTCCATCCGACCTTGGGTCACACCCGGCAGCCCAAACAGTCTTCCCAGACGCATCAACGATCTTCTGAATAATCTGTCCACGACCCATTATCTCCCTCCCCCAGCCACTGACGACATTGGCGTCATGACCCATAGCTAAAGCGACCCATTCAGAAAAGTGATGCCCAGAAAACAAAAAGCCATACCGCGAAGCTTCTGAATAGTTGACATGGGAATAGCGTCTTCAAAGTTAATCCCACCGCTGACCACACCGAAGGCAGCAGGATCCTTGTCATCTGGGTCAGGCATTCCAGCTGAGATGCAGAATCGAGGGGCATCAAGGGCAGCTTGGGCAGTGAATCCACGCAGCATGTTAAGCAGGACCTGGACGTGACCTTGGGGCTGTATGATGTTCATTTAATCACTATATCTACGGGCACTAGAGGGGTGCGAGTACATACCTGCATGAAACCACCCATTACACCGTAGGAAAGGAACAAATCGCCCCCTCGTAACGCCATTGCAGGGATGATGGTGTGGTATGGCCGCTTTCCTCCCTACAAGAATGGCACAATTCAATAGGCTGCACTGTTAAATTTGCTGTATGATATACCTGTAAGCAGTTAGGGTGACCCTCCTGCAGAACGAATCCGGCACCCCTGTTCTGAAGAGTAAACCCGCATCCCTTGGGTATAGCTTCATATAAAAAATTCAGTATCGTCTAAACTGTGGCGCGAATTGATGTCACCTGCTGTCCCAAATCCTTTGGTTGTAAAGTATCAAGGCGTGCATTCACGGATAAACTGAATGCCCTACCTGCATAATTGCTCTGAATAAAACTACATGCATTTCCCCACTGATCCGAAGCTGAAACACGAGAACGCTTAGTAAATGGACGCTGCACAAGGCTGCTTTGTCTATCATACCAGTGAAGTAGACCGTATCAGATGAGTTTACTGGGTTTCCCTAGCCGACTGTGAATAAATTAAACGCGAATGACCATCGGACAAGACTCACGTGAACGATGTTGGGGTTTCTAGCTTGGGCGTTGAATAGAGCTGCGCGTTTGGAAAGATATTCCTACAGCTTGGATTAGATGCGACGGAGTAATGCAAGCTCAAAGGCTAACCTTGCTTAGTAGTTCATCGACCGGGATTTTGTTGAACTCAGGATCAGTCACGTAGTATTGTGTGTCTGCTGCCCGTCAGTTGTGAAACAGAAGCAAGTCATGTAATGATCTCACCCGCAAAGGCGAGACTAAATAAAAGAGACATAAAGACCATGAATCCAGAGTATTAATATTCGATCACTAATACGCACCGCAGAGCCTCAATGAGTGCATGGAGATACTCGGCAGAGTTGTGTTCTAATTCCAGGAGGGACGGAATCTTTCCTTGTATTTGCATTTGCTCGAGAATGCCAAGAGCGACCAATGCAGTGATGCCTGGCAATGAGCATTAGTCATGCTCAGTGGAGACTCGTTCATCTTCACCTTGACCATTGGGAGGACACTACATTACGATAAAGTCAGCATCCACCCGTAAACCACACTATCCACGGCTCACCTCATAAACAGTAACATCCCCAGCATAAGTGTATTTGATCGGTTCTACGAATGACGTCTCGTGCTTTGCAAGATCGTCAAGCTCCATAACACCCCCTTTACTTTGAATGAGCTCCACTATAGCTTCTGCGATACGACCTTTATAGAAACCATCCTTTCCTTGCTCCGCGACAGCGCGGAAAGTCTTGGCAAGGTTGGGGAACTTCATGATTTGACCTGGAAGAGGTGCTTTCCCATTCAAAAGCATTTCATGTCCATTCGGCGATGCATTTTGTATCAACTTTTCCGAGCGCTGCCACTGTAGACAAATCAGCAACTTGCCCAACATGAATAAAGGCTGAACTCGCATTATAACTGTGAACTTCAGATACTGGAACTCTACAACCAAGAGTAGTCAATAAACTTGGCGATTAGTGGGATAAACATTACGGACCCTTCCTCAGCGAGCCTAATCGCAGGCGCCAGAACTTCAGCGACGGTTAGTTTTCCACTTCCGAACGTTTCCACAGTGTCGACCCACGCAGCAGCAGCACCTAGTCGTTTGTTCATTCATAGTGTGATCAGAGGTGTCAAAAAACAAACCTGGGACGGTGACACAGTTGAGGTCTGTGAGAGGAATCTGGGCGCCTTTAACACCTCGTTGACGCATGTAATCGACCGACAACTTCTGAGGAGAGTGACCAGAGCCATTCATCGCCTTTATGGCTTTCGTTTTGGCATCGTAGAAGAGACAAAAGGCATCCCTATTTCGCTCTCAGATTGGAATTGTGCACTTGCTCTTGGAACAGACCCACCCTCCTATGCCGCAGCAACTTGGCTCGGTCACATTAAGAGCGGCAGAGGTTGCAACAGCAGCATCAGCTACGAACGAGAGCACGCAGTGTCGGTAGAAGCTGTAATCGAGAACACCGGCACTCACCTGCATTCCCGCCTTTCCTTAGGATTTCGAGTCCAGCTTCCGCTGCGAGAGGTTGGGAACATGCGACGACACCCTTGGTACCATAGACTTGGGATCGTCGACTTGGAAATTGCTGCAACACGAGATCAGGTTGGTCTACTTTACTCCAATTGACTTTCATTGCGGAGAATGCGGAGGGAATGAGAAATACGGAGGTGAGGAGCTACGAGACCTCAATATTCTTGTTGGTTAAAAACGGACTGCCTAGCGCTCACACACTATCAGATCGTGTTTTGTGCTCACATGAGCTCACATGAATGTGACCACCGAGCCTCCCGGAACCCCGCAGTCAAATGGTATATGATTAGTACGGAACGAGAGTATTACATAACAATCAGAGGAGGTGCTGTGATATCGGGCATCGGAGGTCAATCGGAGGTGACTGTCTATTTTTCGTCATGTCTCTAGAATTCCGTTACCAATCGGCATCGACGGAGTACCAGAAAATACAAACAGAACTGGCAAGTTTGGTGGAGAATCGCACTCGTCTCGATGCCCAGCTTTCCGAGAATGAGATGGTCAAAAAGGTTCGCCGAACATCTTTCGCAAACTCATTTGTACCAACTCCATCTTCCAGGAGTTCGCGCAGTTAACCCCCAGTAATACTGTCTATAAACTTGTGGGACCTGTATTGGTGCCTCAAGATCAGAATGAGGCCAAATCCAATGTGGAGACACGTCTGGAATTTATCAAGAGCGAAATGTCACTGGTTTCATGTCCGAGTTGAATGCAGGACTCATCAGTATCACAGAAAACGCGTAGATGGACAAATAAATGATGGCGAGGACAGGTCGGAGAAAAAGAAGAATGAGGTATTGTCACTTGCCCGTTATTCCCAATGACAAGTTTGACCCGACAATCCATTGTGTCGCAGCTCGTCGAAATCCAAACGAAGCTTCAACAGGATCAATCCACGCCAAATTCTTAGACGAATGTTGCTGTGAAGATACCTTGGAATCGAGTTGCTGGTCTCTACAGGAGTGCCAACTCACTTGAACGATTGACTTGTACTAATAACCGCGCGATCACCCCGAGTGCTACTCGTACAATGTACACCATATATATACACTACTAAAGACTACATATGACAGATCAACACATTCTGAACCATCATTGAAAGGCTGCTCGTGTCAATACAAACCTCTCATAGAAACCGAGTGCGACTGTTTTTGATGGACCAAGGCTCCTCGCCTTGATCATCCCAAGCTCTCGCATAGCAACATCCCAGGGAAATTGACCAGCGGTGTTTGGGCATTCGTGAATATATGCGTAGGAAGCTTTGAGCCTTGCCACCTCCTCCGATGAGAAGAAAAGAAAAGATGAAAGGTCCGGGGCAGCAGTGAAATCACGAGCGAGGGAGCGAAGAATATCTTGCCGCCGTTCAATTTTAAGGCCAGAGAAACTACGACGGATACTCTTCTTGTGCTCTTCACGCATCTTTTCGACGTGTTCGCGTATCTTGGAGAGTTCCATTTCCAGTGTCAAAGCAGCATACTCATTGCTGTACTTCACACGCTGGACCCTTGACTCGGCATCCTGCCATGGCTTCTCGAGAGAGGAATCTCTGTGACCGTGGTGTTTGGAAAAAGCGCTATCGACCTGTTGCAGTTTCAGGTCCCGGTATTTCCGAGCATGGCTCATAATCGCATCCATAACAAATTCTGTCATGCCTTTGGGACGCTGAGCGTTGATGTCGTTGGTTTCCGGTTTCTCCTCTCCACACTCTTTCCACTCTGGAGAGCGCTTGTGGTAGAGCTTTGTATCGCTCTTTATGACCTCCGGTAAAACAGTTAATCCACTCTTCGCTCCATCGAGAATATTGCAAAACCTGTGGTTATATAAATGTGTGTTCCACTACTACAACAACCGCGACCTACATGTAAGCCAAGCGAATGGTTTCACTATGCGCATATCCAAGGGTGTACACCGCCACGTCGTGTAGGTTCGAGTACTTTCCGACTGACGATATGTCACGCAAACCTCCTAACAAAAATGACTGCAGGCGAGGTATGAGATCGTCGAATTCGCTTCCTTGGTGTTGTTCCAAAAAATCATCGACTCGTAGGGTGTTCTTATGGAAATTCTCGAAGAGATTATCAGGCGGATGAGAATATTTGAGGTCGGCATTGTTGAAGTGCGACACTATGGACGGCTGCCAAACAGCAATTGCCTTGTCCCCATCGTAATCGCCTAATTGTTGCTCAGTATCTTGACATAGATACGATTTCATAATTTGATGTACCTCCAGCAAGAAGATCTGCAAAGCGGCGAGTTCCCTGCACAGAGCACACTATCACGTCTGTGTAGCGCCTGAGCTCCGGTTTTTCGACAGCTCTGACCTGCCTCCAAATCATTAAGATGCGAAAGACATAGTAGACGACAGATCAGCATGCCTTCTGAGTATCTGTCGGCAGTTTACAAGGATGCCGTGCGAGCTATTATCGGTTCAGCGTCTGTAATGAGTCGAGGAGCGACATTAAATAACACTGACCAGAACATCACCCAATACAACATTTGACTCTGTTCCATCAGGACAGAGGAATTTCGAATCCTTCGAGAGAATTTGCACTTCGTCAGGAGCCAATGTTCCAGAAGGGTCTAAGGTGCACAATGGTCAAATAAACGAAGCCTTAATTATTGATAACCTCGCACCTGGCACAATCCATCCCATGCAAGACATGGGCACCTCGATTCTATATCGTTGCACAAAGTTGTCGACCATCGTCTTAAGAACATGGCGAAGCTTGTCAGCGAGGACTGGGCAATCGCGAGGGGTGAAACCAGAGTCAAGCATGACCATTACCGTTTCTTCAAGAGAAGAAGGGCAACCTGAGATCTCGTCACCCCACCAAGCGACTGAGCGAGGAATTTCGATGACCGCATTCAGATCGTCTTCGTCATCATCTTCAATGTCGTCGTCTTTGACGGCGAAACCTCTTGATCGAGCCTCTCCACCAGATTCACGAGCTAATCTGGATCCAACCACGGCGCCGGCTCTGGCAACACTATGCCATAGACGATACATGGCATCTGGACCATCCCAGTCAAGCAAACTGTTGACGATAGCATCCAAACCTTCCTTCATCAGATCAATAAATACTGAGTGGGGAACACCATTTTCAGCAAGATTCACTATGGTCTCTGCAGCAAGGCGGGAGGGAGAACGCATATGAGACGACCGTAGCACATCAATTGTTAAGTGACTAGGTGATAGTTTTTGAGTTTGAGGATACTTGACTTTGATTTGCGATTCGCGCAACCAAACTCGAGGGACGTCGGAACAATTTTCCCATGAATCAGGATGCAGGAGTAGGAGTCCCTATAGGAGGATATTTATTTGACTTTCCCAACACTCGAGCAAGTGTCTGTTACCTTGGCGCCAGCGATTCTACATTGTATTGCCGTCGGTGTTGTGTCCCATTGCAAGAGCTCGCGTAACGCCTTCAAGGCAATTTTGTTAATATACCCGCAGCCATCTGTCATGTCTGGACCCCCCGGGTCTTCGGCGCAGAAGTCAGTTTTCACTACATAGTTAATAAGAATACCAATAGCTTACTTTCTTCTTTCAAACATATGATATTTTCCCGATTGATGGTAATACCTGGGACAGAGTTCGAAAGTCCCAATGCAAACCGCGAGGACCATTTTGCCACAGTCTGAAACGCATCAGTGAAGTTCCCGAACTCTCAGGACTGTTGCCAACCTGAGCTGTATTATAATATATAGGGTTATGCCAGTCGAGATAATCCTCCAGAGACGGCGGTGAAGGGTGAGCATGAGAAGGAATTCGACCACATCCCGTCGAAGAATTAGTTGCCACGAGAAAAACACTTCCATCTCTTGCATAAAATGCCCGATAAATCAGACCACAGAGGAGAAAGTGTTGCGAAAAAAACTCCACAAGGCCATGCTGAGGCTTGTTTAGAATATTCCTCGGCACCTTCACGCGTAGGAAATTTTTTGAACCATACTGTCGGGTTAGTCTCGACGAGGACCCAAGCTCTGGCGGACTGAGTTGAATGCGATATTCAGGCGTTGTAGTCTTCTTATCGATAGCCCTCAAAGTTGCACCAAAATGCACTTTCCCTCCATACCAACCATCTGCCTGTCGCTGGAACCCGTCAAAACTATCACCCATTGCAAGAGCAAGTTCGTGCTCTCGGTCAAGCTCTTTCCAAGGCGACTTGTTATGATATCAGTTATCGACCATCGCAAACCAAAGGAGCACTGTACCAGAACTGCCTTTTCCTTCACGAAGAATCCTTCTTCTTCGCCCATTGAGTTATGGCATGCTGCAAACACCTGAGCCACGCGTGGGGTAGCTTCTTGGTTTGTGCCACGGAGCTTATCCAAGTCGGGGATATGGATGTCCTCGTATGCAAGAACATCGTAACTGACCATTTTGGCAATCAGCCACTGTACCCCAAAGGATATGTTTTTACTGTCAAAATAAGCTTGTAGGTTTCGATCGTGAGCCTGTGAACTTCGTCAAGAAGAGTCTCGAACCCGCGCAAGAAGCACCCACGATTGTATGGATTTTAATTTCTGCATCGCCGATTCTCGCACTCTTAGTACGTGAAGACAAGGAATTGTCAGGAGGCTCCTCTTTTTTCCGTTTACCTAGGACAGAGGACCAACTGCTCGAAGGTGAAGCCGAATCCGCTGAATCCGACGAGCCAACAGACATAGCTGAAAGCGGTTGGGCAGAACTGGAGTCAACAGTGGCAATATTGTTCGCAGTGCCATTCAAGACTGTGACTAGCTGTTAGGCTCTCAGATCACATCGACGATGAGTTAACTCGCCCTCTTCTGGCATATTGCACATCATATCACTCAGGTCTTCCAGACCGGAATAGACAGATGATTGCTATGATTTTAGTGTTAGTTATGCGAGAAAGATACCAGAATAGGAGCTAATTGGAGACTGACTGTTGATGAGATCGAGTCGCATGAAGCACTCCTTTCCACTGGTAGTGGAATAACAGGAACGAGTGCAGAATTAGCCTCTTGGTGATGTGGAGTGGGTCCATGTCCATAACTATGTCACTTCACACGCAAAATGCAAGATCAAAACAATCGTACCTTCTGCGAATTCCCACTCGTCGTCTACTAAAATCTCCTCTTGTACCTCGCGGTAATAAGCCCGTGCGATACCCCTCGACATCCCTAGGCACACAAAATACGTGCAAGACGTACTAGTTCCTAGTAAATGTGAGTTCAAAAAATTGGGACGAGGACGATGTGAAAAATGTAGTGGGGACCAAGTTATTGCAGGCCAACTTGAGCTGGATCAGACTGATCATCCAAAGAGATCATCCAAAGAAACACGATTGGAAAGCTCCGAGTCGCTCAAGATAGAAGGTGTGCGATTCAGCTGAAACGTTGTTGACAATGAGGCTAGTTGCAAATAGTAATATTATAGATGGATTCAAGTTGAAGTCGCGATTTCGGATTGACTGACTTCGAACGTTGAACCGTAGCATGCAAGGTTGTGACCGTGTACACCAGATTCTTTTGCAACATTGCACCAAATCACAATTTGATCTGTCGATCGTCTCTCCTCGCTGCTGAAATTGGCGTGCGTGTTGCGTGTTGCGGTGTCAAGACCACTGCTAAAGAGCCATGGGAAGTAAAGAGCATGATTACAAACATATTGCTACTGCATAAATATAAACCCTATACGTGATATTGATAGCCCATCAGCTTTCCGTTCTTGACTGGGCCCTCAAACGGTTCCTTCCCATTCGTGAAGTGTACCAGCTCGAGTAACCCAGCCTCGATGTCACCGAACCCTCAAAACAAGGGTTCTCCAGACGTGAAGCTTTGCATCATTTGGGCGTGAAAGACAACAAACATCCACAGGACTGGGTCAGTCGAAAGCATGTTAGTAGCACATATATTTGAAATGAATGCTTATTGTATGAGTGCCTCTACATGACGAGTATGAACAAGGACTCGAAGCGCAGTCTAGAATGCCATGCAGACTCCGGAGGTTTGGTCAACTAGAAATTGGACCATGGAAAACCAGAACCAAAATCACGGAACAGACTACATTGGGCGAGCAAGTTCGTCTGTGCAAGTGAACAGACGTACACATTAACTTGGTGTCATCACACCCTTATGACTGTTGTGCAGCCTGCATGTGTGCCAAATCCCGCTCTGTCTCTGGACTCTTCAAGATCTTTTCCAGTTTAAAGCGTTTCCGCGCGGATATTGGAGGGCAGTTTCGTATTAACACGGCATCGTTCAATCGAAGGACTACTCCATGACTTAGCATATGTGCGGAGAATGACATAGTGGCGACAGACCTTCTTGTTCGTCGTGTGTTAGAATCTTTTTGCTTCGTTCAATGCGCTGAAGCGGCAGGGTCAGCATACCTATTCTTCGTAGGGCCAAATTGAAAGTGTACTTTTCCGGTTAATTTATGGATGACATGGCGTGAAACAGTCACAGTGGCTGTCTTGTGCATGCAGCCGACTTTAGTGACTATTCCTGTTAATGCCATGGGGGGCATGGTAGGCAAATAGAATGAGTTTGAACTTGCGATGCTACTGTTTGGACTCTTTACAGCGTGGGAACATTGACGTGACTAACTCTTAGTGTTGTGGGCAGAAGTCTGCCATTCTGCCAATGGCAATTGGCAAGCGGCAATTGCCGGCAGTAGGTCGAGGGCCTTTGGCAGAAGTCGGCAGAAATCAATGTGAATCTTATTTGTACTACGAGCAAATAGCATATGTTTGATGTTCAAAAAAGTGTATCTGAGCCTCTCTGCACACCAGAATGTCGTCAAAAAAGTCCAAGGGCCGCCCCACCCGAGCAATCATCGATCATCACCAACCACTTTGTCCAACAGTACAAAGTCCCAAATTCATCCAATCGTTATTTTTACAAATGCAACTACTGTTCAACATCTATAGAAGGTGTACACCTCAAACATGTTCTTGACTGGAAATGCACTTGATTGGTGGGAAACCCTCCACTCTCCACCAAGTTCCAACTGATTGATACTGCTGCAAGTGAGGTAACGCACATATCTTGTTTTCGGGAGCCGAAGTACTTCGGAATGCTAACAGGGCACCACACACTCCTTGTTTTCGAGAGCTTTGGGGAGCTGAAGAATTTCGGAAGGGTAGGGCACTCATCACTCCGACATGACATTTTAGGACTACTAAAATACCGTCCCCCGTTACTCGTCTGAAACTTTTCGGTTCCCTGGAATTGCATTACTTCAAGGTACGAGCAATCACCATTCAAACTGCGTGTACAGCCATTCAATGACCCCCATCACTTCATAACAGCTGGACAACGCATGATCAAAATTTTTATTGACACACAGGATATATTAGACCGTTCACCCTCCACAGTACGGGATCCCTCGTCACAAAATACCTTCCACATTGGTCACATATTTTGAAAACCTGGTCCCAGTTCCAGATACTCACAGCGGCCAGCCAGGAGACCTATTTTGAAACTATTCATCAGAACTACACTATCCTGTACTTGTCCGAGGGGGAGATAGGTGGACACGCGTTGGTATCCACCATGACTCGTTGATCCTTGAGTAGTAGCGGTACCTTGAGCAGATACTTTGTATTAATTAGTTGTGTGCCGAATTGTATTTGTACCTCCAACTCACAAGTGCGATGACGCTGATCGATTAGTCGAATAAATGGTCGCAGGTTTGCTGAGGTCACACCGACCAAACCAGATTTGTCGAAAATCAGGCCAGAGCGAGACGTGGAATCGAAGATAACCGTTGAAGTAGGGGCGTAATGTTATGCGAGTTGGGACTCGGCAGGAAGGTGCACCTAGGTGAAAAAAAAAACATATCAAGTGTTGGAAGTTTATTAACCAACGTGAAGACTACATATGTGATATGTTGATATAGCTATTTTGATGAAAGTCAACGGTCCTTCGTAGGCGGCGGCGTTGGAGCGTTCATAGTATGGTAAATGTCACGGTCCGAACTTCGAAGGGGTGAATGAATGGGAGCTAGAGCGTGATGGCGACCGCATGATTTTGATTCGAGTGGTGTAAACAGTGGGTGGGTGAATAAGTTATAATTCGGATTACACGAAAGGAGATGGGTTTTTGTCGAACGCAGGTATTGAACTGAATCGGAACGTACATGGATGAGTGAGCAGCGGGCGTGTTGGGACATCGACAGACAAGCCTAGGCCCAAGAATAAAACAAAGATGGGCTCCTCGGGGTCTTGCAGGGTCTTAAAGGTGCTCGTACCTTGAACATCTTCTGGAAACCGAGAGTTTTCGGACGAGTAACAGGGGACTACTACAGTCATTCATAATCGAGCATCCTTGTAGCGGCGACGTTCTGTTCGGTGTCGAACTTCTATGATGATCACGTATGTATATTTGCTATAAAGTATGGAACTAGAGTGCCTTTCTGACCCCTCTAATTCATCAAGCCATGCTTGCCGCCGTTCTGCTGCTCGCTCTGCCGTTCTGCACCGCAGAGTCAGCTTCCAGTTATGCAGGATCAACCGTCGTTGATTCTTATCCTCCCCCCGGTGCCACCAACACTGCTATCGACGCTTACTTCCCGGATGCATCTCAAGTCGGTTACGCAGGTCCAACGCCTAGTCAGTGATAATGTTAATTGTATCCTGTGTTCTAATCAAAAAATTCAGCTGGTGCTGAACCTGCGGCCATTGTCACTGCTATCCCGTTCTCCAAGGTCGAATACGTATTTCCCTTGTCGAGGCCCAATTCGGCAGACGGTGCAAACAATACTTTCAATGTGATGCGTCACTGGGGCAACTTGTCGCCCTTCTACTCTGTGGAGTCGTTTGGTCTTCCTGGTGCATCCCCTGTCATCCCGGAAGGGTGTGGTATCAACGCAGTGCATCTCTTGATGCGCCATGGCGCCCGCTATCCAACCACTGGCTCCGGAGTTTCTCAATTGGCCTCTGATATTCATGCTGCTGCATCGAAAGAAGGCCTCAGTGTCACTGGTGATTTGGAATTCTTGGCAACCTGGACATATAAGTTGGGCGCGGAGACCTTGACGCCTTTCGGCCGCAACTCGCTGTACGTTCGCTGTCCTCTACGATACTTTCACTGACGCCCCCCTCCATCAGCTTCAGCAATGGGGTTGCCTTCCGCTACAGATATGGCGAGTTGCTTAATGCCTTCACGGACCTCCCAGTATTCCGTACTACTTCTGAAGGTTTGCCTGCATCGAACGTTTGTTTCACAATGCGCTCTGATGGCTTGCTTATGTCGTACAGATCGCATGGTAGATTCTGCGTGAGAGAAATTCATTCATCTTTCTACGTGCGCTGTGCCTGATAATGCTATCGATAGCCTGAACTTTGCTGCAGGCTTCTTTGGGGTCAGAACTTACGAGACCGACTATCATCAGGAGATTATCATCGAGGAGAACAACTTCAACAACACCCTCGCTCCTTATGATGTGTGCCCCAACGCCAATACGGAGGATGTTGGTTACCTCGGTGATATTCAGGCTAGTAAATGGGCGAATATCTATCTCAAAGATGCTCGAAAGCGCTTGCAACCAATGATCCAAGGATTTAATTTGACCATCTCACAATTGGTTAATATGCAGGAAATGTGCGCCTATGAGGTAATCGCATTATTTACATGGTCTTCATGGATTTCTGATATCCCGCAGACCGTGGCCCTCGGGTATTCCAAGTTTTGCGACCTTTTCACTGAGAAAGAATGGGAAGGATACGAATATTACAATGGTATGTTCCCTCAAATGATTCCTTGCTGAGCTCGCCGGTGATCTCTATTTGCAGATCTTAGTGAGCACATTGAGCGGTAAACTCGCAGCCTGAATGACTAATGACTTCATCATGAACAAAGCTTTCTGGTACAGCGACGGACCGGGTAATCCAGCAGCAGCAGCGCAGGGCCTTGGCTATGTTCAAGAACTAGTCTCACGTCTCACTCATACTCCCATCAGTGTCTGGAACAGCAGCACCAACAGCACTCTTGACTCGAGCAACATCACATTCCCTCTTAATCAACCTATATATGTTGACGCTAGCCACGACGTGATCATTTCCACTAGTATGTTACCGCTTCCTTCCTCTCCAATTCAAGACTACTGACGGAAGGGCTCAGTCACCACTGCTCTGAACTTCACCAGTCTAGCTACAACTGGTCCTCTGCCAACCGACCATATACCCCCTCATCGTGTACGCAGTCTCATAGACTACCGCTTACCTCCATGTCTGACCAGTCACATCAGTCTTACATTGTTAGCCAGATTGCACCTTTCGCCTGTCAGCTTGTAGCGCAGGTGCTCAGTTGCCCAGCCTCAGAGGAGCCAACTCATATCCGGTTCCTTCTGAACGATGGTGTGATGCCACTGACGGGGATCCATGGTTGCACGGAAGATTCGAACGGTCTCTGCGCGCTGCCCAGCTTCATCAGCGGGATGCATGAACGAATTGGGGAGATCAACTATGCGCATGATTGCTTCGCCAATTATACCGTGCCCAATCCCGACAACATAATCGATGGAAGATACCCTAGTTAAAAGGACGATTGAGTATTTGGTCGTATATACACAAGTTGTCAGCTTTTGGATAATGAACGTTGACCTCTAGTAGACAAAGGCCGAGCTTCGCCGGCAGCAACAAGTACTAATGACGTGTGCTATCTTGTGGAGAACGCATCAAAGGTATATTAATTGTACATCATCAGTGGGTATCCTTTGGAAAGTAGCGAGCCAGGGCAACAATCGAGAAAAGCTGCGGAAAATTCACTGTCGGACAATATGCTACATGTGTGACGAGATTGAGCACATTTGAATGGACAGGTTCTCACAAATCACTGAGCTGGATATAACTTTCAGAAAGCACAACTTAGAGGGTTAGATTTATCAACACTAACAGGTAAAGTTGACGTCAAGCCCCTTGTGTCGCACCGGTATGCTAGCTGTCAGAATAACTGTTCAACTAAGTCAGAAGATGTTTGATCACTGACATTCCTTTCCTTTGAGAGGTTCGTCCAATGGAGGGTCACCGCCAAGCTGACATCGTTTTGGTGAACTGGAAAGCTTAGGCGACGCATATTTAACAGTGGTAGTAACACATTCAACTCGTGAAGGTTTCACTCGGTCACATGAGATTGCGAGTGCAGGAGGAATTAAAAGCGATGAACGAGAATAACTTACAGTGAATATACAGTGAACAAGTCTGATGGAATCAACACGCGCAACGTATGGACGGTGTTTAAGTTCTCGGCATCGCATTCTCGTTGAATCATCTTCTTGAACGCCCATAAGTTACGGATGATAACTGGAAAACTTTCTGAGGAAAAGCTGAAGCCATCGTGGGGCACGAAAGTGAATTCTTTTTCATGGACAGACTATCAAATAAGAGAGGTTTCAGCGCAATGACGGGCCGTAGTCAAGATGGACCTCCGAGGATCTATACACCAAAAATATTGTCAGTAGGTTTCGAACCAACTCCAAGAGAAACAGATTTTGACTCTGTTGTGGAACTAGTGATAACCACTTGGCTAAGACCAGTTCAATGGACCTCTGAGGATACCATCCATGAGCCAATGTCAAGGTGTGTTCCAATAAAAAAGACCTGTTATTCGGCAAGTTTCGAACCTGCACAGTTGAAGAGAAACAGATTTTGATTCTGTTGCGGTAACCACTTTGCTAAGACAAGTTAAGATGAACAACTGAAGAAACCATCCATGAGTGAATCTTCAAGCTTCAAAGCGTGTTCCGACAGAAAAAATTGAAGAACCTCATCGTCGACAGGTTTCGAACCTGTACTGGCACAATCCAAGAGATAGATTTAGATTCTGTTAAAGTGGCTAGGACGAAGTTGTTGGCATGAACCTCTGAGGAAACCATCCATGAACGATTTTTAAGGCGTGTTCCAGTAGAACAAAAAAGCTCCGTATCAGGCAAGTTTCAAACCTGCACAGTCCAAGATAAACAGATTTTGATTCTGTTGTGGTAACCACTTGACTAACACTTCTTGGATGAAGCTCCGACGAAACCATCCATGAGCGAATGTCAAGGTGTGTTCCAAGATAAAAAAACCTGTTGTCAGCAGGTTTCGGACCTGCGCAGTCCAGGAGAAACAGATTTCGGTTCTGTGGTGATCACTTTGGCCAACTTGAAGACGCTTCGCAGCTGAGCGCTGAGCCTCCGAAGAACTGTACATTCATGAGTGAATGCCAAGGCAGGTTTAAATTCGCGCCACCCCAGATTTCTAATCCGTTCTGCCATGTGCATGACTATTTAAGATTATGGAAAGCCGGACTAGCCGGACTCGCTCTGTTACCACCCGTGACATGGGCCAAAAAATGGTAGTCACAAGTTGAGGACTCCGTACACCAAGAGGTGTGCGTTCGCAAAATCCCGAACATAGGGCTCAACTTTACATAAGCTTAAAACCTTAAAACATAGCCACACGAAGTTTCGAGAGCACTGTATCTGAGGTTCTCGATGGTGACTTCCGAGTTGCATAAAATCGTTAACTCGATACTGGAAGAGGGGTTTTTTTCTCGTCTAGAATACATTTAGATAGACAGTTTAATAAAACTCGCTTGTGGGATGACGCTGCCCTACTACCGAGTGATTTTGAAGCAAAAAAACTAGCCACGTGATTTATATAATTAACGCGTCGATATCAATATACGCGTCGCGTCTCATATGTATCCCTGTCGCATCGCACCACCACTTGTACTCTCTTAAAACTATAGACTTATTCATTATGTATTCAAACCAGCACAATCTGTATAACAGCATCCAACAGCATCATGACAGCACGCCGCATAATGACCATTATTCATATCAAACTACGGAACCGAGATCCAATCATCCTTCACAGTTTTTCGATACCCAGCATTCATCCGGACACTCGCAAAGCCCTCTCATAGACTTCGAAATACCATCACATGCAGAACCAGAACCAGAACCAGAACCAGAACCAGAATCCGATACATGCTACTATGCACCTTATTCTCCTGACTATGATTCTGGTTACTCGGTCAATACGTCTGATAACGAGGATCGTGATCCGCTCAACTGGCAGCCTCCTATTATCGAAACGGACTTCACCAATATCGACGAAGCGCTCGAACTTAAATTAAATACTGCAGACTCACTCTATCGATTATTCAAGGCAGGAAAACTCAAAGTCCAGGTCGGCCCTCAGCAGAGATGGGCCATACTTTGCCCAGATTGTGATGAATGGTGCCAAACGAGTACTCACTCCTCCATTGCACTCTGGATCGAAGGCCAATATTTATACCATTGAGGAACCACCGCGGCAGTAAGAAGTGCGCCCAGACCGTGACTAATAAACAAAAGCAGCATGTTCGGAACGTGTCTGATGAGCCAACCCCTCGTTCACTCGTGGCATTCTCACATCAAAACAGGTGCGTTTCATTTTAAATTCTATACATGTAATATAAATGTTGCTCGCTTACAGTCAACCGCCTCCCGGGCCCTCCCTTGATTATAACCTTTGCGCAGGAGTCCCAATCATCTGGCCAGAGGATATGCGTCCTTTGGTCATGCTCTTTCCATGGGAACGTTACCATGATGGCCAGGATGGCCTACCATTCACTATCGACACTTGGGTTTGCTTGGCTACGTGTTTTCCGAAGTGCCCGTTCATGTATTTGTAGCTTACTCGCGCTCATTTGCTCCTCCCTCGCGTCAATACTAGGACTTTGTTTGCATTGAGAGTGCATGACTAAGCTACCTAATATGGTATAATTGCGGTGATCGTCACACCGTGACAGTAGGGGGGGGGGGCTCTGAAGTTTCTCTGGGTGTATGTTTTGCACACCTCTTGCCGTACACCTCTAAAAAGATAACGCGAAAGGCTGCTCGCGGCAGCCCGCTACGGTCGCTTTTTTGAGCCGTAAAGTGAATCGATTGCAAGTGTTACAGGTAGATCGTGAGGGAGCTGGACATATCCACCGCCCTTGTTCTTGATATGACGGATTGCTGCGGCACGCAACTCATTCGCAGACACATTTCCATCAACATCAGTAACTACGACACTCCCAAAGTTAGCTTGCAGCTCAGCAGCACGCGATTGATCATTAGACGGCGAAACTTTTTCTCGGTCTGTAACAACAGAAGACGACGGAGAGCAGAGATTATCTACAAACAGTCACTCAGACATGTGAAGATGATTATTAGCACTAATACACATACCTTCAGGCTGAAAATTCCAACCATGACCACCAGAAAGTCGACCAAAGTCTGCTTCTGAAGGCCTTTGGAGCCGATACCCATCGTACTTCGCATTCACAGACGCGAGCCAATCACGACCGAGCTCAACATCGCATCCACTTAGATGGACAGGTCGAAAGGTCTGTTGGGAATTGTACCAACTATCCATGGTAGGAACGCGCACCGGCCCAAAAGTGGGCCACTCTGTGATGATCGGCATTGTTTAATGTACTGAGAACTGTTGCCGAATCGGCAACAGTTCTCAGCTGATCAGTACATTACAATCATGCAGAAAAGATAACGACACAGTCGAATCAAGACTCGCATCGTCGACACGAATAACAGCAGGGGTATTGGCGAAAGATCCGAGAACTTTATACAGATACATAAGTAGTCGAAGACTAAGAAGTCAGATCAATGTGCGCAGACAGAATAATTAGAAACAGGCGTTGAGAACCGTGCGAAACAAACACCACAAACAGGTTTTTTGGACGATGACACCGGACAAACCCACTACTGCAGTAGCGGGAATTAATGCGATCGACAACCTGTGGGCTCCATATATGCATAGTATAGCGCGGCTGTCCGGCTTTTTGTCCTGCAGTTACAGTACTCTTGGTCGTGGTGTGTGACCTGTTAGCATTCCGAAATTGATCGGCTCTCTATCATACTTTTAGAAACTATGTTTGTCGTCTTCATTGTCTTACTCATCGAGCTCACGATCTTAAGTTGTGCATGGCATCCTATGCCTTTTTCCAACCCTAGTGACTAGTGCCCGTGAATATCGCCATCTCTCTGCATCCTGCCCATAACCCTTGACACCAATCCCGCTCCCGCTCCTTCCTGGGACCTGAAGCCTAGCTATGCCATCGCCGCTGGTCGGGCATCAAGATCGGGCGGTACATCCGCACCAACATCAGTGAACCGATGAATATATTAAAATACCATAGTTGACTATATATTGATAACCATCACAACAATCTCCAAAAATGTGGCGGTGGGGGTTACATGTAAATATTTGACTTTGCACAGGAACGATGCGTCTGCATGGCGGCAAACCAAATTGTCTTATACTCCATGTACCGTCTTCTACTTAGATTACCCTGTGAATGCAAGATGTAGCCAAAGCCAACCAAGTAAAGTGTGGGTCCATCATGTCAGGGTGAACACAAATGTTGTGTTACACCATAATTAGCAAAATAATAAACATATAACACTTAATTCCGACATGGCAGACACTTGCTTAAGCTGACTGGGATGTCCACTATGCGCTTTACATGGAGTTCTCTGACTGCTTCTCACCATATCCATTGTCGAAGTATTTTGTCAAAGACGCGAATTTGTGACCCTACTTAGAAGAGTGCGGTCATCTTATGGCAGCTGAGGTTATATACCATTGTGTATGTAACGTTCGGTTTTCACCGTCACGAGGTACGTCAACGTTCGTAAGCTGATGGTCTAGACCGCCGTATTATCTGGGATATTGCCATACTGCCGGATCGAAGCAAATATTACGACGTCCCTCCGTCCTCTACAAAATGATGTGAAAGTAAAGAGTCCCTCACTGACAAAGGAATATGCAATCTCTGGCACAAGATGTATGTTTGGTCAGTGGCGGAACAGCAGTAGGTATCACCACGCCAAAATACATGCCAGCCCATATGACATTCTCCATATAAAGTGTTTGATCTAAAAAAAACATACGTCTTGTGATATGTTTTAGCAAGGACAGAGTGTATGCCAGAAGTGAGAAGCTACAACTATTTCAGGGGCTTTGGCACTTTGTTCTAAAAACATATGTAATGTACCACCCTGACACTGATATGTATTTCGTACAGGCCTGACGCTGATACTTACTTCCTACAAGAGGTACGAGACCAGTCTGTTTCAAAGACAGGACAGACGCTAAGCCTAACACAATAGACTACCATATGGGCGCCAGTTCCAAACATGACCGGAAAAAACTTCGTTCAGGAAGCCTAACAGAAATCAATATAAAGGCGTGCCGTTCTAGAATTGCCTTCGCTGAGCAAGTTGGTTTATTTGGATCAGCCTTAGCAAATGCAGATATTGGCGACAACAATTATTACTCCGTTCCACTGGCGCCCTGGATGCAGTAAATCACGTGTGGCAAAATAATTTGCCATATGTAGACTGAGGAGTAGCTTGATGGAATTGAGGAGAGCTGGGGAGATATTTCCTAGCTTTCATTCAGCAACTGATCGGTCTTTGTCTGCAAGCTACCCCGCTGTACTTTAATATCCCAAGGTCTGCCTTAGTTCCATCACATATCCAGTGCGCCTCTCATGTTTGGGAATTCAAACTGATGAGCTTCTGCCTGAGACTGTTCATGGCTTCGTTCACCAGGGCCATTCCACTTCAGCAACTTTCCACCACTAATGCCAGACACAGAAAATATAATCTCGGTTGTAGCAATCATAACGACACCTGTTGACATACGAAGTGTCCGTTTGACTTGGTAGGATTAAAAGGTGCAATAAAATTCACAGTAGTTGGCATATCGAAGAGTATATAGTGCTATCATCACTGAAAATCATTCCTTCCGATCTCCAATCACGATGTAAAACCCCGAATGTGATATTGTGATTTCATTAAAAACAATTATGGTAACACATGCACATAAGAGCTACTCCGAGTCAAAGGCGGCATCCTCCAGCACCTTTCTCTGCTTGGCCAGCGCAGTAACAGACATCTTGGACACTACTTCCGGTGTTAGGTCCTCCCGATGGTTTTTTCCGAAAACCTTTCTAAACAGTCATGTTAGATGTCCAATATACGGTAGGCCATAACTAAATCAATACCTAGTCCACCATTCCAGAAGTTTGGCCACCCTATGTTGTGCGACAGGGCCAGGCACGTCTTTGAAGAAGTCGATGGTGTTGTTCCAGAATGCCTCGTAATCAAAGTCGCCATTGACGGTACGCCAGGACAAGACACTGGATAGCGCGAAACGAACCTGCCAGAAGAGTTTTGTAAGTAGACGTCCATTGGTGATTATCTTTGCGTACCTGACAAACAATATAAGCAATGGTACGAGGGGTGACCTTCCTCATGTTGATGATTGAGGCCACGCAGGTTTTGACTTTGACATTATTTAACGTCCGTCGGGCGTGCCTGTTATTCTCGAGTATGTCCGCTCCATCACCATCACCCTCAACTTCTCTTGCAGAAGACGGAGATGTAAAAATGGCTTTGAAAGCCTGCCATCATGATAACTTTAATACGTATTCACTGCTAGGACTCCGGGTACTGACCTGTACCAAAATCTTGGACCTGAAGAGGCCTTTCTCTAGATCATCACTATTGAATGAGTAGTTTTCATAAACAAACAGTGGCCAAGAGTTTTCGGACACGATGTGATCTGATGTTCGGTCACGAATGCCGGCCCTCACACTGCCCAGGCTTCAGTGTCGTGTGAAGGTTCAGCAAGGTTAATGCTCACCGGTCATCACTCAAGTTCCACTCAGCAGGGCAAAGCAGCTTTCCCCAAACGTCATGTGCGAAGCCATGCAGCTGTTTGCTATCAGACCTCAGTAGAGCAGACGGTCGAAAATCCTCGTTGACCCATGCAGCAATGAGGTCCTTAAGAGTGGAAGTATCGTCGCCACGGGCCGCATCAGCTCCTTTTTTGAGCTGTAATGCTATGAGTATGCAGTGCGAAGTGACTCAGAGCACAGACCTTTCTCAACATATCTTCACAGTCGTTGACGTCAAGGCATGCAAGCTTAGGATGCAGCCACGGCAGAGTCTGCATGAATGCGAGATAGCCACATTGCAACCGATCTTGTCTGGATAATAGAATTAAACATGTCACAGTAAGAAAAAAAACCTACTCTGTAGTGGTGCCCCAAACTAGGCCATCTACGAGGCCTGTCTCGTATCTGTGATCATTCTCAGCTATCAAATCCTCCAAGCTAGTATAGAGGACAGTCGTGCGGCGAATCGCCCTGCCTTGAGCGATGTAGTACGTTGTTTTTCTTCGAGGATAGATGAGGAAGAGGCAATGACGAAGACAGTATGTGACGAACCTCTGCTTTGTGCCTTTCTCCTGCTTCATCTGTTGCAGTTCTTCTTCCAATGCGGCGATGCAGCACTTGGCCCTTGCCTCTGTGGAGGTAGGAACTGCCCCAGAGAGGTCTGGAACTATGGGGGAGGTAGGATGTGTCTGATTGAGACAGTCGTGCTCTGATGCAGACTGAGACTGGGACTCGGACATGGCAGAAATAGTAAGGAACATTCCTAAGCCAAGGTGAAGTGAGAAGATAAGAACAGTGGGTAAGAGAGAGGGGGAAGCAGTGAGAGAGTGAGAGAGAAGAACAAGGAGATGTTGGAAGGTAAGAATACTGGTGACCTGAAGTTCAAGGTATATATACTCGCTAATGTTGAGACATAAAGGGTAGTTCCAAATGAGGATATGACAAAAATCCGGTGCGATCTTGAGCCGAGTCAGTGACCGTCCCGAATATGGCGTGTATGAAAGTACTACTTACTAGTGCTTGTGATTCTTGGAGTCATTGCTCATTCAAGTTCTCGATGAAGAGCGTGTTGATACTGCTACTAGTATAGGGGATGTGTGAGGGGGAGCATTATGGACGACATGTAGACGTGCCCGACACCTGAAACAAATCGGCTGTGATGATTGTGCATATGGCACGGACTCGGAGACCCAGGCCCAGAGTCAGGCTGGACGTGACAGACTGTCGTTGCCAGTGAGCGAGCGACTCGAAGGTCGAGGAGGACATAAGGTGGAACGTATGTTATGGATTATAAATTCAGTGAATCAGGACTTGACAAAGTGCTTTCCCGAAGATGTGACATATGACCCAGGTGACAGAGTCGAACTCGGAGAAGGGGCGATTGGAATGGGCGGAGGGGGTTCTTCCATCGGCTTGTATGATCAGATGTATTGTTCTGGGTGTATCCTTGTCCTTTCGGAATGTAAATCGATCTGTCCCATCACGAAACGAAATCATATTGTTAGCTCTTTGTGCTGAGATGTGAAATGTGTAGAATTGTACATTTGCGTGATATCTGTCAAAATGAACTGATACATATCACACAACATATTCCTGCTCAGCAGGATTGCGGGACACCACAGCATCGAAGGACTTGATTGGAGATAAGCCAGGATAAGGTGCTTGCACTCGGATGGATTTAGTACGAGCAAGACGTGCCCACTCAAAAAGGTCATCTGCTTTCTTAGCGAGCGCTGCGCACTCTCTACCCCAGATCCGAAAGCCCTTCCAGCTTGTTCGATATGTAAGCGCGGATGTCACCCTCCATGATGGTGGCTGGTAGAATGTCGTCTATGGATATCCGTTCAATATACTGAACACCTGCAAATTCTGCTTCTATATCATGGAATGGGCGAGAAATAAAGATGATCCGGAGGTTTTGCGATGTGGGTGATAGTTGGGGTTTGAAATGTATCGGAAAGAATGAGTAAAAGGTTGTTGCGTGTCTCCACTTCTTTGCCACTTTTGTCCAGTGAGTCGATAACGATCACGACATCATGGTATCTAGTCCTGCACCCTCCACATAAGCCATACCACTGAGGTCCAGTATTTCACCCGAAGGATGAATAGATGTCGAGCAAGAAGCACGTCCAGATCCTTACTTGTACGGTGGGTGTAGTTGGCTACGTCGCAAGCAACTTGGTCCAGGAAGTTTCGCATGAGCACATCTCACACATTGTTATATTGTTGTATCATATCGTCTGTCTCCGAGACGACGTCCTTTCCGAGTCTCTTCCCTGTGATGAGATTGAAATCTATAAAGTGTAACGACTTTTTGGAGAGACTCACAAAAGCTTTTCTTCGCCGAATAATCCCTGATGAAATGGGCACATTCAAAGGTCTACTGAGAGATCTGTCCCAAGATAGTGTTCATAGATGAAATCGGGTGAAGCATGTTGTCTTGCGTCATGAAGTCGTACACCTGACCCAACTTCTTGAGAAGGCTGAGCATCGCTTCGTCGCGATCCGCTTAAGCAAGAATTATCTGGACGCAGAACAAATGAGCAGGAAATATAAATAAGGGCGAAATAAAACATACTTTAGATGCACAAGACAGTACACCCAATGCCATCTTTGCATATGGATATACCTGTGGAACGGTATTAGTCCAGTTCTGATGAGGAAGAAAGAGAGGTAACACCTTCACGACCTTCTCACAGTGTTGAATATCCTGAGGGTTTGAAGATATGTGGCCTCCGTACTGTCCGTATCATCGAGAGCTGCTGGTGCATTTCGGCCTGTGGACTTGATGCTGTGGATCTTGCAGGTCCCAAAAGTGCATCCATCTGATCTGCACCATCACGGGCATCCCGAAGTGCCATGTCCATCAGCACCTTGTTTCACACCAGATGGAGTATCCTGAACCTGTGCGACCATCAGAAGTTAAGAGAGAAAGCAGAAACTGAAAGGTGACCTAGCACGCACATGCGGTCAATGGAGAAACGTGCTTGCAAATCTAACGGAGGACACGTCTGTTTGGTTTATTAGCTTGCATATCATTTATGCAAGTTATCCCAGGGACGAGGTGACCCGAATTCAACAAAGAAAACTGTGCTAGGAGCGAAGTCATTAATTTTACAATCAGAAAGTGACGAATACTCACAAACGATAATACAACTAACCACTCCTGTGTTCTCCGGAGTTTGTGAAGGACGATCGAAAGATTCGTCGGGGTAGAAGGTCGTCATCGTTGTTGTTGACAACACTTAATACAGGCTTGCGCTGAGAAACCTGTCTTTGGAGGGATAAGGGAGGGAAGCAGGTCAAATTGTGAATGTATTGCAGTACTGTAAAGTGATTAATTTTCAAGAGAATGTGAGTGTCCATAAGATATGCCATAAACGGGGATAAACACGTACTGAATCCTCACCAAACGAACACATTAAGGCCAAGCGATCAACATAATCAAGGGTGTGCTTCTTGTGAATCGTACCGACGAGAGCTTCGGCAGTTGAGCGTTTGAAAGGAACCTCCCAGGCATAAATTTGTGCCAGTGGGTCTTGTGGTAACCGCGACCGCTCCTGCTAGTCGTTGCCAACATGCAAGCAGATCGGCTTCAATTGAGTACCTGACAGACAATTCGAAGGCCTCGTGTGCGACCTCACTGGTCAAGTTAGTGGCAATGAGCAATGTGTACGATCATTGAATGCATACCTCGATCATGATGGTGAGCTTCAGTTGACCAATCGTCGCTCTCGTCCGACTTGGAGTCCTGCCAGTGAAGGTAGTATTGAAGGCGCTACTGACGAGCATCAGAAATTCTTATCGTGGTGCTTGATCATTAAATACACATGCATACCTTGATGGGCCACATGGAGGTTGGCGTCAAAGCTTGTGAAACATGCAATAAATGCCCAATTTAGCTGTAGCACTTCTTATCGATGATGACATAATCCATGTTTGAGAGTGGGGTTGAATATTGCCAAATGTCGAGTACCGAGTATCTAAGCAAAGGGTAGTAGTATGTACTTGAAAAGGCTCGGGAAATGTAAATGCGGTATACAACTTGTAGATTACAGCTGTCCAATGGAAGGTAGAATGCTTGTATGAGGTGGTGAAAAATTGCATAGGGGTATTATAGCACTTGCGATGTGTACTAAGTATTCATTGTCCATTTCCTTTCAACGATCTAAGCCCTGACGCGCTTTACGACTCCTTTGGACTTGGCCTTGTACTTCTTGGGAGCCCGGGAGTTCTTGGCACCCTTGCAAGTTGTGGAGTGTGCGCGAGAGTGAGCGATTGGGATCTCCTCCGACTCTGGAGTATGCTCTGCCGCCGAGGGGAAGTAAGAATCATCTGTGTCTACAAAGGCTGCATGGTGCCAGATCTCATAGCGCTCGTGGGCAAAGACGTCTCCCGCACCCAAGATGTTTTGGGCAGCGACGTGCCAGTGTAAGGACAGCGCGACCTCGGCAGCTTGGAGCACTGAGCAATCGAATAGTGGGTCGATCCTCCGAGAGACAGCAGCAATGCTATCCCTGAGCTTGCGCAGCCCGACGTTGAGCTTTGCGGTGATGGCGTCCATATTTAAGGTAGGCAGTAAAGTCTAAAACGTATTCCATCAAACAAATTCGAACGCGCTAGATCAACACGAGAACTTACTCCATACGCCATGGACTCAGGACTCTCGTTACGAATGTCAATCGGACTGCCGTTGTCTCCCTTAGTCCACACGTAGTACTCTACGCTTTGGATATGGCAACAGTCATGATCGGCGACTGTCAACGGGTGGTCTAGTGATCGTGGCATGGATTGTTGATCGAGGAAGGAATTGAGGGAGAGGGGGAGGGGAAATGGGTCATCATCCTCGCCGTTGCGAAGGGTCTTCCATGCGGTGGAATTTACTTCAGGACACGCGTAGGAAATGGCCTCGGTTACAACTATGATCACAACAAAATCGACCTCTGGGTGGGTCCTGATCTCACCCTCCACCTTCTCAAAAACCTCCGCCTTAGTCTCTGAAAGGGCACACTCTCCGATCCCTGCAGTCACCACAAATTTTCTGGGTCCCTTCACAGGGGTGATCTTGATGACCATATCTGGGGTAACTGATTTGGTTTTGACTCTGAGTCTGAGTCGCATCGAGGAGTTCATAGCTACCCTGGTGGTGATTACATCGTGATCGTAGGGAATAGTAGCGATAGCAAGTATTAAGCAGTCCTTAAGATGGTCCAAGAACTCTTCATGGAGGGTGCTGGGCATGTCGACGGTGAGGACGTGCTCGTTATAGTCGTAAGAAAGACTAGACTAGTTTAAGCATTGCTCAAAATAGACACATTCATTAACTCACCGTGGCTTTGTCAGGACACGCTTCTGTTCTCCCACCATGCGTTCGACTAATTCAAATTCGCACGCTCTCACACCTCGGAATTCCTGTGATATTTGGTAAGCTAATAGCACCGTATTTGACTCGGTGCACGTACCATTCGGCTTTTCCCTGGAGTTGGCTCAGTCAAACACCTTAAGACCTTGCTTACATCTTAAACACGATCAGGACATCATAAAACTGTTTTACTTCTCACGGAACGTACTGGAAGGGGAGGTTTCAGAGTCCAAGAAGTGGCGTTAGATGTTATCACACAATGACTCTGCGGTACCAGTGCTGGAAATGGTATCAACTGGTTCATCCTGGTGCATCTCCTCTTCTACAGCCAATGATGTGCTGATGTGCGCACGTCCTGCATCTACGTTCTCCAGAGGTAAGCTCACGGCCGTGTATTTACTGGAGTTGCGCTGGTGGTCGGATTTGGTGTGTGCATGCGTCGCCTGTGTAGTGCTGGTGTTGCCTCTAGTTTGATAGCGCCTGCATGGGCTAGAGACTAAAGGGGCATAGTAAGAGTTTCTGCCAGCATGAGCTACTACGGTAGACATCGATTTTGGACGTTGGATTTTGGGTGTTGGGAGTCGTTTGTTACTAGGTGTTGGATGCTGAGTGCTGAGCATTGACTTCTGTGGCACCTTTGACAATGGAAGTTCCAGGAGAGATAATCACAAATTACAAATGTGATGATCTTTCCGGAATCGGGTGCCAGGTATCGGCAAGTGCCGTCATTGGCTAGCCTAAGTGATCAAGGGACCACACTTTAAAACCTGTGGTGCTGCCCTCAAGATGAAGTTATTATCTAAGGATGCATATCATATCATGATGTAGTAGACAGCAAAGGGGGAGCGTACTAATTTGATGTGAAAAGCCCTTCAGTCATACAAGAGCATCTGCCTTTCTGAAGTCTGGTCTCTGCCAGTGCCAGTGCAACCGTGGCAAACTTGAAGTTGGTCCAGGAGGGTTTCTGAGGAGCCTTTGAAATTAGTAGTGGCTTAGCTTGAAGGTTCAAGGTGTCACGGTAGGAATCTCACTGATTTGCAGTTTCTGTCGTGGCCGACGTTCAACTTGATTTGACAGACATCCGAGTCCGAGTTGTCCAAATCACATCTCTTCAACTTGAACTTCCACTGGCAAGCGCCCCCGGGCCTGCCAGGAAGTCAGCAACTGCCACTCCAGGTTACCGTGACTTCCCACCATGACAGCCTCCAGTCTCGTACTACTAGTAATAGTACTAGTGGTGGTAGTACCAGGGACAGGAGGTGTAAACAGTTGTGTCAGGGTTGATGCCTACTAGTAGTACTAGTAGGCTCTGCCAGCCTGAGTGTCACGGTGAGCAGCCTGCCAGTGAGCAACACCAAGTGTAGTTCAAGTCTGCTTCGCCTGGGCCACCGTGACAGACTCCAAGTCGGATTCGTTAGCCCTCCTGCGGCCGCAGGGTCCAAAATATGAAGCAGGGCCCGCTGAAAAGTCGCCGCAGATGATGCAGATGCAGGTTTCACCGCTTCAATTGATGATCTCATCGCCTGCCAGTCACGGTCATGGTGTACATGCAGCGGCAGTGGTCAGAGTCATCCCGAGGGGACGGCATGAGACATGTGTTTTTATGCCTTACCTGATTCTATCACCCTTGTTTGAATCTTGGTATTTACTATCATCCCGTTATACAATTCAATCCGCACTGGCACATTGCCGCAGCCATCTTCAAGTTGAGCTTGATTGGCCGCCTATTTAATTACTCACCTCGTCGTAAAACAGCGAGCAACAAAGACGCAGGCAAAATGGTATCTATATTCCGACGTACTAGTATGATCATATGATAGTATTATGTATCCTACTAGTACATTTTTCGCCTTGCATCCGCAACCCCATCGACTAGTACTATAGTCACGCAGCGTCATGGTATTACGCATATCATATCATCACCTTATGAACCCTGGCCTGGGCGGCCAGCCCGGGCCATACCTGCATTTCTGTTTGTCGTCTCGATGATAGATACCCCATCTCACCAATGGGAATGACTGCCCGATGTCCATGGAAGAATAAAGTCTTGTACAACGCCATTGTTAGTCAGTATGTACTAGCATCATACTAGTACCTTACTAGTACTAGTACTTGGAACCTTTTTCAGACGCAGCCAGAGTATAGCGGCGATTGAAAAGCACGTCTGAATTTGGGATTGCCTAATGAAGGCATCCTGTGAATCAAACGAAAGTTGCAATTCAAGCTCCGAGACCACTCTGAAACACAACTGTAATGGTACTGGCAGCGTGTACTAGTAGTAGCACTCATCCTGAAGGAAATTGTATGCAATCCTCCCAAATCTCCTCATTTTCCTGGTCCCACAGAACCAGTGCCAGCCGCTTTTGTAACTCTCTCACAAACTCAAGGTCTTGGCCCATGGTCAACGCTGACTTGGATGGGAACGAGATTTGTAGCGGTGAGGATGGGGGTGGAGTTGGATGGTTGGATGGAGGTGGAGTTATGTTGGTGGATGGGGGTGGAGTTATGTGGGTGGATGGGGGTGGAATTGGGTGGGTGAATGACAGTCCTACAGGACTCGGAGGCACTGGGAGTGTTGTTGGAGGCAAAAATGAGGGTGATGGTCCACTTGGAGGACGCGCGTCCGAGTCAGTGCGCAGTGGGGGTACTATGTAGTGAAGAAAGATGCCCCTGGCAGAGGTATGCGTGGAAGGGCTGTAGTGCTGGAGTTGATGGTGTGCTGCCCTTGACGTCCCAGACGCATGCTGAAAGTCGACATGGATAAATGTCAGACCTTGGTTTCTGCGAGCTTGACTTTGATTTGGTGCTATGAGCAAGGTTTTCAAGACTGCCGCGGATCAGAAAGGGGGAAAATATACTTGGGGGCATGACTGGGATCCTACTATGTCTACTGCTGTACTGTGACTGTCTAAGGGGTGTTGTACAGAAGGAATGGTAGCGAGCAACACCACAATTCCAACCAATTCAATACCATGAGTATTTAAACTTACAAAAGGTTGTACAAATTACATACAATAATCATGAGCTGCATCTGAACCTTCTCGATTGAGCGCGCTAAGTTTTAAAGAGCCTCAAGTCACATTGACAATCGAGGCCTTCTAAATCTAGACTTTTGAATGGTGGTACGTGCTAAATAGACCACGGGCTGGGGCGTGGAGCGGTCAAGATGCTGGAAATCTGATGGTAGTAGGACTCGATCGATGGAATAGCCATGGTGCCCCAGGATTGCTCAACCTGCGCCTTAGCCTGAGGTTCTTGGGGTTCAACCCCAATCCCTAGCAGGGCAGATTGAAAAATAACCCCATGAGGGTCGTGTGAGGCTAACGGTATCATAGTAAGGGCTGTGCGCTCTGTAATTACTACACATACTCACCTTCAATGTGTCGAGCTTCCAGGAATCCTGCAGTGCAGTGCTGCCGAGATAACGTCAGAAACTGCGGCGGGGCTAGGTCCAAACGTCTGCCACCAGTGAGTAAGTGACCAGCCTGACTCAGAGGAAATTGGAGCTTGCACCAGAGGCTAACCGACAAGAGGCAGTGCACCACGGTCAGCATGGCCGCTGATGCCAAAACTCCAGAAAGCCTACCACCGGCCGCGACTGCCAGTGAGTGGGACTTGAGCCTGACACTGGTGATACTATGATGGTCCATCACAACAGCCTCAATGCTCTGATGAGCGACCCAACCATGACTCGGATGATCAGTAAGTGACTCATTGGAATTCCAAAATGAACTCGCTGTCATGAGCCAGCCGACTGCCACATTCACTGAGTTGGAAGCTGACTTAATGCGTTCCTAACTCCTATCTTAGTAGGGTTGGAAAATTGGATCACCGACTGGGTCTTTTGACTCTGAGCCTTCGAATTCATCAGTTATTAGTAGCAATATTCAGATGGGCAGAAGGGGGAATTGTGCGATAGCAAAGGCGTGGATGGGTCGTGTTTTTAAAGTTCAAACCAATCACGATCATGAAGGATAGGATAGGATTTTTTTTTACATTTACTAACTTACTAAGGGCGCCAACAGACAAAATTCCAATCAAGGGTTTCGAAGTTTCGTTTCGCTTTCAAACGCAAATAATTTGTTCTCGCTAATTCTTGCTTTTCCGAGATTAATTTTGATTTACTCATGAAATTTGGTTTTGGTTTTACGATTCAGTTTCGATGTCAATTCACATTCATTTTATGTACAGTCAACATCAAAAGCCTTGCCACATGTAGTTACCCCGAAAGTCCTCATGTAAGATGTCTGTTCTCGGCGGGTGACTCAATGTCGATGTCAATCCAAGCAGCAGTGGCTCCCATGACTGTGTCTTGTACATTTAAACCCATGTGACTGACTCTAGGCTCCTCGCGTCGAGTACCGAAGACGTAGAGCGAGAGTAGGCATGATAGGGAATAGCTCATGGGCTGGCGGAGTCATATGTTCAGTACGGCCAAAATTTCTTAGATAGACTCACGGATCACTGGAACACCTTCTTGTCCGTGTTCTCGTGCTGCAGGAAAGACTTCCCAGCGCAGCAAGTCTCCGAACCCGATGCCATACTATATATGTCGCCAAACCGGCAACGGTCTCCCTGTACTTGTCACTGTTTTGATACCGCAAGAATGCACAGTATTGGAGCAATGCATCTTGGGAATGTCTCAAAATTGGTAGCTCGAGCCTCGTTTCTGGTCATGATCCCCCAGTGAAGAGTTGACTCTGGAAATCAATCAATTCACTGGGGATTCGCTTCACTCTGTTTTCATACACGCCAAGGCCTTCTCCGCAGTACGCAAGAGTGACCAGCAACCTTTATCCAAAGTTGGACTGTCAAAATTGTAGAAAGTTGTTTGAACTTGCTCGAGAACATGAGGCGCTTCGGTGAGCTCACTGTCGTCACAGTAGACGTCGTATGGACATGGTGGTAATCAAGGGTGTGCTTCAATGGATCGCTATGTATGTATCTCCCGTCAGCGACAAACTGGGGGCCATCAACGAATCACCCACTGCGCATTGAGTCAGACAGCCAAAATCGCCAGAAGAATTGGGAATGTTCAAGTCACGGTAAGGGGGTCGCTCCGACAGCTTCATTAAGTATATATATCATCACATCTCCCGTGTCAGTCAAAAAGATGAACATCGTACCATTGATGTCAAGAATACGGGACTTTTTACTACAGGAATCACTCAACTGCCTAGTGGCAAGGTGCCCCAAAGGTTGGAAATTGTCAACATAAATAGCCAAGTTTGCACAGAGGCAGGGTACAGAGTCTTCCAAGTCCAGGTAAACAGTCGTCGAGTCAACCGTGGACCAGTCTCTCAAACAGTCACAGTGGGATGTATTATATTTCAGTAAATGTCTTGACGCGGGCCATGCGGCATAGTAGGCGCTGAAAAGTTAAGAACGAGTCGTAGTTGGTATTAGCTGTATATCAGCTGACTAGTACCACGATGTACTTACGAGTCACGCAGAGTCACTCTGTGTTCGGGCTCAAAAGTTCAAAGTAAGCTAGAGTCGAATTTGGCCGAAACTCGAGTCGAAAGTGGACTTCGGAAAACTGATTCGAAATCGAAACACACACATCTTGAATTCCATATTGGGAAATGAAAAACAGCAAGGTCGTCGATATCCTTACACCACCACTCATTGGCATACCACTTATAGGCCTCTGCGCTCTGTCGCATACAGGCAGGCCTCGTTGGCCTCCTGCTCGCTGAATTGATGCCTCTTCCTCTCGCGCAACAGTCGACGTTCATCTCCCTTAGTAAGTAGGTGGTTTTTGATGTTTTCACGATCATTTAATTTAATTTAAATTTTTTTCAAATTACGGTCAGCTAACAAAAAGCGTGTATAATCTATGAACTTCCTGAATGCGCAGTGCACATTCCTACGTATGTTGGGAGTCAAGCCTGATGATGATGCTTGCATCTGAGAACTACCATGACGTCGGCAGTCCTTCACAAGTCACCAGCCACTTTGAAAGGTCAGACAACTCCAAGCTCTGATAGTCCGTTCATTCAGGTGAAGTCCCTCAATGCGCAGGCGTCTTATAAAGACATCTCATGACTGTGTGTCTCTGTTTCACCATTTCCAAGTTATTCGACTGCCTCAGTGCATATGCGAGTCCTGCGATAGGATAACGCGAAGAAGGCCAATGTTAAAAAGGTCGTTGGCCTGTTCTGGATTCGCGAGAGGTAAGCAGGAACTTCATCTCGTCCATTATTCAGTAACTTTGAGAGAAACTCATTGAGTCTCAGCTTCGAGAGGCAGATGGTCTGAATGAGAATCATCACCTCCTTTGCGTGGCATATATTCCACAGCTCACTACTACCACGACTTGGAAATTGGTCTTCACGTGCCCACTACTACTAGTAGTACCCGCATGTTGGATAGGGCGAATCATTGGATCACATGTTGAACTTGTCTCCTTAATTTGGAACTTCAAAATTGTCGTCTTAGGAGTAGGATGCACGGCCCTCATGAGCGCAGAGCTTCATAATGCCACCGCCGCAGTGTCAACCAGCCCCAGCCTGTTCATAGTAATTCCAAGCGGCGCTTCAAAACATCAAATGCTCCGATCAAAATAAATTATAAATGGATAGCTTTCACGTTCTAGTTAAACTTAAACCAGAATGTCACTGTCTTCATCATCTTGTGATATAGAAACCTCACTGCACGGTAACATAAATGACATGCCGGAATTGCCTAATGATTTTTCAAAGGTAGAATACCTTGGGCGCAGGCATGAAAAACAGTCATACATGGTACGAGGATTACCTTGTCTTAATTAGCAGCGAGCACTAAGTTAATATAAGATGGAGCTGGACGCAATCAACTTGGATGAAGATGTGCAAGATACACTGTTTACCCAATACAGTATCGACTCACTGTATTCAAACTATGTCGCATCACAATATCGAGTCCGGCAGTATACCCACTTTTTGACCATCCTGAAGCGCGAGGAAGATGCTTGGGCACAAAGAGTTGAGAAGGCAATGGATCTGATGCCAGATTACAAGCCTCCTATGCAGTCCTTGGTGTCATAGTGGTGCCCATTCGATGAAGAATGTCGACTCTGATTCTTTCTGCAACATCCTTTGTGTTTTATCTTAGCAACTTAATATCAGTCGTCTTTTGTATTCAACTTAAACCACTATTTTCTGCATCACTTATATGAGTTAACTCAACTATGTACTGGAATCAATCCTGGAAGTGTATTTGTCGCTTGTTATATCATCTTAGTACCTGCCATGCTCTGCCCAGTCTCATTACCGTGACACTACTACATTAAGTCAAACTGATCTACTAGTATGAGTTGGAAGTTCGAACCGCATTGATACATGTGGCAATGCCTAATGAGGGCGCCCTGATGATTGGGCTGTTCCATGGTAATAATGACTGTGACATCTTCTCTGTAAAATACTATCATCACCAAATCGTCATGGTAGCTTCCAAGTCGGAGGGGGAATGGGTCTTTCTCGACCGCCTTGGATTCTGTTCCTCATCCTCATCCTTTCAATGGTGTCCTGCAGTGCGCCACATTGCTCTTGGGAAAGGAATACCAATTTTTGCGGACTCAGCAGACATCGCTCTATCTGTAAACATTACCAAAGGGCAAGCACTTTAGCTACTGAGAAAAGGCGGGCCCGGGCAAGATATAATAGTACTCCCAGCGTAAGTTCCTGATCCATACTTTGCCCCACCATGACGTTCCTCGAAGTTTGAGTCACTTACCCTCCATGATAGCTCGGACCGATCCAAGTTACAAAGGATCGCTGCCTGAAACCCATAGCTCCTTGCGACACAAGGGTATTCAGCACACCTCTGGGGCCTATCAACCGACCCAGTGCCCCACGTGCTAGTACTCCGACATTTGCATTCCACGACTCTGATATTTTGGAGGTTGCGATGGGGGTTGATGATGATGGAGATATTCCAGGTGTGTACCTTCTTAACATTTATGCCCTCACTCGTACCATATCGTTCATGACTCACCAGTGGGCCCAGGTCAACGTCCTTCGCTTAGGCCGGTCCCAAGAAATTTCAAGGAATTCCTACCTGCGGATGAAGATATCAACCTGTCAGATTCTTCTGGGAATGACCCGCCTCTTGTTGCTGAGAATCCACCCCAGAGAAGAATTCAAAGGGTCCTTTTGACCCTGTGTAATTCTCTTCAAACTGCGTTTAACGCGGTAGGACTCAGTCGATTATATCCTAGGTGCCCGTCCTTCGAGCCCAACAAATTCATTCCATCGTCCCTACTAGCTAAAGTCTGTCCGACCGCTACTGATATGGTTGGTACTCAGGCGCCTAATCCACCTCTTCAACCGCCCTATCCATTCTCCAACATGACTACCTACCGCCTTATGACTTGGATGAACTCTGGGAGTCATCAAAAGTCCGAGACCGAAATATCACGCCTTGTCAAAGAAGTCATCCAGGCGCAGGACTTCAATCCTAGGGACCTGGATGGATTTTCCGTGAGGAGGAGTTTGCAGGCGCTGGACAATAGCAGAGGAAAGGGGAGCGCCACTTTTCCAGACGACTGGTTAGAGACCGACATTATGTTGAACATACCCACAAAATCAACGGATGATCCCACCAGGACATTTAGTGTTCCCGGATTTCATTATCGACCGCTCATAGGAGCGATTCGTTCTGCGTTTGCCGATGTTCAAGCTAATGCTTTCCACCTCCTCCCCTTCAAGTGCTTATGGAAGGACCCCCTAGATGGCCATCAAGAGCGCATATTTGATGAACTTTATACCTCCGACTCCTGGCTACAGGCTCAGGATGACCTACAGAGGCACCCAAAAGAACCTAGTTGCTCGCTGGAGCGCGTCGTTGCCGGACTTATGTTTTTTTCAGATGCAACTCATCTCACAAGCTTCGGGACCGCCAAGGCTTGGCCCCTGTACTTATACTTTGGAAATTTAACGAAGTACGCACGATCGGCACCCAAATCTGGTGCGTGTCATCTGGTGGGATTTTTGCCTTCTGTAGGTGGATTCCCTCTAGCAACGTATGTCTCTCATCTTGATTTTCAGCTTCCGGATAACGTCAAGGACATTCTCAGTAGCCTACCTAGGATATCCAAGAGTGGTATGGCAGCTCTTCACGCCCATTGTCAGGCGAGACTTATTTCATGGGTGCTGGAACCGTCTACTGGATGTGGAATTTCTCCAAGCATACTGCCATGGAATTGTGATCAAGTGTCCAGACGGAATATTAAGACGAGTATTTCCTCGCATCTTCACTTACTCTGCGGATTATCCAGAAAAGTATGCTCCTTTCCTTTGTTTTTCGTTGAGAAGATGCTAATGATACTTAAGGGTTTTAATAGCCACCATCAAAGATATGGGCTCTTGCCCATGTCCGCGCTGTCTCATGCGGAAATCTTCGTTCGACCTCCTTGGCCTATGTAGAGACATGCGAGATCGCCTAGCCAGCCTTAGGACTTACTGCTTGGAAAGGGTAACGGATGCCTGTGAATTCATCTACAGGTCAGGAAATACCGTTGATGGCTCAAAGGTGCAGGCCACTCTTGGAGAAGGGTCCTGGGTGCCAACTTTGGTGAGTACCTCGAAAATCAGTTACCTTTTCATCTGAAACTGATTTTTTTACTAGAACACATTTGCAGAAAAACTCGGACCGCTAGGACTCGATGCTTTTTGCATGCTTGTTGTGGATTTCATGCACGAGTGTGAGCTAGGCACCTGGAAAGCCCTATTCACCCATCTCATCCGACTACTCTATGCGCTTCCTGGTGGTGACAGGCCTGGTCGCACGTCTTGACCAGAGGTTTGTTCACTAAGCCTCTTTTTGCCGATGTGAAAGTAATTGCCTCAAACATAGATTTCGCCACATCCCGTCGTATGGTAATGGTGTCATTCGCAAATTTGCCAATAACACCTCCGAAATGAAAAGGCTTGCCGCAAGAGACTTCAAAGACATTCTCCAGGTCTGTCTTTTTGATGCAGTTGCTAACGCCTACTGTTGATATCTTATCTCAGTGCGCCATGCCAGTCTTTGAAGGGCTTTTCCCGGCAGACCATGATGCCGCTGTACAATCACTGCTGTACAGGTTTGCTCAATGGCATGCCCTTGCAAAACTGCGGATGCATTCTGACACCACCTTGTTGACATTGAGTAGCACATTTAAGACGCTGTCCGGTCAGTTGCGTAAGTTTCGAGATTTTACCTGCGCTGCTTTCTCCACCTTGGAGTTACCAAAAGAAAGGGCTGCTCACGAGCGCAAGGCCGCTCGTGAACACTTAGGCTGCCACGACGCAGATGCTGGGAGTGGTGGTCGAAGGGTCAAAAAATTTAATTTAAACACTTACGAATATCATGCTATGGGGGACTATCTGCGGTCAATCCAGCTTTTTGGGACGACAGACTCATATACGTCACAAATGGTGGGTGAACGTCTGCAATAGCTTCTGGTGTTGATTAATTTCTGGTCAGGGAGAGTTGGCGCATCGAGCACTTAAAGCTTTTTATCTGCTGACCAGTAAGCTAGACACCTCGGCTCAACTCGCCAAGCACGAGCGTCGTCGTCGAATCCTTCAGAAAGTTGCAGAGGCAGAACCCAGCTCCTGCACTAAGGAGCAGTCACCAATGGACTCACGCATCTCACTGAAGGAGCATCACTGCATACCGACACTTAGCCACAACAACCCGTTGGATATATTTAGTTTTCTTCGGGATCATAGCGATGATCCAGCTGTAGCAGTAGGTCTCCCTCTCCTCATCGTTTAAGTTGTTCACAACCATGTGCAGGGGTTCATACCAAAGCTCAAGGACCACATTTTATATAGACTTCGAAACTTAGACATCGGCTATTGCGACCATGTCTTTACCGATGAAGAGCGGAATTCAGTCGTAATCTCAGACAGCAGGCTATATGTCGTTCAAACAATGCAGGTATGTTGCACAGATTGTACACTTTGCTAGTGTTCAATCGTTCAATTCAACAGGTTCATTATACGACTTATGACCTTAGACAAGAGTATGGTGCTGTCAATACTAGGACGCACCCGGATGTTATGGTCTTATCTGGGGAAACAAGACCCCAACATCCATACTGGTACGCCCGTGTTCTGGGCATTTATCATATGGATGCCTGGCTCAAGGTTAACGGTCTGGTCAAAAAGCACCAAATTGAGGTCCTTTATGTCAGATGGCTAGCACTCTTGACAGACCACCGGTCAGGGATGAATTGCGCTCAGCTTCCAAAGGTAGCCTTTGTCGAAGAGTCTGACCGAGATGCATTTGGGTTCCTTGATCCTGGCCAAGTCATTCGAAGTGTGCATCTGATTCCGGCATTTACCTCTGATCGCAGAACCACCTCTCTTCAGCATGGAAAGTCCTTTGGACGTCCATGCGATGAATTGGATGATTGGGAAGCGTTCTATGTAGGCATGTAAGTGTGATCTTTCTTCCAATCTTCCTCACTTAATCCATCAACCATTCAGCTTTGTCGACCGAGATATGTTCATGCGCTACACGCATTATGGCGTTGGACACCCTACTGCCCAGCGGGAGTTGACAAGAGATTGTGCAAACCTGGACCTCTTGGATAACCCAGAAACAACTGAGGCCAATGACCATATGGACTGGGAGAGTGACATTCAATCCTGCGAGGGCGAAGGGAATGACTGCAGTGATGAAGGAGGCGAGGAAGAAGACGAGGACACGGATGACCAGGAGTGCAAATCTGAAGATGGTGAGAGGCTCGGTGATCTGGATAACGTGGAGATAGGACTTCACGGTGAGGGCGATGACCAGGACCAGTCTGAGTTTGAGGACAACGAAGACGACTACCAGGTCTCTTTCTGACTTGTGATATAGCCCACCGGTGACCGTGACATCTGAGTCATGATACCCATCAATAGTACTTGTAATTTGAGATATCTGAATCAAAATATATTCTTTGAATGGAGAGGATGCAAATATTACACTTTTCCGAGAGCTGGCAGCCGGTTTTGAGGCATGGTGCTACCGTGACCGTGACTAGCTGAACATACTACTAGTACTACCTACTAGTACTACTGACTTTGTACTAATTTTTCAGGTAGATGATCCGGGTGAATCAGTCATGATACTAGTCCTACTACTTGTACTATCATGATGTCACGGTGACATGCGAGTCCTTTCCAACCCATCGGCTCCTCAACCGTTTCAACTTGAAGGCATCCGAGTCATTCAAGTTCAAGTTCAAGTTTGCTGCGGCCGCAGTCCGTTCGTCCATTGATCATGCCATCATGATCATCGCGATAAAGCCCACACACGAGCCTGAGTATGCGGCACTGCGTTACAGAAGTAGTAACATGACGATCAACCTGCCAGCTGCAGCAGTGGGAGGCTTAGCTTGAATGGGGTGCAGCTCAGGCGAGCCTGCCAGTGAGCTTGCCGGTCTCTGAGTTGGGGTGACCCAGATCTCTTCAACGACCTAACTTCAAGTTGGACCTTGTATTAGGCCCGGGCCCACTACACTAGTAGTAACCGACCAGGTCCGAGTCAGCGCATCCGCCAAGCCCTGCCAGTGATCAACTTGAAAGGACAGCTTACTTTGCATCCTCATGATATCTTAAGTCATCCATGCTCCTCTTTCACACCGCCTCTCACGATGATTCACCAGGGATATGTGGCAGGAGGCAGCCATCACTGGCCGTTACTCGAGTAACATCGAGGTTTGTGAAATGAGCAAGCAGCCTGAACTCAGTTGGAGTGTTCAAGTTCAAGTTGCCCTTGTCTTCCAAGTCCGAGTCAGACTGTCCATCTACTAGTACTCAATGCTCATTCTCCTTCAGTCAGACATGCTCGAATAAGATCCGATGTTCACAGCATCCTCATTCTGACCTGGCAGGGATAACCACCATGTTAACTTTACTCACGAGCTTGATCATATCTGATACTCAAATCTCGTCAAGTGCACCAACCGGACACAATGTGCAAGTTTTGAGCTCGTATCCGTATCATTCACGGCGTTTTACAAGTCCTCAGACAGCTGTCAACCCTGACTGCCCAGTTCAAGAAGGTTCGACGCCACTGGCACAGGTGTACAGACTCGGAGGAGTTGTTCGTGCCTCCCAAAACTTTGAAAGACTGTCATGGTCCCCATGGCTATCTAGTAGCAATTCTCTCTTCCTTGTCGTCATCGTTCTCTCCTCAAAATGACACCCAGGACTCGGAGGCTCTGATACTTGCCAGTGATACTGGACCAGTGACATGCACAGCCGCGTCAACATCAGAAGTCCTCATCTGTTTGACTTTGCCATTAGTAGCGGGTCTCATTGAGTCCACTCGTTTTAATGCTCAGCTCAGATGAGATTTTTGTTACATGTGCGGCTGTCTGGCGATCGATGGAGAAGATTTGCCAACGAGCTAGCTGTTTACCACAACGCTAGAGTCTTTATTGGATTATTGGGAATTTGATGTAATTTGTAAATGAAAACCGTGACCGGGCGTAGTAGACGGTGGTTGCAACAGCTATGAAAAGCCTTGCAAAGCTCAAGCCAAAATGAGGGAGAACAAGGACAACCGAAGGTATGCCCTGCTGTCGCCAGCCAGATATGATGGCGGCATGTTACAATTTTGTTGAGAAGTTTGATAACATTCTACATGTGTTAACCAATGCCAAAGGATACTTCCCATGCATCGCATCACATATCATCTCAAATCAACATATGAAAGACGAAACAATGATGAAGATGGGAGGGATTGCGAAGAGTGCGCTGTCATCCCTTGCTGGTCTTCATGGCGCCTTGTGATGACTTTGTTACGTGGTCCCAAGCTTATCTACAAACGTCGACCAATGCCAAAGTGTACTTCCTTTCAATGACATTACATGTAGCCCTAATTCCAAACATCAAAGCCAAAGAATGACGAGTATCAGAAGTCATCGAGAGGAGTACACTGCTCTCTCCTACTCGTTTTCATGGTGCCACAGGACGACTTTGTTACGAAGTCTCAATCTATTCTCCATATGCTGATCCATGCCAAAGGTACTTGCCAAGAGAATGCATTGAATAAGGTTGCAATTTAAAACGTAAAGAAGGCAAAACGACAATGCTCAAAATAATTGGTTCTATTACGCTACTGACCCGTATCGTCTTTGAGGCAGAAGTATCACAACGTTGTCATGGAGTGCTAATGTAACTCTGGATTCGCGGGCCCTGATGGCCATGTATGTACAAATCAAATCTTTCACGGTATATATGATGATATTTGGCTACAGCAGAATTGTATCCTTCTGTAGTTCACATGGCTACCATATCAAGGAATCATCCGTTTACTGATGAAAATCCAGCACTAGATCCCCCTCGTGCTCGCAGTCAACATCCTCTCCCTCGTTGCCTCTTCCTATCAATCCTGCTTGTCAGTTACCACTATCAGTGCGGCCTTCACGTTATTTATTCAGTGACTTCTACTGCATCTTGGACTCCTCTTCTCCTAGCTTGCACTCCACCTCAAACACACTACCTTGCCGTATATATATATCAATGTCTACATACATGTTCCTGTCATCGGTAGTCATAATTTTATTTTGCATCTTCATCTCACCCAGCAAACGAGTGATGAGCGTTACCCTTCCAAAATACTTCGGCTCCCAGGTATTGGCCTCTGCTGTAAGTGAGGTAACGCACATACCTTGTTTTCGGGAGCTTCAAGTTGGGGTAGCCGAAGTACTTCGGAAGGCCACTCCTTGTTTTCGGGAGCTTTGGGGAGCCGAAGTATTTTGGAAGGGTTCGCTATTCCAAAATGGAGTAGGCCCAGCGGCTACTGTCGCTTGTTACTCATCCGAAACTCAAACTGCGTGTAGAGCCATTCAATGACCTCCGTCACTTTATGATAGCTGAGCAGTGTATGATCAAAAATTTTATTAACACAGGATATATTTATAAAGACCGCTCACTCTCTACAGTGCGGAATATGCAATCGAAGCACCCTCGCAACAAAATACCTTCCACATTGGTCACATATTTTGAAAAGCTCCCAGTCCCAGATACCCACACAGTCAGGAGACCGTGACCTGTTTCAAGACTATTCATCACAACCACACCATCCTGTACTTGTCCGAGGGGGAGATAGGTGGACACACGTCGGCATCCACCATGACTCGCTGATCCTTGAGTAGTAGCGGTACCTTGAGCAGATACTTTGTATCAATTAGCTTGTGTGCCGAATTGTATTTGTACCTGATTAATAAGTCGAATAAATAGTCGCGGGTTTACTGAGGTCACACCGACCAAACCACGGAGTTGTCGGAAATCAGGTTAGAGCGAGACGTGGGATCCAATATAAGCGTTGAAGTAGGTGCAATGTTATGCGGGTTGGGAGGAAGATGCATCTAGGTGGAAAAAAAAAAACATTAAGTGTTACTTGGGAGTTTATTAATTATCAACAAACATAAAGACTACATTCGTGATATGTTAATATAGCTAATTTCATAAAGGCCAACGGTCCTTCGTAGGTGACGGTGTCGAAGCGTTCCTATGGTAGATGTCGAAGGGGTGAATGCGTGGAAGCCACTGGGAGCGTGAAGGCGACGTCATATTTGTGATTTGAGCTCTGGTGTGAACAGTGGGCGCTTGAACTCGGATAAATTAGAATTTGGACTACACGAAAGGAGATGAGTTTTTGTCGAATGAAGGTATCGAACTGAATCAGAACGTACATGAAGCAGCGGGCGCAGTGTACATTGGGAGGAAGATATTAACAGACAGCGTCAGCGAAAGAATGGCTGTTGGAACTAACAAAGATGGGCTCCTCATAGGCTTACCTTACTAGTACATAGGACAGGTTTAGTGAGGGTTAGCGGTACTCGGGTCCCAAACGACAACAACATTTTAGAGCGATCAGTGAGTACTAGAGTGCTAGCTAGTGTCAAACCACTAGTTCCCCCGAAAATTCTCGTTTCCCAGCACAAGTTGCGTCAATTCAGTACAGAACGAGACTCTTGCCTAAACCTTATTAATACGGCGCGCAGCGCCAAATACTTACACCCTTAAAACACATCCTGAACATCGATAGCAGTGCTCAGCAGGCCTGATACTTCATTCTTACCTTTTCTGACCCTTTTCACAGAGTATTTCCAGTAGTACTACGTAGTGTGTTTATGAATATAATATGCACCTCTCTCACTCGAAAATGGAATGAATCAGTGATGATATATATATTGCTGGGAAATGTCGATCGATGATACATAAGCTTAGATGTTAAATTAGGCTAGGATGACAGTGGCGCTGCCCGGTGTAAGTAGTCAAGACTGTCGTCCCTTAACCGTTACGCCTAGACCGTTAGGCCAAAAGGCAGTGATAATCAAAGCTCAAGCTTCAAGCTTGATTATCTCGGACAGTATTTATGTTGATTATGGGAACTCAGGTAAGCAACGAGCTTACACCGGGTTCCAAACGACCACATTCAAGTTTTAGAATTGAATGTTGAGCCTCATCCTTGTTACGTCAAGTACTTAAGAGTAACTGACAGTCGGTTACGAGTCTACATCCTAGTGGCGTTCGGTTCGCGTTCTATTCGGTATCGAACTTCTACAATTATGATCACGTATGTATAATGATTTGCTATAAAGTATGGAACTCGAGTGCCCCCTTCTGACCTCTCTAACTTATCATAAGTTAGAGAGGTAGCCATGCTTGCCATCGTTCTGCTGCTCGCTCTGCCGTTCTGCACCGCAGAGTCAGCTTCCAGTTATGCAGGATCAACCGTCGTTGATTCTTATCCTCCCCCCGGTGCCACCAACACTGCTATCGACGCTTACTTCCCGGATGCATCTCAAGTCGGTTATGCAGGTCCAACGCCTAGTCAGTGATAATGCTAATTATATTTCCTGCGTTCTAATCAAAAAATTCAGCTGGTGCTGAACCTGCGGCCATTGTCACTGCTATCCCATTCTCTAAGATCGAAAATGTATTTCCCTTGTCGAGGCCCAATTCAGCAGACGGCGCGAACGTCACTTTCGATGTGATGCGTCACTGGGGCAACTTGTCGCCCTTGTACTCCGTGGAGTCGTTTGGTCTTCCTGGTGCATCTCCCGTCATCCCGGAAGGGTGTGGCATCAACGCAGTGCATCTCTTGATGCGCCATGGCGCCCGCTATCCAACATCTGGCTCCGGAGGTTCTCGATTGGCCTCTGATATTCATGCTGCTGCATCGAAAGAAGGCTTCAGTGTCACTGGTGATTTGGAATTCTTGGCAACCTGGACATATAAGTTGGGCGCGGAGACCTTGACGCCTTTCGGCCGCAACTCGCTGTACGTTCGCTGTCCTCTACGATACTTTCACTGACGCCCCCCTCCATCAGCTTCAGCAATGGGGTTGCCTTCCGCTACAGATATGGCGAGTTGCTTAATGCCTTCACGGACCTCCCAGTATTCCGTACTACTTCTGAAGGTTTGCCTGCATCGAACGTTTGTTTCACAATGTGCCCTGATGGTTTGCTTATGTTGTATAGATCGCATGGTGGATTCTGCGTGAGCAATTCGTTCATATTTCTGCGTGCACCGTGCCTGATAATGCTATCGATAGCCTGAACTTTGCTGCAGGCTTCTTTGGGGTCAGAACTTACGAGACCGACTATCACCAGGAGATTATCATCGAGGAGAACAACTTCAACAACACCCTCGCTCCTTATGATGTGTGCACCAACTCCAATAATGCGGATATCGGTCGCTTCGGTGGTACTCAGGCTGGAAAATGGGCAAATATCTATCTCGAAGATGCTCAAATGCGCTTGCAACCAATGATCCAAGGATTTAATTTGACCATCTCACGATTGTTTTATATGCAGCAACTATGCGCCTATGAGGTAATTACATCATCTACACCGTCTTCATGGATTTCTGACATTCTGCAGACCGTGGCCCTCGGGTATTCCAAGTTTTGCGACCTTTTCACTGAGAAAGAATGGGAAGGATACGAATATTTCAATGGTATGTTCCCTAAAATGATTCTTACTAAGCTTGGCGGTAATCTCTATTTGTAGATCTTAGTGAGCACATTGAGCGCTAAACTTGCAGCCTGATTGACTGATGTGACTTCATTGTCAACAAAGACTTCTGGTACAGCTACGGACCAGGTAATCCAACAGCAGCAGCGCTAGGCCTTGGCTATGTTCAAGAACTAGTCTCACGTCTCACTCATACTCCCATCAGTGTCTGGAACAGCAGCACCAACAGCACTCTTGACTCGAGCAACATCACATTCCCTCTTAATCAACCTATATATGTGGACGCTAGCCACGACGTGATCATTTCCACTAGTATGTTACCGCTTCCTTCCTCTCCAATTCAAGACTACTGACGGAAGGGCTCAGTCACCACTGCTCTGAACTTCACCAGTCTAGCTGCAACTGGTCCTCTGCCAACCGACCATATACCCCCTCATCGTGTACGCAGTCTCGTAAACCACCGCTTACCTCCATATCTGACCAATCACATCAGTCTTACATTGTTAGCCAGATTGCACCTTTCGCCTGCCAGCTTGTAGCGCAGGTGCTCAGTTGCCCAGCCTCAGAGGAGCCAACTCATATCCGGTTCCTTCTGAACGATGGTGTGATGCCACTGACGGGGATCCATGGTTGCACGGAAGATTCGAACGGTCTCTGCGCGCTGCCCAGCTTCATCAGCGGGATGCATGAACGAATTGGGGAGATCAACTATGCGCATGATTGCTTCGCCAATTATACCATGCCCGATCCCGACAACATAATCGATGGAAGATACCCTAGTTAAAAGGATGGTTGAGTATTTTGTCGTATATACACAAGTTGCCACCTTTTGGAGAATGTTAATGAACGTTAATGTCTAGACAAAGGCCGAGCTTCGCCAGCAGCAAGTTGGTTCCACAAGTACTAATGTCGTGTGCTATCTTGTGGAGAATGCATCGAAGGTATACTAATTGTACATCATCAGCAGTATCCTTTGGGAAGTAGCGAGCCAAGGTAAGAATCGAGGAAAGCTGCGGAAAATTCGTTGTCGGACAATATGCTACATGTGTGATGAGAATGAGCACCTTTCAATAGACATGTTCTCACAAATCATTGAGATGCCGTGTACATAACTTTCAGAAAGCACAACTTAAAGTTGACATCATTTTAGTGAACCAGAAAGCTTAGGCAATGCATATGTAGCAGAGGTAGCAATAAGTACAATAATTCGCAACGGTTTCACTTGGTCAGATGAGATTGCCAGTACAGTGAGAAATTGAAATGATGACCAAGAATGACTTACAGTGAATAAACAATGAACAAGCTTGATGGAATCAACACCCACGGTGTATGAACGGTGTTTAAGTTCTCGGCATCGCATTCTCGTTGAATCATCTTCTCGAACGCCCATAGATTACGGATCATAGATGGAAAACTTTCTGAGGACAAGTTGAAGTCATCGTGGGGCACGAAAGTGAATTCCTTTTCATGGACAGACTATCAAATAAAAGAGGTTTCAGCGCAATGACTGTGCGTAGTCAAGATGGACCTCCGAGGATCTACACACCAAAAATATTGTCAGTAGGTTTCGAACCAACTCCAAGAGAAACAGATTTGGACTCTGTTGTGGAACTTGTGATAACCACTTGGCTAAGACCAGTTATGTGGACCTCTGAGGAAACCATCCATGAGCCAATGTCAAGGTGTGTTCCAATAAAAAAGACCTGTTATTCGGCAAGTTTCGAACCTGCACAGTTGCAGAGAAACAGATTTTGATTCTGTTGCGGTAACCACTTGGCTAAGACCAGTTAAGATGAACAACTGAAGAAACCATCCATGAGTGAATCTTCAAAGCGTGTTCTGACAGAAAAACTTGAAGAACCTTATCGTCGGCAGGTTTCGAACCTGCACTGGCACAATCCAAGAGACAGATTTAGATTCTGTTAAAGTGGCCAGGACGAAGTTGTCATGAACCTCTGAAGAAACCATCCACGAACGAATTTTTAAGGCGTGTTCCAGTAGAACAAAAAACCTACATACTTATCAGGCAAGTTTCGAACCTGCACAGTCTTGAAGATAAACAGATTTTGATTCTGTTGTGGTAACCACTTGACTAAGACCTCTTGGATGAACCTCCGACGAAACCATCCATGAGTGAATGTCAAGGTGTGTTACAAGAGAGAAAAACTTGTTGTCAGCAGGTTTCGGACCTGCGCAGTCCAGGAGATACAGATTTCGGTTCTGTGGTGATCACTTTGGCCAAGACGCTTCGCAGCTGAGCGCTGAGCCTCCGAAGAACTGTCCACAGTGAGTGAATGCCAAATTGGAATCCGCGCCACCCAAGATTTCTAATCTGTTCTGGTGCCAGTTGGCCATGTGCATGACTACTTAAGATATACCTTGACCTCGAAGGATCCATCCATGACCAGTGAATGCTCAAGGCGTGGTAAAAGGAAAAAGATTTTTTGATTTTTGAGCAGGTTTCGAACCCGCAACAGATTTCTTTACTGTCACGCTTACCACTTGGCTAAGACTGGTTAAGATGGACGTTTGTAGTACGATTCAAGGAATATCATGCATTGACAGTAGAATCACGTAGGATTAGCTACAGTCATTTGCCAACGAAGGAGTCGGGAAGCGTTCTGATAATAGTTATTAATTCTCACGGGATCAAAAGTCACAATTATGGCTTGACCTTTGTGATACAAAGGAATAATATATTACTTGGCTATGTAAACTAGTAGGTGCCCCCGCCCTCATCTCCCTTCTCGTCGGGTTCCTCGCTACCCACGGCCGCACGCCACCGACCACGACGAGCGCGCGCTGTTTGTCGGCGCCAAGCCTTGCCCCACGACTACAAGGACAACTTGAGAAGTCTCCGACAAACAAGGTGTCAAATGATTGTAGCCGAAAAGGCCTGAACACGGGTGTATTCGGCATCGCAGGTTCTGGGAGATGAGAGACCGATCGTGTTCGATAAGAGCCCTCTTCCACTAACGTTGGGAGTCGGGAATCCGGTATGTATATGTATAGGTACTTGGGATGTCATATATAAAATAAGTTATTAAGTTATGCCGGGGAGCTTGAAAGTAGTGGTCCGGAAGGAGCATATTTCGACTTGAGTCTCAATATTGGTCCATATCTATTTCAGCGTTAGCTCACCATGATGCACCAGAGACTCGTATAAAATCTACCTTGACAGTACGAAGGGAATTGGCATCATGATCAGAGCAATGAAACCGAGTAGTGACGAAGCCCATTCAGGACCAAGCCTATCGTACATCTGAGTGGCGAAGAGCTGAGCGAACAATGATCAGCCGATGCATGAAAAGGGAAGTAGTATCTTCGCTCACAGGAAATGCAGCGCCGAACAAACTGCGGACGACAGTACTTGCAGCTAGCGCCGAGGCAGCGACAGCCAAATATGCATCAATGATGTAATTAAACAGGGCAAGCTTCGAAACCGTCGTGAGCTGTAAGCCAGCATGCAAATTGTGACAACGTACAAATATCAGGCAAATACTCCATCCGAGCAATGCGCCCGACATCATCGGGACCCACAGGGAAATACTAGGAAAGGATGTCCATGCAAACCAAAAGAACGATACCGCAAAGAATGGCGCTGAGACCATGGCGACCCTCAATCTGAACTCTGGCGGCACAGGGTTTGGTGCGCATTCCTGAACTTTGCGCTCGTAACTTGGGTTAAAAAAGAGAATGTACTAAAACGCATGATAAGAACATGGAAGCATATGATGAAATATGCACACCGTTGCAACCGCAATAAACCCGCCAATGGGCAGCGGAAGGAACATGAGTCCAGACACACCCGCATTCAAGTTATGCCCCTTGGTGAAAACCACAGGATAGGCCTCGAAAAGCAGGTATATACAGCCGTAGACAAACTAGGATCCAATGTCAACAATCCTCGTCAATTTGCAAGATAGCTACACTTACGCTCATATACAGAGTTATAGCAATCAACATCGGTTCACGAAAGAGAACTTTAAAAGGGCGAGCAAGAATAGTTTCCATGCGTTGCGAGAGTGTCATGTTTTGTGATTCAATGGCAGCATGGTATCTCTCGTCCCCAGTGCGCTTCCGGATCTCTTTAGCTTTCTTGGCAAGAAGCACCGGACTAAAATTAAGGGATGAGTGCTTAGCCAATAAAAGCCATTTCCTAAAATCCGCTCACCTATATGTCTCAGGGATCGTGAAAACAATCTGCAACCAGCAGACGCCGGCCTAAAAATATGTGTGAGTTGTGGCTGATAGAAAATGGAGACAGGACTTGCAAAAATAGTCAATATCCAAAAAAGCCAGTGCCATGAGACACCAGCTACAACAAGGTATCCTGCTACTACTGGTCCAATACCTGGTCCAGCAAACGGAGCCACAGTGAAAACCGCGAGAGCAGTGCCGCGTTCCCTTGCGTCCCAGATGTCCGATATGAGTGCGCTAGAAGATTCGCCTTGTAAAAATGGAACTTTCCCATTGAAGCAAACGGTATCTACCCTGAATTTGCTAAAGGAGCAGCTGCAAATGTACCCCCAAGGAAACGGAAAATCAAAATGGATGTGATGTTCTGCGACAAAGCACACCCAATTTGGAAGCACTAAAATATAAAGATAATTGAGTGAAAGACAGGGAAAAAAATGAAGAGACCAACTGACCATGTATATGAAGAAAGATATAATGAATATTGGGCGTCGTCCGTACTGTTCCGATAACGGTCCCCAAATCAAAGGGCCAACACAATAACCGCACACGAAAAGCGAAATAGTCAACGTTCCGACCTCCTGGGATATTCCAAATTCCTCCATGAAGATAGGTACCAGAGCAGATGGGGCGCTACTCGAGAAGGTGCTAGATAGGGCAAACGAACAAAACTTGAGTGTTTAATATTTCGCGAGAAATGTCGTACGCACGCATTGAGGACCAGAAGACCGCCAGCAAGGGTGAGGTACCACTTTTTGGCAAAAGACCAGTTCTAAATGAGTTCGTGAGCTCATCAACATAGTCTTGCAGCAACTGGAAAGTACCTTTGGATTGGCTGAGTCACCCTCATCAAAGTGCACTAGAAATGGGTCTGGATTGTCAAGAGCGGTAGTAGAGGCATCCTCCTTGTTGATCTGCTCAAGTTGAGCGGCGGTAGAGGCAGTTTGAGTTGATACCCTAGGTGAGTCGGCCATGTTTGCAGGCAGAAAAATGAGGGGCCGGATAGATTATGGTGTCCTTTTAAAGGCCTGAAAGCTGAGTGATGACGATGCCTTACAGGCATAGTCGTCGGGCATTCTGCTCCTACCTGACACAATCGCAGTGACATACAGCTGCATCAGTTGTGATATAGTCTGACAGTTTGTCAATCCCGGTGCCACTTTGTCATAACGGATGCCTAAGGTCATCGTGCCGACGTGCCGCTGTCGGACTGGTAGTGTCCACACGTGCAACACCGTGTTCCAGACTAATACCCGGATTTTCTTGCGGCCTCTACACGAGGGCCATGCTAGCCCCCACCGCTGACCGCAGGACTTCACGCGGACGCTGTGACTTCATAGAAGCGCCCGAACCTGCCTGCGACCGTTTACATGATTTACATTAGCTAAGGAATTTAATTTAGTCAGAACTCCGCAGTCCACGTAAAACTTTAAATATAAGTCTGGAACGGAAGATTCCAAATAAGGTAGCCCGCATTTACATAAGCACTTCAAGTTGGACTCTAACTTTGACCAGTAACTATGGACTTCACAGAAATCTACAAGCAATCCGGAAACCTCGCGTCGTTTAGCCCAGGCGCTCACTTCATCCTCAATGTCGTCGAAAACACCTTGATCGTCAGGCGAACGGATACTCTACAGATTGCGCGCACATGGACAGTCACCGCGCCTTCCAGCACAGCTAGCATTCTAACCAACTCAAGATTAACTCCATCAAGCTTGGGAGTTTCGTCAGAAGGGTGGATATCTCATGCCGGTTGGTCGTGCGACTCTGAATATCTCCTTGCTGCATCCGCGAAGAAGGGCATAATAGAGGTTTTCAAACTTAGGGACGAAAATTGGAATGCCCGAATTGAAGCTGGTGTCGAAGGCCTCCTCAGAGCTGAGTGGGCACCAGACGGTCGCCACATTCTCTGTTTTTCTCAGTGGGGCGTAAGTATAGCTCCTTTCCGACCGTCTGTCGGTTGTTTATGATTCGTCTGCAGCTTCGAGTCACCATTTGGTCTTTAATCACGGGCAATGCCACTTACATACAGTTCCCAATACACCCCGACAGAGGTACCGTGAAGTAGTATTACCGCCCAATTGTCATGTTATCTAATCAAGTACAGGTTACGCTTTCCGTTCTGATTCCCGTTACTTTGTTTTGGCTGAGCGACACAGGTCAAAAGACGCCATAGGTGTGTATGACACAACTGACAGTTACAAATTAGTGCGGGTAAGTATGATTCCATTGTATCCACCCATCGCTCATGACCAGGAAGGCATTCACAGCATTTTCCTGTACCAACGTCCAATCTGTCATCGCTGGCTTTATCCCCGACTGGTAATCATATCGCCATTTGGGAGGGTATTTTGGAGGTGTGTCATCTCACATCGCAAATCCAAGAGCCGACTAAATGTTCACTCCGATACTTTATCGACAGTACAAATTGCATATCCTGTCTCTAGCCGGAGATGTGCAAGGGACCTTTTCACCCAAGCCAGATCCGGGGTTTGGCATTCGTAATGCAGCTTGGCATCCTACTGGAATGTTCCTTGCCGTGGCAGGATGGGACGATAAGGTATGTGGGTCCGCCGTGTACACCATCATTGTCGAACTTTTCTAGATCTACATCCTTGATGGCCTGACTTGGTCTGCCGCTGCAACGCTCGAGTTGTCAAGTAAGATACCAGTTGGCGCTGTGAGTATACGGACTAAACAAGGTGGAAGATGCTCAATCTTGGTAGACACTATGGCGCGAACCGTCAAACTGGCTTGAAACTACGCAAGGTCGAGGATTTTTGTCTTGTGCGAAATATATTATTGTCGCATCCATTGGGTGGTAATGCTGACAGAGTGCACTCCGACCAGATGAACGACTGCAAGGGCCACAAACAATCAGCTTGCAGCGCACAGATCCGACGAAGCCGAGCCCAAAGTCGGGTGCGGTCCAGCTTGAATGGAACAAGACTGGCACGTTACTGCTAGTGCGGTTTGGTTTGCCAAGACATTTATTTCTTTTGACCTAACTTGACATGATGACCGTAGAAAACTGCCCCACGGTAGTTCATTTGTACGATTTTCCAGCATCGTCGGATCCATTCGTTCCCCGGCTGCGTTGTGTTTTTCAGCACTCGAAGCCAGTCCTGCATGCTCAGTGGAATCCAGTCCGTAAAGGCAGCTTGGCCCTGTGCAGCGGGAATGGTAGCATTTACACATGGAGTGACGAATGGATTGGAGATAACGGGGTAGAGGAAGATATGGCGGAGTGCATCGGTGTACCAGCGAACAGTAGGTTGATCCGTTATTTTTCTGCATTCAGGAATATCGACGGCTTCATAGCAAAATTTGAAACAAGAAATATCAAATGGGCTCCCGACGGGAAAGGGCTGGTGTTGTTAGACAAGGAGGTGTTTTGTTGTGCGTTCGAGGTGGAAGAAGATGGTACCGGAAGCTGAGAGTTTTTTGTCATACGTAGCCTTCACTGTTTATATCACATGGTTGCTTTGAAAGGCTACTAAAATTACTACTTGGCCGTTGCAAGGTTGTCCTATCGCGTCACTGCCGTTGACGACGCAGGCCAACGGCAGAAACCATCCAAAGGGCTGACATAATCACATTAGCCCATTTTTGCAAGCGTTCAATTCCGCCGTAGTACCAGTACGGCGAGCCCAGTCATTCCACTCCATCTTGTCGTCCAATGCTTTCCCGTTCTCTCCGTGCTGTCAGGCTTGCAGACCGTCGACTTGTTTCTCTAGGTGCATCACGATGGCAGAGGACGTATGCAACACCGTCGGATCACAATGACAGCAAACCGCGGCGGAATGAAGAGGGCGAGGGAAATGTGCAGAAAGGCAAGGAGAGGGCTAACAATGATGCAGCTAAAGAATCTGGAGATGGAGGTCCAGAAATCCCGAAAGGACTCGAGGGCTTTTTCAAGCGATATCAGCAGCAGACTTGGTCTCGTCAGTCCTCCGACGAAGACGAGACTCCACGGCAGAAATCACCACCACCACCACCGGGCGGTAATAATCCTAATAATGGATTTAACGTCAACCAACTTGCTCTTCTCGCTACGTCCGCTGCTATATTTTACGCTCTGACTAATTCTTCATCTTCGGGCTCGCGAGAAATTACCTGGCAGGAGTTCCGCACCGCATTCCTCGACAAAGCTCTAGTTGACAAACTCATCGTTATCAACCGGCAGAAAGTCCGCGTCAAGTTGCACTCCAATGCCACTGGCGCGATGTACCCTGCAGCATCTCTCGGTGGAGGAGATTATTATTTCTCCATAGGCAGCGTCGAGGCTTTTGAACGGAAGCTTGACGAGGCTCAGACAGAGCTTGGTATTCCTCCTCACGAGCGGTTACCAGTCGCCTACCACGACGAGATATCTACCTTCAATACCATTCTCAACTTCGCTCCCACTATCCTTTTCGCTGGTCTCCTTCTGTACATGTCGCGACGAGCTGGAGGTGGCGCGGGTGGTGGACCAGGTGGGATCTTCAGCATCGGAAAGAGCAAAGCCAAGCTCTTTAACAAGGATACGGATGTGAAGGTCAAGTTCAAGGATGTTGCAGGTATGGACGAGGCAAAGGAAGAGATCATGGAGTTTGTGAAGTTTTTGAAGGAACCCGCGAGGTTTGAGAAGCTTGGTGCAAAGATACCCCGCGGAGCTATCTTATCAGGACCTCCAGGAACTGGAAAAACCTTACTGGCAAAAGCGACTGCTGGCGAAGCCTCTGTCCCCTTCCTGTCCGTGTCTGGTTCAGAGTTTGTCGAGATGTTCGTTGGTGTCGGCTCCTCCCGCGTCCGTGATCTGTTTGCGTCAGCAAAGAAGAACGCACCTTGCATTATTTTTGTTGATGAAATTGATGCCATTGGAAAGGCCAGAGGCAAAGGAAGCAGCTTCGGTGGAAATGACGAGCGAGAGTCGACTCTCAATCAGTTATTGGTGGAGATGGACGGTTTCGGAACCCAGGAGCACGTTGTAGTACTCGCAGGAACCAATCGTCCAGATGTTCTGGATCCCGCTCTTATGCGACCCGGGCGTTTTGACCGTCACATAGCCATTGACCGTCCAGATGTCTCCGGCCGCAAAGGGATTTTTATGGTGCACCTCAAACCACTCCGGCTAGCACAGGAGCTCGATACGGACAACCTTGCCCAGAAGCTCGCCGTTCTTACCCCGGGTTTCTCAGGAGCAGACATTGCGAACGTTTGTAATGAAGCTGCTCTTCATGCCGCGCGCAAGGGTCACGAGTCTGTCAAGGTGGACGACTTTGAGAGCGCAATTGAGCGTGTTATTGCAGGTCTGGAGCGCAAGAGCAGAGTTCTTAGTTCGGAGGAGAAGAAAACCGTTGCTTATCATGAGGCTGGTCACGCAGTCTGCGGCTGGTTCCTCGAACATGCCGACCCGCTTCTCAAAGTGAGCATTATCCCTCGTGGCGTTGGGGCCTTGGGATATGCGCAAGTGAGTACAGATTTCTTGGACAGTATCTGATAAATAATGATTTTCCGCGCAGTACCTTCCTCCAGACCGCTACCTGCTCTCCACTCCGCAAATGTTGGACAGAATATGCATGACGCTTGGTGGCCGTGTATCAGAGGAGATTTTCTTTGGTCCAGAAAATATCACGACAGGTGCTCAAGATGATCTTCAAAAGATCACTCGCATGGCATTTGAAGCATGCGCAAATTATGGCATGAATACTATCATTGGTCCCGTTAGTTATGGTGGTCGTGAGAGCCAGAAAGAAAGCTGGACGAAACCATTCAGTGAGAAGACGAGCGAAATGTTGGATTCTGAGGTGCGGAAAATGATCATGTAGGTGGATTCGTGTGATCTCTGCAACATCAGCTAATAATTCTCTTTCAGCGGGGCACATCAACGGACCACTGAGCTTCTGACACTCCACCGGGAGAGCGTGGAGAAGGTCGCCCAGCTTCTACTGAAGAAGGAAGTCATTACACGGTATGTTACGCGGCGTCCATTCCGCCTGCCTTAAGCTGACGATTGTCTGTATAGTGAGGATATGATTGACCTCTTGGGTAAACGCCCGTTCGCCCATAAATCCGACGATATGGACAAGTGGCTAGATGATAATCGCGGTCATGAGCGCAGCGCTCCAGCACCGATTGAAGAAGCCCCACAGAATACTGTAGATCCCGCCCCTGCACCCGTCGCCACGTCGACAAAAATAGAAGACTATAAGTGGTAGTTCCTTTCTTCTCTTGCACTGATATACTGGGTTTCGTTTCACGAGGAGGCTCTGGACGCAACTACATATATGTTTTGTATCTTCGATTTTACACGACGCTCGTGTTACCCTTCTACTTACCGTTCTCGATGCATACTAAATAGTATTTAAATGGTATATCGGAATTGACTCCACTGATCACCTCTCTCGCGTCGTGCATCGTTGACTGTCTCGAATCGCCCATTCTTCAAAGCTGACTCGTCCATCTCTCCAGAGTTGTCGCTGTCGATTACCTCATCGCGCTCTCCTCTATCCCTTCGCTCGTTCTCCCTACGCAACAGGAATATAAATGCTGCTGAGCATAACCAGCCAATTGCAATGTAGGCAAGCATGGTGCCATGACCAGGCCTGTACCAGGGTGCGTCCTCCGCGCGATACTACGGACCGATAAGCGGGCAGTCAGTTTGAGCTAGTTTTGCAGACTCACAACGTTCGAGGAAACAGCTCCGTTCAAATTTCCCCTGCATTGATGTCAATTACACTGCCTGGTGGCATATGGAAGGACCGACGTACCACCCGATGGCCATGGCAAGTGTAACACCTCGTTTATAGGAGCCCTCAACATTGCTTGCCACCCATGCTCTGGTATACGGTCAGTGAGAGAAGTAAGAATAAACAAACCAGCGTACACCGAATTCGCTGTTTCATGGCCACATCAGTTCCGTGCTATCTGAATGCGGAAGAGGATTGACACATACGGACTGTAGGATATATGGCGCTAAGGATGAGAATGTTCAAGTTAGCACAAACGTTCGAGTCAGAGTGCATCTCGTGAGACTTACGATACAGCTAGGAAGCATGCGAAATACGACAATGCTGGAGTCGTGGATGCGATCAGTATGATATAACCAACCAGACCTAGAAGATCTATAGCCTATGTTTCGCCATTGAAAGTTGAAAACACTTGCCCGTTCCGAATAGAATTCTATCGTGTCATGAGACCTCAAAAGTTATTTAAATATGATATTGCGCACAAATTTATGTATCCTCTCTTCCCGAGGCGGTCACCAGCTAACCCGACGATCACGGTCACTATACATGACCAGATATAAACGGGCACGGAAAGCAGATTCGCTGTTGTCGCTGTGTAACCTGGGTACTGGGTCAAGTACTCTAGCAGAATAAACGTTGACAACACTCACCAAGCTACCAGTTTCAGCAGCAAGGAAAGGAACGTTGATGAGTGAGATATAATATCTGAACCTGTGGAAAATATACGAACCTCGTTGATGATTGTCGGGGTGAATAAGGAAAACGCGAATAATGGACCATCACTGACGACGTATTAGAGTAATCGCAAGGTTATGCCTCTTTGACCCACAATCCCATATATATACCCACTATGTACACTCAGTACCACTGACAACAATGTCATGAACGCACGTACTTGCCAAGTAGGTTTTCCAGTCCCTGAGGCTTTGCCAGATATATCGGACTTTAAATTCCTCGCCGCCAGCGCTGAACTGCATGTCGCCCCTCAAACGTCTAATGACGAAAACTCCTATGTTCGTGTCAGTGTCGAGTAAGTGTCTGGGAGATTTTCTTTTGCTACTTACTCTCTGCTTTGGTCAGAAACCCGGCTGTCTCAGGGAAATCCGAGATGACCCAATATGAAGCAACCGCACACAGTACGGTGAAGAGTCCTTCGAGAATGAAAATCCAAGACCAGCCAGGCTTTCCTGCGACACCATTCATATTGGATATGGCTGCGGCCAGGAGACCGCCTACGAACATACGATGATTCACAAAACCTTGGATGTACTGTGAAGCACTCACTAAATGCTCCCGCTATAGTGGCAGAAGTGAAGAATGCTGCTATCCGTGTACCAAGCTCGGACCGCTTGTACCAGCTGCGTACACGATGTCAGCACCACGAAGTGTGTTTCTGAGACACATGAGACTTATCAACATACCAAGAGATATAAAATACGATTCCGGGGTATAAACCAGCCTCCGCCACTCCAAGTAGCACTCGCAAGGCTAGAAATTAATACTGGACTCGACAGTGATCGGCTTTCAGAGTATACCAGGCTTACCGACGAGCCCTCCGTAGTTCTGTAGAAATCCGTGGCACATCTTTCCTGAAGTGATCACATTACGAAGATGTTAAAGAACTTCTAACACATACCATGATAATTCCCCAAGCGAACATCATTGAAGAAAGCCACATCCAGGGTCGAATCCTTCTAAGGATTACATTGCTTACAGGCTGCATATGAGGTCAGTACGGGAAAACATGACATATATTCCCCTTACCTCAAGCAATGCATACGGAAAAAAGAAGGCAGTAAGTGCAATGAGGTATTCATTGTCACTGATGCCCAAGTCGGTCACCATGTTGTATAACTGAAAACGCGTCAGAGTCTTGAAGTTCAACTGACTAGCTAGCCAAAAAGCATTACCTTCGCATTTCCTATACTTCCCCGATCCAAAAAGTTGAGAAAATAGAGGAGGGCCAACCAAGGCACGACTCGGATGTCGATCTTACGAAGGAGTCGTCTCTCGTCGACTTGACTGGTGTCGACGTGGGCCTCATAGAGCTCGTCATTGTCTGCTGCTAATGCTACGACAGATCCTGAGTGCGACATCAGACAAAAGGATGATAAACCAAGTATCAAGCAGTCTTATCACATATAAATAGTGGATCTCCATAGTGCGCTTGGAACACAGCCGCCTTATCATATATCATGGGTGAGCACATACTTGTTGGGACACAGGATCCTTCTCAGGCTGTCGGATTCTAACTACAGCATCTTCGCCTCAAAGGAACACTTTACGATATTCATCAATCCCAACGACAGCTTCCAGCCCCTTAAGTGCCACCCTGAACCAATCCCTCACGTCCTCTGTATCAACCCCAGCAGCTCTTATAACCGTGCCTTTGCCGTCATCTACAGGAGTCAGGGACCAAAGGAACCTCTCCGGGGAAGCACGCTTGAAAATAGAAATAGTGCGGTACTTTGCCTGCAAGTCAGTCACGACACCATTCGTCTGGGGCCCATAAAGAAGCAGCATAGCATAGCATGAATAGGGCGCAAGCCTATCTTTGAGTGTCCGAAGTGGTGGGCGGCTAGTAGGATTTGATGAGCAGGACTCGGATGCAGTTTGGGTATCAAGGGACGAGCTATCTAGCAGTAAAACGTCCCGCGCGACGCGTCGGCCTTCTACGAAGACTTCGTTGACGCTGTAATACCGGAGGAAATCCCAGTCCTCCCCCATAGACTTGCGCCCCGACGTAACCCAGTCTAGCAACACAATCGACGCGCTCCCGGCAAGATGGAATGTTTGCACTTGGGTATAGGATGCAGAGCGGAAGCACGTCACGGGGTCCGGGAGGAGGAAGAGCGCGCTGTCAGGAGCTATAGTGACTTCCATGGATTGAGTCGTGACCGCTTGCAGACTCGGACTGCTTGGAATTGGCTGGGGAGAAGATCTTCGAAAACGCGTGGATGCTCTGTTGCCAGCACGCGTTTTGAAGACTTTGGTGGATCCCTGACGGACGTGATCTCAGACTGGTCATCCTCATGCAACACACACCATCGCACCTGTGAGAGTAGTAAGAGCTTGCATTCTTTTCCTACTTCAACAATAAGTTGCATGCAGTCCCCGCCAACAAGACCACCACCATAGCTCATCACGTATACTATAGCAACCCCATGTTCTGCAACTCTAGGTGATAAGAGCTTAAGCGGGTATGACGACGAGAGCTTCGAAAAGACGACAGTTGATGAATGTAGATCACAGCTGATATGGCCAGTGCCCACAGGGATGCCCTCTCCAGCCGTGGAGGACATTCGTTGTCAATTGACATGGAATGACAACTAGAGTCTAAGAGCGATACGATAACAAGCTATTAGAAAGACATATTCCCAAAATGAATCTTACAGGTCTTATAAACTAGAACTTCTGCTTATCATTTCAAAAGCTAATTAATTGCCGACCTATTCACCACGTTTCGGCGAGTATTTGAACAGCGTATTCCATATTATCCCATACACGTTGAGTCGCCAAGACGAAGCAGAGCAACGAAAAGGAAAGGAAAAGGATAATCCAACGAGCGACAATAAAAGAATCAAGCAAAAGTAATAAGATATGCGAACAAAGACGAATCGAATCGATGATACACAAATGATCGAGGGAGTGGCATGGAACAAATCCAATAATTTTGTACTGCAAATCTGGGAAGCTCCAGGAAAGGATATGCGAATCAGAGACATGCATGGGGTCATCGTGCAGATCGATCAGGGGGAGAGCGGGGAACAGCATAAGACACGAAAATAATATCAATACTGCCGTGTAGCCAGGGCACGGATTTCATACAGGTCTCGTCGATCAAGCGAACCAAAGGGGTCCGTCTGCCGTGACGTTCGCCATCCTTTGAGTTCTTGTTTGTGTCTTTCTTCCGCAGTGCGACATATTTCCACGAAATCATCGGCCACGTCGTAAACAATGGATGCCCTTGAACCACGATCACTTTCCGACTCAGAATTTGTGCGTATTCGACTGCGTGCCGGGCTGGGGGCGGTGATGATGATAGCGGAATTTGTCGAGCTGCTTGTATCTGATATTGCGCCACTGGTGCACCCTTGGCTGGCACGGATTGTGCCTCCCTTCGCTTCCCATGCATTTTCGTCGTCCTCATCATCTGCGAGATCGGCGAAGACATCTGGTTCTTCTTCATCGGGAGGTAATGTTGATACCCAACACATCCGTGTAGGGTCGAAGATCATGTTGCCGACCTTGCGGGCACCGGCAGCAAATGAGCCCACTGGGGATCCAATGGATGACCCGGTGAGGTGTGTAATCAACGCAGGGCGCGTGGAAGTTCCGACGACCGTATCGAAATCACGGAGTACTTGATCATTTCCTTCCCAACGAAGGGTTGTCGGATTCCATTTCATTTCACCCACAACTGCGTTGACACTACCATGAACACCAAATTAGGAGCTACTATGACTCGATCGTACCTTTTGGTCCACTTGCACTGCCGAGGTGGCGGATCAGGGTAGGTTTTCTCCTTGTGTGGCCGAGCACAGGCGATGTGGCATCTTTCTTCTTCTTTATGGAAATCTCAGTGCCAGAAGTCTTTGCGAACTCAATGCGACCAGTGCGCCTCAAGGTGTTGGTGGCGGGTGCGAGTGCGCCCGAGACATCTATAATAGGAAGGCACATGAGGAGGGCGAGCACACAAATACACGTGTTCTTACCTGGACTGGGGACGTCCTTTCTTCCCTTCTTGCGCATCGTACCTGTCTCCTTATCTTTCTCCTTGTCGGAGGACTTTGACAAGTTACCAACAGGACAACGATTTGTCGTCTTGGGTTGTACCCTAAATCTTCCCTCCTTATCTCGGTCTGTCGGGAGGTCGTCAAAGGCATCTAATTCAGTGCCGTCACCATATGTGCGTTGTCGTTTTGGTCGGCGCAAAAGTTTGGGAGCTGATGTCGAAGGTATGAGTGGTGTCTGCGTTTGTGCAGCACGACTACGTAATGATATTGTTGAAGGAGGGCGAGGCAGTATTGGTGATGTTGCGCGATGTGAAGGCTGAGGTGCAGGGAGGGCAGTGGTAGTGGTAGGTCCGGGGAAGACAGAAGACAGGGCAGGTCGCGACTTCATACGTATTGAAGTTGGCATAGTCAAGCGCAGTGCGGCAGGATTTGAAGAAGGGGTAGATGGCCTCGTGGGTGGCACGATAAAGTCGAGGCCGTGGATACGACTGGTCGAGCTCGTGTGTGATTTTGCACGTGAGGCGGCTGTGGGTGCCTCGTAGCGTGCAAGTTTACCTGATGATGGACCTGCAGTGACGATGGTACCAGAGCCTGATGCCTGAGAGGTGTTGCATTCCATTAAGGAAGACAAAGAGGCTTTGCGGGTGAGCCCCTTGCGTTGTATTGCAGGAGGGGTAGGGGGTTTAAGGCCAGAATGTGACTTTTGTCCCCGGAGACTGCCAGGTTTAGGGGATAAAAAGGTGTTTGTTGGAGGAGGAGCGGCGGCGGAAAGTGCTTCCTTATAAGTGAGAGCACGTGTACACAATGGGCGGGGTGGCGGTGAAGACGAAAGCTTAATGCGCTGTAACTGACGGGCAGATGATATGGGAGGATTCACAGGTGACTTTGCCCTATCAGCCCTCATCCTTGAGGGCGGACGTGTGGGCAAGAGTGCGCGAGCAGGAGCACTTTTGCTACGATTGTAGCGCTGGCTCTGCTTTGCGTTGACGAGCCTGCTTGGGCTGAAGTCGTCATCATCCTCGATAACGAGACCCATTTCAAAGTCATCCTCGGGGTCGGGGCTGGCAACCTTTATACGTTGATCAGTTATCAGGACCTGTTTCTTGAGTTCGAGCATCTTTTTAAGATGCTTTGCGCTCTGGCTGGACTCAAAGAGGTCAGAGGGAACAACTAATCCCTCCAGCTCGCTCTCGTTTTCATCGCATTCACTTTCTTCTGTTTCGTGTAAGGAAAGGGAGGATACAGAGTTTGATGACGAGGAAGCATCGGCGAAACCGAGGGAGGAATATGCATCAGAGGATTGAGAAGATGAAGTGTGATCACCCCACTCCAAGGAGTTCTTCGAAGAGCGATGGCTAAGTGAGAGAGGTGCGAGGGACAACTGTGTGAGGTCTGAAGGAAGAGCGAAGGCGGATTCGATGTCCTCGTCGATGGGAGAAGGAGGGGGTTTTGCAAGAGCCATTTGAAGAGCGGCGACCTTGATGGTAGACACACCTTCATCTTCTTCCTCGTCTTCTTCCTCCTGACAGGTGAGCGGGGGACGAATTGTGATCATGTTACCAGAAACAATCCTTGAGAAGTGTGACCTGGCAGTCATACCAGCGACGACGGCCTTTGCCTTTGCGCCGCCAGTTTTACCGAGGTCCATTTCAATGTCCCAATCCATAGCGTCATCTTCATCATCATCCTTGTCGGATTCGACGTCGAGAGAACGGATATGGTCGCCATCTGGTAGGTCGAAGTCTGCGTCCGGCCACTCTTCACGAGCGAGCGGTAGTATGGGAGCTGGAATGGTGGACATGCTGGATTACAGTATTTGTTGTAAATATACTAAGCCCCGTTCGGGGCTGGCGAAGTAAGAGGTCAGTGGAGTTTAATGGTAGGGAGCGTATTGGAGAGAGAAGGGCGATTAGAAGACCGGCCGAATGATAAGTGTGTACCGGACGGTGTGATCTTCACATACGCGACCTATGAACGAACAATGGGCTTGGGTGAGGACAAGTCAGCGCTTGATCCTCGTGTCCAATCAACGAAAACTGGAGTCGTCGAGGGAGATGTTTGTGACTATTTGTCACTCGATGTAACAATACTCCAATGTCCTCGTCACAAATAAACCAAAACAATATCAAGTTGTATTTATTTGTACACCAGGAGAAGGAAGCGTACAGCCTTCGCAGTATACCGAACTAGTATGGCATTAGTAGTCGCCTCTGCCTCGCCTCGTGTTCGATCTCATCCTCGGAACCATCCAGATCTTCGCTACCAGAACCGCTTTCATCTCCGCCAGTCATCCTGTATTCATCTACACCTTTCCTCATCCGGATACCCCTTTCTGCCATAATGTCCGCGAATCCATCAAGCTCGCGAGCACTAAACACAGAACGAAGCGGCCCAAAAGCCATCATATATAAATCTGCATATAATATTCAGCTGATAGTTCGTTGGCCATCGCAATATACTTACCTTTGGCAAGCGGACATTCATTCACTGCTCTGTAGAGCAGTTTCTTTGCCCTTTGCAGCTCCCCGACCCGAACCTCAAATTCCAATATGACGCGCCACAAAATAGCGCTTCCCGTCGTCCTGAAAATAATGTCAGCCCATGACAGCCGGAGCAGGATAATCGCACAAACCTCTCACTCTCCGCAGCCGCAGTAAGCCCGCTCCTCGTCCTTTCGATCTCACTCTGCCATCGCCCTTTCTCCCACCCAGCCACCCACACTTCTGCGATACGCCGTGAAATGCTCTTTTCCCTCGGGCCCCCATCAGCCGTGCTTTGTCGGAGTTGGGCGCGTACGCGACCCCAGATACCATGCCCCTTCTCAGCTTCTAGAAACATTCCCAACACCAGGCTATTGTCGGGGTAAGTTCCGACAGCAATCTGCAGTCGATCCCTCAGGACAGCTGGCGGAGTAGGACTTCGTAGCATAACTGAATGATTGTACAATAGCATAAGAGATGCCACCATCATGCTCTCTCTCGGATCGGAGCTCTCATTAACGCTCGGCTGAGAGTCAAAGATCGTGAGTGCCCCATCTTGAGATGAGGAAGTAAGCAGTTCGATCAAGGCTCGCAGTTTTATCCAACCCTCTCGGTCCTTCCACTGCTCGTGAGCGCAGCTAATCGTATCATCGAGGGCGCGCTTTACACGAAGAACCACCATACCACCCGCACCTTCGATGTTGACTGAGTGCTGGATAACACGTAGTGCCGCATTTTGGTCACCATTGAGCCATTCCATTTCAGCCCAATCCCACCATAACTGACCAACGAAAGGCTGGCTGGGCGGGCGCTGAGAGGCTACAAGTACCGTTTGATAGATCTTACGGGCATCATCCACGTGCTCGCGCAAGCGCTCAAGACGTGCGTGGGTTGCCCAGTGCGGTAGAGAATCTCGTGCTGTCGACAAAAACGTCCGCGAGAGCTTCAGGGCACTGCAACACCAACGTAAGTGCCACTCACACACATCAAAAAACAGATCGTACCTTTTGATATTAAGAGCTGCCTCAAATGCTAATGCGTGAATATCCCACTCATAGTCCTCGCTACCGCACCTGAGCTGCTTGAACACGGCTCGTACGAAATCCTGGTCGATCCCTTGCAGATCAACAGCAGCCCACATGCGCCACTTCTCTTGGCCTACCCACTCCAACGGTCCGAGGGCATCGCGACTCCACTCTTTGATCGGACCGAATGCACTAGAAAATTCTCGTTCTCTCCCTATGAGCGTGCCAGCACGAGAGTCAGCCATCAACTGCCGCTGTCCCACAGTAGCAGGAAAAATCGAGTCCAACCGCGAGAAAGAACAGAGGTAAGTGAATGACCATCGGTCATCCCATGATCCCTGCGACAGTGTTTCTGCGAGACCAGGAATATGCAAGCCTAGAACGGATAACCAAATTAGGCGGAACGCATTCTTGGCACCTTCCGTGCGGAGAGGCAACAGTAGTGCCTTGATATCCGAAAGCAGAACTGTTGCGTATGGGTCAGACTCGCTCATTGTGTCCACGGAGCGGGCGGGCACACGTGATGTGCGATCGGCGCGCGACTCATCGTAATGCCATTGGACATATGGATCTTTCGATTGGATGTCAACGTCCATCTGGGGAACTGCCTTCAGCGGGGGACCGGAGATATCAGGTCTACCGCGTGAGATCCAGTCACCCCAACCTTTCGCTCCAGACTCGCCGGCGCGCGGTGTTTCGGACTCCCAAAATTCTTCGAGGGATTCCACTTGCGATTCAAGGGGAAGTCCATACAATGACTGGGGTACCTCAAATGTTCTATCACAAGTGTGAAAATAGCATTCAATCGGAATGGGATTCCACAGGACTCACAGTTCCGCTTGTGCCTGGAATAAGGCTGTGGTACGTTCATAGTAGCCTGAAACATACCGATAAGGAATATGGATAATGCGGCAGTAGTTACGTACCTGCTTGTTGAAATGCGACTGCAACTCGCCACACGACTCGTAGTTTATCAATTTCACGGCTTTCAGAGCTACCGAGCGCGCTTAAGACGCGCGTCGCATCCGTGACTGACGTGTCAACTCCACCGGCAGTGGTACGAATCCGCCATTCAAGCCATTCCATCCAAATTTCAATTCCGTCAAGTTTCAGGGCTTCCTCCCACTCGGCCTTGGTTTTACTCTCATGCCAGACTTCCTCTCCTGCCCTTAGGTACTTCAGGAATAGAATGCGAGATGACCGGTTGTGTGGATGGGCAGCACGAGCACGGGTAAGAATAGCAAGTGTTATCTCTGCGCGAGCTTTGGTCGCGTTTTTCGAGGTGACGGGGATGTTCGACAATGAGTGTCTCACGAGTGACAACCACATCTCGACTGAAGATGGATCAGCAGCCAATTGCTGCTCGAGTGTCTTCAAAGATAACTGATATGATGTGAGAATGGGTGTTCCTGACTCATCGCCTGAGCTGTCATCTGAAGCAGACGACTGAGAGTCTGAATCAGGGTGTTCTTGCTGCCTGGTTACAGAACGATAGTCTTCGGCAGCTTTGTGACCACGGTCGGAGGGTAGTCGCAAGAAACCGTCCACCTCTTCATGCTTGTAACTATCCCCGGATCCAATAATGCGTCGAGACGGGGGTGCTGCCAATAATGTCGTCACGCTCGAGTCAGTCAGGGCTGGTTGCTAGAGACAAGGTTATTCATGGACATCTGTTTGACGTAGGACTACGGTACCTTATGCCTCCTTCCTATGTTTATCTCTATGCCCTTACCTCTGCGATAGATAGCCCAGTCCCCATCAAGACCAAGAATACTTCTACCACCTTGCACATCATTTAGACATCAACAAGACATCCGATAGATGACTTACGGTTTACGATATGGTACTTGGGAACATTACCAGCGTGAATACCGCCATAGGTAACATTTAGTTGGTCACCTTTCCGATCAGAGATGAACGCTGGGCGAGAATCCCATCGGCTTTCTTGAATATCACTCTGAGCAAGACGTCTGTCCTCCTCGGCCTTGATTTTCTCATCATCCGGTATGCTTACTTCCTTCCATGTATGTCCGTGTTGCCTGGGAAGTACCGGCTCAAGGTCGTGCTCTGCTGTCTTATGCTTCTTGTCTTTTCGAGCCTCGTTTCGCAATTTCTTGCTGCCACGTCGGTTCTTATCCTTTTTAACAATTCTATCGTTCTCCCGAGCGCCTGTGGGGTTTTCATTTCGCGTCCGGTCCAGGGTATTCTTACTCGGTCCAGGGTCAAGGTCTGGGAACGAGGCAAACGAGGGTGGAAAAGACGAAAATGAGGGTGAGGACATTTCGAATGGAGCTCAAGGAAGGAGCATCAAACAATTCGGTCGTTGTAGAAGTCAGCTGGGTGGCTTGTGCTGTGCAAGGAGCTGTATTCTCAAATCTGTCCAGACTCGATGGATCATCAACGTTTCAACTTGCTAATTTGACCTACATAGATCTGTTTAAGTAAGCTGTGCTTTCGGAAATTCCCGATGAGAAACCGAGACCCCTCACCTCGTTACTCGGAAACCTATTTATTTCATATCGAAGCTCGATTTCACTGCAAACTGTCGCCTTAGCCTCACCTTCACGGTTCGCTCCAAGTAACCTCAAAATTGCAATGCGTCCCCTCACAGAAGACGAAAGCAAAGCAGTTTTCACAAAACTTGCAAACTACATCGTAGGCATACTAATTGCCTCTGTTTTGATACCCCTTCTTTACTGACCCTATGAAAATCAGGGAAAGAACCTCATCCACCTCATCGACCGCAAGGATGAGCCATATTGTTTCAGACTGCATAAAGATAGGGTCTACTACGTCTCAGAATCGTCGATGCGCATGAGCATATCGGTCGCTCGGCCAAATTTCGTCAGCGTTGGCACTTGCTTCGGAAAATTCAGCAAAAGCGGCAAGTTCAAGTTGCATGTAACAGCGCTTGACCATATCGCACAATACGCAAAATACAAGGTGCGTCCTATGAACTTGCTACCTTTTTGGTAATTTTTGTAACGCAATTATTTGCTCGACGTCCGACAGGTTTGGATCAAATCAAACGGAGAGATGCCGTTCCTGTACGGCAATCATGTTGTGAAGGCGCATCTTGGCCGGATAACAGAAGATACTCCTGAGCATCAAGGGGTAGTGGTCTTCAGTATGAGTGATGTACCACTAGTACGTATTCTTTTCTCATGCCTTCAGCCCAGACTCACCAAAATGTTTTTGCAGGGCTTTGGCGTCACAGCCCGGTCAACGGTAGATACCCGGAAACTAGATCCAACAGCCATAATCGTCTTTCATCAAGCGTGAGTTCCATTTATCATCACGTTTGCTGTGTCTTACGAAGCATCCTTTCCTAGTGACGTTGGCGAATACCTAAGAGACGAGGTAAGCTAATAAATACTACGTTGACAGTTCTCATTCGCTTACATTTTTGCTTTAGGAAACCTTGTTTTGATCGCTCCACTTTTCTTTTTTCATTCATTCTTTTGGTATGGGAGGTTTATGGACCCACACATCTTATCTTACCCGTTCACATGTCAGTGGTTTTGTAGTGCTTCGCCACGCGTAGATCGCGTATCACACCATCTCTTCACTCTGGTAAAAGTATTGTAGTTTCACCTTACGGATGAAAGTTCTGTCTATCTATCAGTAGAAGGCATATGATCCTACATATTTACGTTGAGTGATGAACGTCCGTCACAAGACGTGAAGTACATTGGAATCATCAATCGTAGTAATATTATGTGCCCAACATGTCCCGATAAGTCTGCAATGCAGTCTCGAAGTCTACGTTCGTTTTGTCCTCGAGATATTTCTCTGGATCATAGTAACGAATCGGGACCGTCTCTAGATCTCCCTCCTCGCTGTCATATGCTGAATATGATACTGAGGAGGCGTTCTCGAAAGTCTCGTCATCACTGTCAGAGTCAGAGTCCCCTGACATTGAATCAACGCCGGCGTTGTCTATGTTTCGCAATAATTCATGACCAGCACAAGCGGCCACATAAGATGAGACATAATCCATGTCCCGCTTATATATATGCCCTGCATCATGCTGGACGTGGACCCCTGGAAAACGCCACTGCAAGGTCTCGTGGTGCTGCACCAAGTTAGGAGGAATGACGAGGTGGAGGCGTGGCCCTGTAGTCCTGAGTAGGGCCCAATCCAATAACCTAATGGCTTGGAGTTGCGGAAAGCACTGAGACTTCCATGATACCTGTATGGCATTGGGATCGGGGGCGGAGGGGTGCCACGTCGCCCAAATATCCATCCACCGCAAAGTCTTGTGCGACAAAGATATCCGATGCATAGGTGAGGAACAGTGGTCTACAAGCATTTGGATATTTTGCATGGCCAGAAGGGGTTCATGGGAGCCTGTGAATTCAGTCATAGGTGGGAATAACGCAAGGTGCTTCAGGGCGGGGCAGCGGTCTAGAACCAACTGAACAGATTGCAAGTGCAGAGGAGGTTCAACAGGGTACTCGTAGTCCAGGGGAGCAGTTATGGAAGTGTCGTCAGGCGTTTGCCGTGTACATCCAAAAATTTGAGGGTACCGTGAGACCTGCCAGTGAGATGGTTTGGGTCGCCATTCATACATCGTGAAACGGCAAAGGCAGGGCAGTTTCCACTTCTGAGCGATTTCGTCAAGGAAGTCTAATTCGCGGAGACAGGACCACATGACGGTAATCTGAAATTCTTGGAGGTGTTCGAGGGTAAGATATTTGACGTAATCTTTGTCGCAGGTATCAAAGGACAGAGACAAGATGGTGAGACTTTTGCACTGCGGAAGGCATAGAAGAATGTCTGACAAATGCTTGTTTCCAACTTGAACGTCAAGATGGACTACTTTCGAGAGGTCATACTGGCGCATAGAGGGTACCAACAGGTCGTGGATATCCATGAGGTCGCGGATACCCATACTTAGCGATAATCGCGTAACGTTTGGGCTCATCCCCAAGATGCGTTGAAGGGCGTCGTCGAACATCACAAGGTACTGCTGGGACATCACACAGCAAGATACATTGATATCCGTGATCATCTCACCAAGTCGCGTATTGTCCTGCAAAGTACTGAGAAGCGCTGCGACTTGTCCGATGCGGCGAAGATGTATTTCTCGGTATAGCAGAGGGGTACCGATCTCTCGCCGAAATTTGCAGACGAGAACTAAAGATTTCTTGGTTCGTTGCGCCCGGCACCAGGCAGACAAAGGTCCGCAAGCCAAGGACGCATCCAGAAAGACAGTGGGAGGAAGTGCAAATTCTAGTATATCCAGTAATATTTCTGGAGGTAGCTGTTTGAATGCGAGTGGCTTGCTAGCCTCTGAATCACTAGTATCAGGGTGTTCTCCCTACAAGACAATCCCATTAATTACTTACCCTGACGAGTAGCGGAGAGGCTCACTCTGGAAGTGGGCGGTGACAGAGGCGCTGAGGAGTGCTCTGCAAAGGAGTCGAACTGACAGGCACGATATAAATATCCCAACCGACGTCTTAGATGGTAGATCAGTAAACATGATCCTTGAGAACAAATAAATGGTATGAACATTGAAAACATTGACAGAGCACTGGGCTGTACGGTAAAAGAAATCACTGGCCGTCCAACTTGCGGTATGTTAGGATGGATGGTCGACGATGGAGGCGAACTTCTGACCTCAAAGAGTGATGCTAACTAAATATTCTCGGGAGTCACCACCTGTGGTTCCCACGTACCTGATCTAATTAGACGTGACAGCGAGGTGTGTTGACGGGTCTAAATCGACGTGTTTTTGGTTGTTACCAGCCAAACGAATAGATACTGGATACCAAGGGACCTTACACTGGTAGTGTAGAGTGATGTGAGTGCTGGTGGTGCGCGGGAGTGCGGGTAAGTGAAGGCTTCACGGCCGCTGTCCGATTTTGTAGCACCACAGTGTTATCTTGTCACTGCTTCAATCGCTGCCTCGCTCGGCCATTCGGGTCCAGAATCCCGGTTCACGGCCTAACGGTCGTGCGCTCACAACCGGCGTCGAGTTCGAGATTGCGCCTAGTCTCAATTCCAATGTTTTGATTGGGATGGACTGGATCTCTGCGTGGCGAACGGTTGGATAGGATGATGAGAATCCTGTCTGCAATCTCTATTCTCGAGTTATGTCTGAGCGTCCTTTTCTATATCTACTGAGTTTCCTCTGCTGTTCCAGAAACTTCGTGGATACTTAGTGGTAACGAGCCTACCGATGGTGGTGATTTATCTCAGTCTTCACCCTTTGCTGGGGCAGTTTATCGTCCTGTAGACAAGGTTCTGGGGTAAAACGGGAAACCTTCATGATCGTTTTTGGCTGTCGATTTCAAAGTCCAACGGTCTTGTACAATCATCATGCCCCTTTCCCTTCTGCCCCGCTTATTGAGTGTGCTAAATTATAGGCATGGACTGGATCAGACGCCTGTCTCGCACTACGTGTAAAATATCATGTCGACTTGACAGTGATCAGACTGTGCAAATGACTGCGGGGGGAGTATGTCAGTTGGCCGAGCAGCCTCCTCTGCTCCATCTGAGCAAGAAGTATCAGATACAAACTACGGACAGTAACATTATTATTATGATACATCAGTTGAGCCTCGCTGTGATATAGGACTGTGTATCTGGCAAGGACAAGCGTGAAAACTGAAGCAAAGTTGGAGGTAGCGGGCTTTGCCACAGCTGGCCCTACGCGTTATTGGTAAGGTTTAATCGCAATGTCACAAACCTCGATGTAATCACACGCAGGTGGTATGCACGTGGCCTACTTTGCAGAGTGTACAAACTGAGGCACTACTGGCTTGAGGCCCCAACGTCGTTCCTCATATCCTCACCACCACCATGATTCCCACCGAGTCATCATATTCACGCTGGGAAACTCTTAAGGACGAGGAAGTTACAGTTAGTGATGTTCAGGACACTCTTGCCCCAGCCAACGATGACCTGTGGGTGGCAGCTGCCTGCATCGACCGGTTCGTGAGCGACGAAGTAGTCCAACGTTCGCTCATCGAGCTTGGAATCAATCGAACGAGCGCAGCCGTGCAGAGGTGCAAAGAGGTCCTTCTCCTACCCTCTAGGGCTCCTGGAAGTTCTGACGCTGTAAATAAGCCTAAAGAACTGCTTAGCGCGTACTTCACTGATACACCTGAAGATGCACAACTGTGTCACATTCGGACTGCTCTACTTGCGCGCCTCGACAGACTGAACTCCTTCGCCGAGATCTACAAGGAGCTTCTGGCGAAGAAGAGAGACGAAGAAGACAATCCAGGGATCGATGAAGAATGGGAAGATGACCCTTGGAAAGAGGAAGTGGAATTTAAAGCTTCTATCATTGCTCACGCAGCAACTCCTATACCGCTGCAGGATTTTTTGACGGAGGATATTTCGGATATGGCATGCTTTTACGCATCGCAGGAGTGTTTCGACGCTATACGAACTCTTCTAACGTACCACCGCTCGTGTCTGTGGCCGTCTCGCTTCACCATTCTGGAAAGCGTACCATGTCACTCCAACCCTTCCGACTACCGTGACTTTCTTCCAACCTATGACGCGGCCACAGACAAAGAACTTGCAAGCCCGTTACACAGATGGCGGGAAGAAGATTGGGTAGAGTCAACAGAGGTTCAAGCGGCTCTTTCACAAATGAAGCTCTCAACTGAATTCGAAGCTCTGCATCCCCCTTCAGCCAACGTTACTTCCCAAGAAAGTCAGCTGTTGTCTGCACAGCAACTGACTGGTTGGTACAAGAAACGTGTCGACCAGGTCATATCATCGACAGGGATGCTAGACATAGCACTTTCCCTTGTGCAGCATGCTGGCTCGCTAGGCATCCCAGACCTTGACGAGCTAGGAGAAGATCTGAGCTTGATGACCCGGCTGGTTTATGACATTCCTCAGGCCTGGGCTCAAGATGATGAGGATTGGACTTTAGCGCGCTGGCGGAGCATGGAACCGTCCCAAGTCGTGGGTGCATATCTAGCACATTCAACAACAGACACCGTAGCTAAGGACATCTCGCGGTTAATCATGCCCTATCTCTTTGTTTTGGAATCGCGGTCGGAACGAGCTGGTCAGCCTGACCCAGATCTTCCCGACCGTCTTCTTCATAATTACGTTCTTGGTGCACCGTTGGATATCGTCGCAGCAATCATTGAAGCCTCCAAACGAACATTGCTTCCACCACAAAGGGTTATCAAGAATGACGAGGACGTTGCGCGGCTTGCTCTGGCTTGCCTTTACGGCAGCAATAGCCTCACGGAGTGGATGACAATGAGCCGTATTTTTGAATGCCTTCCCGCATGGGAATTTGGCCCAAACTCCGAAGATGAAGCAGACGAAGCAGACGCTACGATCGTTTCTCTTGGAGAATTCGTGACGCCATCCACAGCACACCCTCAGTGTGGCCCTACAGATCTACTTTACTTCTTCAAGCCTCTTCCAATCGCTTCGCTTTCGCGCGCGCTTGACATTCTCGACGTTCACCTTGAATCGGGAGAGATATTTGCGCGATGGAACGTTCCTGCACCATTACGCTGGTTCCTTCAGAGCGCAGGCAATATCACAGAACAGCGTGCTTGGGCCAACAGGATGGCTCGTCGTACTGGTGCCGCCGCCGACAAACTTGGGCAGATGGAGGACTGGGAATGGTTACTCGATGACATGTTAAAACTCTGTGGGAGGAACGAGTCTGGTGTACCCAGTGCCTTTGGGCTTTTGACGGAAGAAGAGGTGTCATCCATATTTTTCAGCGGGCTTCTGAGCTCTGGTCGTGAGTATACCAGCTTTTTGTCTTGACTATATGCTCAACCGTCAATCAGGATTTGATATTGCCAAAAACCTTATTCATTCTAAGCACGGCAAGCTAACCCTTCAAGCATCCAAAATCGAAGATCTCTGCCTTGCCGCGTCTCGCGAGTTTTATGATAACGCAAGCTCCGCTAATTATAAAGTTGGCGACATGAAGCTTGCCTATGACTGGTGGGCCCTTATAATACCGAAAGATACAAAGCGCTCATGCTTCATCTAGCTTGGACGTTCCTGCACCATCTCCGCAGTTGATAAAGGAGCGAGATTTCATTGAAGCCACATCCCGCCTCTCTTCATTCAACATCATGTCTCGACCAGGAACTCCCATTTCGCCCATCGAGATACGACTCACCAAAGACCGCCTGTCCCTGATCTCCCGGGTCCTTTCGAGCAATGCAGGCGCCTATAAGCATACACAAGTAATGCTCGACCTCCTTCACAAACTCGGGTTCCGAGATGACATCGTTGCAGAGGTGAAGACTCTCGCAATGATATCTGACGCCGCATTACAAGCGGAGGATTTCACGCGGGCGTTTGATACGAACCAAAAAATGATTGACGTAGTGTTCAAACTTCGCTCAGCTACTACATCATCAGGGTCGGAGGATCCACGATTCCACGAGGCCAGCGAAGTTTGCTGGCTCGCCTGCTTTCAGCTTGGGCGGCATCCAGAATTCCCGGACGTTGAACAGAAGCTCACACTTATGGGCCGTGCGCTGGAGCTGTGCCCGGCAGACAAGCTGAATGATATTTTGATTCCTTGGCGGCGAATGGAACAAGAGGATTTGGAGGTGCGCAAGGAACGACTTGCTGATCACTCCCCCCGTCCGAAACCTGCCGCTACAAAACCTGTCTCTTCCCTGCAATCACGCTTAAACAATCTCCACGTTCCCACAACTCCCCTTCTTAATGCCGAGGATGCGGCTGCCCTCGCTGGTCGAGCCTTCAGCCGCGTGGCATCTAATTTCCCCTTCAGAGTCGGTGGACGCGAGCGTTCGGAGAGTCGCGAGGGTCAAGCCAGGTCGGGAAGTCGAGATGAAAGTCACCGCAAGCTGGATGGTGAAGATGTCTCCCAACAAGCAAGCCGAGTGCTTCAACGAGGCATTGGCTGGCTGTTAGGGGCAGACGACGAAAGCTGAGCTAGTCGAACTCTTATATACATGCATAGGACTTTTGGACAGCTAGACTGTTTCTATATCACATACATCTACTTGCGAGAAAACATAGCGAACAATACACAGTACTCGAACGATCGAGAAGTATATATAACTGGACTGAAAACCAGGAACAAATCAAAGGTATCGACAAGGAACGACAATGGGGAAGGCGCCAAAGGAATGTGGTACCGATAAATTTATAAGGTGAATAAAATTATGTCTGATTAGCGACGGGGGAGAAAAAACAAGAAGTTACACATAAGACAAGAGCTAGATGGATAGTGTAAATCCAGATATCAAAACGCACACAATCGACTGATTAACAGCCATATTTGATGTAGCCGAAACAAGAAATAACGAGTGACGAGTGCCGTGATGGCGATCCAACCTTCCTAGATAAGTGAATGGGATAGTCGTTGTGATTGTCAGATACCTGCCTAGTTCCTACTGACGAAGCGAGAGGTATCACCCGTGCGTCCCCTCGCTCTGTCGACGACACCAATTTTCTTCGTTCCTGCATTAGAAGCTTCACGCTCCTTTCTGGGACCCCCCCTACCGCAGTGTTCGCAATATCCCTTGTCTTCATCCACAGCATAGAAATCCTCGATCTCAGCTTGCAGGTCCCTCACTTGACCTTGCAAGTCCCAGACTTGGCGTTGCCAGGCATTCTTCGTTGCTATCATCTGTTCCTGTAAAGCCTTTATTACGAGGGACTGTTCCACTGGCGATGATTTATCGTCGCTGGGTCGCGACCATCCAGGAGTGAAGGGCGAGAGCGCTGCCACTGAACTATTTGTAGATGTCGGCGTGTCTAGTTCGAGCTCTGAGACTTGCTCTGCCTCCAGGATGGCAACGATGTCAGCGAATTGAGAGCTGAACGTCGTAGATATTGGGCGTAGCTTGAGAGCTTGAAAGTCAATGGCCGACTGAGCTGGGTCTGTGGGTCGATGTTCAGCACAGAGTGGAGAGTGCTTTGATGCGCCGGTGGATATGTACAACGAGGGCGGGGCGCGCTTCAGCGAAGGTGACGACGACTTTGGGGAAAGCTCCTGTTCGGCATCTGATGAGGACTCATTGTTGAGAGCAGCGTGGCTCCCGCCATCTGAGCCCAAGGACGACAAGCGAGGTGGGATGATCGGAAGCGACGATTTGCTATCTTTGTTATCTCCGTGAGCGTAAACACCATGTAAAGGCGGAACTGGGGGTGGTGGACTCTTCCCCTTGTCACGACCTTTCTCTCGTTCACGCCCATTAAAGAGTCTCATAAACCCGCTTTTCTTGTGCCTCAGAGCTTGCCCGCTGGGATTAACGACATCGGGTTCTGAACCCCTTCGCTCAGGCTTACTATGCAAAGATGCCGCAACGACTGAATGAAGGACATTTTTGGCACGAGCACCAGTACTGGTGGAGCGAGCGCGAGCCCGCTTGAAGTTGCCAGTAGCAGAAGTCTCAGTACTCGCTATACTGGCAGAGTCATCTGGCTCAGGAAAAGGAATGCGCGAAGTAGTTTCATGGACCGGAGAGGGTGACGAAACCACGGCATTGGCAGTAGCACTGCGGGTCCTTTCTCTCGCCTGTGCCTCCTGCAGCGATATCAAAGTGACAATCGGAGAGGAATGACCATTCCAGCCTGGGACACCTTCAAATACGGGCGGGCGGTGGAAAGACGGCAAGCTGGCGCTCTGATCGCATTGCGCTGAATTAAGGTCGTTGGCATGGAGAACTGTGATGGGGGGGAGAAATATCTTTGCCATGAACGCGCATACTTGTGGAGGGAATGTGATCTCGCGATGGTATGGAGGAGGCAGAGGTGTCTGGTGTAATAGTAGATGAGAAAGCACCGGACCGCGAACTCAGTGAGTCAGTCACGGTGGCAGCCGAATCGCTTCGCGGGATATGTCCAAAGGTAGAACAAAGCTGAGGAGATCTGAGAGGAGCATAAGAAGCCACCACATCAGGGTTGGCATAGGGATGTACGAAGTCCTCGTGAGACAGACGACTTTGGAAAGTATAAGTCGATGAAACAGTAGCACTACGTTCGTGTTTTGGCGGAACCTCCGAAGATGGAGAGTATGGTCTGGGTGTATCTTGTGCAGAGGATGTCGGCTGGGGAATGTGTCCCAATTGTTGCAAGGAGCCGGAGGGAGACCGAGGCTCTTCCGGCGTATGGTCGTCATAGTGAGTTGTGGGTGGATAGTTTGTAGTGCGGGGAAGAGAAAAATTATGACGACTTCTTAACGAAGGGGCAGGTAACTGTTGAGAGGGGACAGTCAAAGAGGAGGTCGAGAATGATTCCTGGGCCAGGGTGCTACATGTTGGGGGTCAAAACTTCACGCATTAAAAGAGACAAACACGTACTACAAGGCGCCTCGCGAACTAGAATGATTGCCCGTAACAATTTCAAAAGAATCACTAAACTGAACCTGAGAACGGAATGACTCGGCGCTGGGTCTGGCGGAGGAACGCTTGCCAAAGTGCCGTATGAGATCAGCCTTCACATTCTTACTTTTGACTTTCTCGTTCCCGTCAATCGTGTCTTCTTCTCCAGTTTCCCAAGGAGCTCGAGAGTGAAACCGTATCTTGGGGCCCTGAACACTCATCCTGTGTGAGGCATCATCGTCTTCGTCGTCTTCGTCGTCATTCTCCGTGTCGTCAGTTATATCTACAGTGTGAATTGAAACACCCGTAACGTCCTCATCATCAAGATCCAGGATACTCGCTGCATGATCATCAAGGTAGTCAGAGTTAGATATAGATGGCCGACGCTGGCTGGAGTGATATGAACTGGTATCTGGTTCAATATCCCCGCTGTCTGGAGAGAAATAAGCGTGACTGTAGACTGATGGGGAATCGGAAAATTCAGATATTGAAGGAAAACGAGTGTGACGAGGAGCATGGGAACGGAGGCTTCGAAAGTCGTCTTGGGCGTCCCATGGAGAATGGACGGACCTCGACATGACCGCAGCGGTCCAAGGCAAGGTGTGCTTCTTCCCATATGAACCTTGGGCTCTAACAGCCTCTAACAACCATTAAAATACAAATAATCCCACGTATTCTTAACAAAGTTTAAATCATCGTTCGCAATCACAAAATTAGACTCTTACACTCCGACGGGACCCCTCGGTACGCGTCAACGGAATGTAAAAAAAACAAACATGAGGCGCCTCGAGAATTTCACCACCTTGGAGACATCGTTAAATTAAATTACGTAATACCTTATCGACGATCCTAATATGGACATGAACGCCTTCAAGTTCATCTTCCAAAATGTCAGAAGAGTTTGTCCCTCTCACTTCATCATCACATGGACGTGTCTCTGGGAAATCATGGAAGGCACAAAAATCGGCGACCTTGTACGTACCATACTACACTCCATGTGGAATAAGAAAATCATTCGGCAATTAGTCGAACGCAATGTTCTGCCGGACACAGGTCCAACTTTGAGGAACGAATGAAGAAGACTACGAAAGCAAACGCTGCAAAGAAGTTAGAGATCGAGCTCAAAACTGAGAAAAATGCTGAGAAGCAACGGTGAGTGACAATTTATGCAACGTGTTAGGGATCAGAGGTAATCCTGTGACGTAGGAGACGAGAGATCACCCTCGAGAGGAAAAACGCAGCAGAGGAGCGGCGCAGACTGGAAGAAGACAAAGCAAAGGTAGACCCAAAGTCTTGTATTTGCCTTTTGAGACTAATTCTGCCCAAGATGGGGGCTAGAAAGACTGCAAGGCTACGACGAAAAGCAGGACGCACAAAAAAGATTCACGGTTGACTACTGCTAAAGATATAGTATTAGAGCATCTCAGTATGCTATATGTACCATCCCTACAGCGCCCAGGTCGTGTCCAATTCATCTGATTTCACGAATGGCTTGTCCAACCCTGCAACCACACTTTCGCATAGCGGACAACTGCTCGCGAGAACGTCGTCCAGCTCGGCCCGTAACTTCTCTGCCTTCTTCTCAAAGTCTTTATCCACCCCAACCTTTCTTCCCCCACCTACACCCGGTATCCATCCCGGTGCGGACACAACCGAGGCCAGCGCATCTGGAACGATAAGGTCTCTCAGGCGGTCTCCAGCAGAAAGTATATTTCGTCCGAGGAGATTCGCGGCCTTGGTACCATTCTGTAGAGGGCTTCCAAAGCTAGCAGATAGGAGTGTGCGCTGTTGGGTTGCCTGGCGCGAATGCCCGTTTGGTGTGACAGAGACTGCGTTATCGAGATTGATTTTTTGACCTCCCTTCACCAGCTCGGTCTGCAGAGTAATGATCCGCCGGAGCGCATGCGTAGGAAGATATTCTTTTGCCTTAGCGACCGCACAATTCAGATTTTTTCCCTTTAATATCAAGAGCAAACATACCAATCCGATCAGACAATCTGCATGGAAGGTGTGCTGGCAGGGAAAGACGTAGAACTGCCTCGTCAACAAAGGCTGCGAACAAACGGAGCACCTTTCCCCCGCATCGATAGTCACGAAACGATTCTTCAACTCAGCGATGTCTTGCTTAATAGACTCCGCAGTACGAGTCGCATCGTCCATCTCTCGTTTCAAGTCATCGATGTGAGCTGAATAACCTTCCAAAGCATGCGCGATTTCCTCCTTGAAGTCGTCAATAACGACAAAGTCAGGGAAGAAGGGCAAAATATCCTCAATCTTGAGTATATTCGTGTTCTCCAGGAATTGCATTGCTCTACGCAGACTCATGAGCAGGAACGCCTACTGACGAAGATCTTACTTACGTTTTAATGTCCTGTTTATCCTGCACCACGTATCGCGCAATCTTGAGCCAAAGCTTCTTCTGCAACGGCTGCGTCGTCCTCCGGTTTGTTGGCATTTTCCTTCGCGAGCTCCAAGTCACCCTTCTCCAATGCCAAGTCCACGCTATTTTCCCAAAGACCCATTTGCGAATAAATGTGAACACATGATGGGATGCGTCCTGTTCTTTTGCACACTCGAAGAGCGTAGTCGAGGTCATAGTACGGTTTGCCTGTCATTGGATCCGAGGGCGCAGAGGTCAAGAAATTTAGTAACGGACCATCCTCTTCTGAAGAACGAGGCAATCGAGTCGCAAGGAATGTCACAAGAAGGTTATGAATCATCGGTGACTTGTTGCCCTGCTCAAATACCACGTAACTGAGGTACCGCACAGCGTGGTCGGGAGACAGCGGGTCGCGAGGGAGATGTTGCAGCTGGAGCAAGGAAGGAATGAGGCGCAAGGGATCCAAAGACGGTTGTTTTAACCAGGATTCAATCATCTCCTTGGGTGCTTGTCTGGTCAGCACAGTACCGAAGCGGTAGTATAACTCGGGGTTCGTCTGTCCTCACTTGGTCAGGATATTGCAGTGTATAAGTATAATGCTTACCTGGCGGTTGAGTACATCAATGGCTTTGGTCCACTGTTCTTCTAATATCCAGTGTGCAATAACGCGTTCGGAATCACCGACCGCCGTAGCATAGTGTAGGAACATGTCAGTCCGACCATGACCTTGGATCAACTCATAGACAACATTCTTGTCTAGATTGCTCTGCGAAAAATATGTTCAAGTGAGCAAATTATGTATAGAATGGCGTACCTTATATGTATCAAAGAATTGCCGTAGATCGTCTTCGAGTATCGCACGCTGAGTTTGTAGATTTTCAACATCGCTTGTCACCGATTCAGCAGCGCACAGATTGTCCAGTTCGTTACATCTGCTCAGATAGAATTCGACGAGCCATGTTGCCAACATCATCCGTTGAGTCAAGTCCTGCGATGCAAAAACAGTGAGGGCCTAATTGCTAAATATCGCAGAGGGAAAACTCACCGACTTCCGTGTCCGCTCGAGTCTTGAAATCAAGTATGAGCGCAGTGCATCTCGTTCGCCAGCGTCCAAGAACTTTAATGCAACTTCCTCGAATGGCGCAGAACACTGAGAATAGCACTGTGCAGCCTGGAAATAACGACCCTCGTCAAAGAATGCACGCGCTTGAGCAGACAAGATGCTATCTCGCTGGCCCGCCGTCTGCACTCAACTAATCAGCCAGTATCTAGTGAAGGCAAACGGATATTGCCGACCTTTGCATACCGAAGTGCGATGTCAAACTTTTGCTGAGCCAGATATATCTGCCAGACGTCCCGATTCTCATTGCCGACAACAAGCTCGAAAATGGATTGATCCGTGTAGGCCCAGTATGTTTTACGAACTGGGTCAGCAGCAAGTCCTCGCACAACTTCATTCGGTCTCTAAACCAACCCTCAGCAACAATGCGACCTGCGTTGATACGTTTAACCTACCAACGGTATGACATCCTCATATGTCTGCTTTCCATTCAAGGTGGAGATACCAATAATGCGGTCCCTGTACAGCAAGATGAAGTGAAACTCCGTCAGGGAGATAGAGATAGGGACTTCTGGGGACGAGTGAGAGGTATCAGGGGATGTGCCAGGTGAGTTGAAAGAAGGGTATGGATGGAGTTGTGTTGAATCAATGTGGTCGTCAGAATTTGGGTCGAAATTAAGCGTCCCGTGATAGATACCAGGAGCTACGAACGCTCGCATTAGGTGAAGGAAATCATAAACACAAAGAAACATACCGGTCATCCAAGCAAGATTCTTCGGAAGCGATAGTGCTTGGTCTGAATTAGGGGTGTAGAAATGAAGTTCAGAATACTGTAGGTTTCCAGGTAGTTCGGATATTTCTTATTCATGTCAGGGAAGAGCTATGCCGCTAAGGACTAATTACTTACTTGGCGTAGTTTCCCGATATGCGGCGAACAAGGAAGAGAAAACACGACCACCCTCTTCAGACCGCCGATCTGGTGAGCCGGCGAATTGATAGATTCGTGAAGGAGTCGTAACGATGATCAGGGCATTCCGCAGGTCAGAAGGGGGAAATAGGTCAAACTTGATCCCAGTGACTGGATACTTTTCAGGGAGGGTAAACAGAAGTTGCAGGTACCGTTCCTGTGACTTGAAGAAATCCTCGCCAGCATCTAGCACAGCTTCGAATATACTACCATTCCGCGTGCCGACCAAGAATTCTCTTGTTGACATGGAGTGGGTGGATGCCAATAATGCAGCCTTATTCCATGCAACGCTCTCGATTACCATCTTGAATGATTTGAGTTGCCTAGGCTTCTTCCAGCCACGGTATAAATACCAATTTTCGCCTTGAGTGGAGGTAATGACGAGATGGCGGCCTGATGGGTCGAGAAAGATCTTGTGTATGGTCAATTCGGTCGCTTTTCGTAGGATGGGGATCGTAATGACATGTTCTGCATGAGATAGCTCAATGAGGACTATAGTATTTGATGCTAATGCCATGGCAAGAACATCTGAAGAGACTGCCAGGGACACGAGAGGCGCTGGAAGCGTATATTGGACACGTCCGAGGTCAAATAATGGTGTGTTGGCCGCAAGTGGGCTCGGTAATGGAGCATCCTTTGGGGGATTCAGTGGATGAAGGCGTCTGATACTTGTTTACACACCGAGGCTCCAGGATGTTCTAATTCGGCATGAATCTCGCTGTCATACGGTGACGGCTCGTAACCCTCGTACTGGACTTGTGGAAGAGGTGCGGTGCCACGAGAATGACCCGCTGTGGGAGCAGCGTGCTCGACAACTACATGGATCGTTAGCGAAAGACGTCAAGATATAAGCGCAAGGTACGTTACAGTCGTCGAACATGGCACAGATGCAAACCGCAGCTTCGGAGGACTTTGTAAGTAAGTTGCAGTCAGTCTTACTACTGCCATAAGCGGAACCAATTTAGAATAGTCTCCTTTTACCCACAGTTCTTCAACAGTATAAATTATTCGGCTCTCACTGATAGTGATAACCATCATCTATTAGCATCATGACCCCTCCAACACCAAGATTATTTATTATTCGTCATGGTACGCAGATTATCATTGATCTTTTGTGCTAAGCAGGAGATGATGTTGATCTCCTCCGAAGGCGAAACAGAATGGTCCTTGAATGGGTAAGGTTATTGGGTCCTTAAGGGGTGTAGTCGTGGCTGATACTTTTGCGATAGACGGCACGTAAGTACTAGAGACGCTCTCGTTTCGATATATGAATACATATTTGTTAGACTGGAACAAGCGACATTCCTCTGACAGTCCGTGGAGAGGAACAAATCAAGTCCAAAGCACACATCTTGGTCGGTGAAGGCAGTTAGTATCATACACCTCGTTTACATTGGTCGTCTGATCAATGCTACTTCTGCTTTTGCAGGACCTATTGATCCACAGAATCTCTGTGTTGCCCTTGTATCTCCCCGTCAGCGAGCCCACAGAACATTCCACTTGTTATTCGAACATTTGCCCAAGGTCCCGGATCACATCATTGACGAGTCCGTTAGAGAATGGGACTATGGGAAGTACGAAGGCTTGTTCAAGCATGAAATTCTTGCCATAGACCCTAAGTGGGAAATTTGGAGAGATGGGTAAGTCACCACACAGGTCTCACTCAATGATTCCCGATCGACTCGTTAACCAATTTAGCTGTCCCGGAGGCGAGAGTGCTCAGGAGATGTGCGACCGCGTTGATTGTGTGATCGCCAAGGTCGGCGCTTTAGTTGCATACTCTGCATATCTGATTTCTGGCAGGTTCGAGAGTACCACAGACAATATTTTGAAGAGGGCAAGGGAACACGCGACGTATTAATTATTGCTCATGGCCACTTCAATCGTGTCCTCATTTCCCGATGGATAAGATTCGGACTCGCTTTAGGTACGATACAACTGACTGTTGTTTGCAATAACTTGTGTTCAAGTCTGAGCATCAGGAACTCGTTTCAACGTGGAACCTGGAGGAGTAAGTGCATTTTTTTAAAAAAATTGTGCCAAGGGAATTTAAAGACGTTGATAAGGTCTCTGTCCTGAGCTATAATCATAGTTCCCTCGATGAACCAGCCTTGAATGCTTTGAATTTGTATGCTGACCTCAAATAGTTTGGTGTATGCTCTAGATGTAGATGTAGACCTTGTCCGCAGGCTTTGACAATATGATGATGTGGCCCCTACCCGCCGATTTACATACAAAAAACGGTCAGTTCGGTGACGGCCGGCGCGGCGGCGGTAAGCTGGGCGCGTCCCGTGATCGGCAATGTTAGATTTTCTGGTTTTGTCTTCTGCATTTACTTGACTGTTCGAATTCCGGTCCCAACACGTCTTCTATCAGCCCCGCCATTATCTTTATAAGTGATTATGGCCGACATAGAGAACTTTCCCAAAACCACCGACCTCGAAACTGCCGTTGACTTTGTTGCCGAGGATGGCGTGTCTCCTGAACCTCATGGTGAACATGAGGCGTTTGTCGTGGTAGACCCAGATCCAGTCACACAGGATGAAGTTGGCCCGCCTGGTGATGGTGCGGTGGATGATGTGATTGATCAAATAGTCATGCAGGAAGCCACGCAGCCCGGCGACACGCTTAAGGATGCTGCACCTGCCACAAAGCCGGAGGTGACTAAGAAGCTTACTGCTCCCAAGGTCGTTGTGAAAGTAGGGAAGGACAAACCAGTCATATCCGCTAAAGCTGTTCCGACAAAATCTGCACCGCCTACGCCAACCGTGAAGAAGGTGTGTTTGCCTCACCTCAGTCTGATACAATTCATCTTAGCCATGTGCGCAAAAGATATTGAATTCTGGCACGTTTGGATCTGGTGCTACGAAACTAAGCCCTGGGAGCAAGGTTCCTACTGCAACTCCTCTCACTCTTTCGAAAACCGCCCCTTCTGCTCCCTCATCTTTGAGGAAATCTATCAGCACTTCCTCTGCCAATTCGCCAGTAAAGACAGCGCCAACAATGGCGTCTTCCAGAAGCCCTCCCGCTCCCCCACCCCGACGATCATCCGTGCTCCCTCCAAGGGCGCCATCTGCTACGGGCAACCCTCCGCCACCAAAGTCGAGGGGTACTTTATTATCGTCCCTGACAGGTTCCATGTCTTCCAAACCTCCTCCAGCAGAAGCCAGCGCACCTTCGCGCTCTTCTGTCGTTTCTCCTTCTAGTTCTGTTGCATCGTTGAGGTCCAATGCCGCTGCCTCTCGTCCTCGTACTTCAATATCAGACGTTGTGAGGAGAACACCTTCATCATCATCCATGAAGGGAAACTCTTCGGCGGTGGCCCCTGCCCGGCAGGCTAGTTCAATTTCATCCATTCGAGAAGTTAACGATGGAAAACCTCTGGAGGAGATGCAACAGAAAGTGAGGTATTTACGTTTGGTTTCAGCTTATTGCTGACGGTTTCTCTTAGCTCAAAGAGGCAATGGATGCGCTTTCAGTAAAAACGCAGGCAGTTGCTGACCTTTCAGCGACTCTGGATGCGGCTCGTGCAGATGCTGTGGCAAGTCAATCTTCATTTCTGTTGCTGCAGCAAGAAAGGGCTGCTGCAGTGTCGGACCTGCAAGTACTCAACGCCGCTTTGCAACAAGATCGCGCTGAACATTCGCGGGTTCTTGTTCTCCTCGAGTCCATGAAGCGAGAAGTAGGTGGATTATTTTCAACTATCCAAATTGTCTCTGACATCTTCTTTCAGCTTGATGCGGCAAAGTTAGCATCATTTAACCACACCAGTGTCGTTTACAACCTCCAAAACCAAGTACAATCTCTCACAGCTGAAGTGGCTGCGGCTCGCGAGAACCTTGAGACTCTACGCGCCTCAAGTGAGAAATCTTCTTCCGAAGCGGCAGCAGCAGCTCAAAGCGAGCGCGAGGCTGTTCTTAGGGCAAGGACCGACTACGAAACTATCAGCGCGGAATTGGAAACGTTGAAGGCCTCTCACGCTTCTACAATTCAAGATCTCCACGTCAGGTCGAGTGAAGCCCAGGAGCGAGCCGCTGATGCAGACGCTCTCGAAGCCCAGGTCAGGCAACTCAAGGCAGAGCGCGAGGAAAACGTGAACAAGCTTTCAGAACTGGAGGTCGAGATTTTGGAGTTGAAGGAGAGTCAAGAGCAAGCAGAGGACGAGCATGCCAAGGTACTTGACCGCTTCCAAAGGCTGGAGGAGGAACTGGTCCATGCCGCTGCGGCCACTCAGAGTGCTCTTGCTGCATCTAAAGTCAGAGAAGGGCAACACGCTGAACAGTTAGCTGAGGTCAAGGGAGCTCATAGTGACGAGCTGCAGGCCGCCAACGATGAGCTCTCCGATGTTGTCGCCGACCTTGCGGCATTGCGGGAAGAGTTCGCTGCTGCTCATGCAGCTCATGAGCAGACGAAGATCGAAGCTCAAAATACCGCTGAGGAGCACGAGCGTCAGATTGAGGAGACCGAAAGTGAATTTTTCTCGAAGCATCTTGAACTTTCGGAGGAGATCAAGAGAATCACTGTCGAGCTGGAGGCAAGTTCATGCTTAACGTCTCTGATATCATTTTCTCATGGGTGATATAGAGTCAAGAAGCACACTACAATGCTAAAGTTGACGCTGTCAAGGCCGAGCACGATTTGCTCTTGCAAGAGGCATTTGAGCGCGCCAAGGCATGTATAATATATGTTACTGTGTCACAACTTGCACTAATCCTGCCGCTGCATCAGAATGAAGCTGCAGATGTGCATGCCGAAGACCTTCAAGCGCTCCGTGTTGAATCACAAGCGACGATCGAACAACTCCGTGCTGCCCACCAGTCGACGGTGGATGGACTGAAAGCAGACCATGATGACGTTCTTGTGTCGCAGGTCGGCGAACTGGAGAAGAAATTGAGTAATCAGAGCCTCGAGCTACGTGCTACGCAAGACGATCTCGCCAAAGCCAAGGCAGCGCTAGAGTCCTCGCGGTCTGACACGGAAAGCCTCAAAGCGCAGCTTGAGGATGCCCGGGCGGCATTCGTCGCCGCCTCTGCCTCTGCTGACCAGGCGTCCGAGATCGATCGCCTGACGAAAGAACTTGCCAACTTCCGTGATGAAAATGTCATGCTCAATGACGTTCTTGCCGTCACAAAGGAATCGCTTTCAGAAATGACTTCTAATCACACCAAAGAGCTCGAGGAAGCGGCTCGTGGACGTGTCGAAGACGTCATGAGCCTCCGTGCTACTCATGAAGAGGAGATCGGCAGGCTTGCGGCGCAGAAATCAGAGCTGTCGCTTAAACTTTCCGACTTGGAGGGAGAGATTGCTACGCTCCAGGCACAGATTGCTACTGAGGCTGCGGCTGCACCGAGAAACAACGGGGCAATGTCCCCGTCCTTGACTATGGTCACCAGGGAGGAGCTCCAGAGAGTGCACGAGGCGCATAACATGAAAATGCAAGACGTAGTGGCTGACCATGAGCGCATCGCCAGGGATCTCAGGAATGAAATTGACGGACTCCAGAACAAGCTGGACGAGGTCCACCAAGACATCGCACGCAAATCGATGGAGATCCAGTATCTTGAGCAAGAACAAGAAGAGAGCCAAGACTCTATCACTCGGTATGTCAAGGTCTTTGGACTTCAAAGTGTATTTGGAGTAGTGATCGCGCTGGCCGTGATTTTCGACTTTATTTGATTGTTCTGACTTTTCTCGGTGATGGCCACTTTACTTTTACTATAATCTATGATACCTTTCGTTACTTGTCCTGCGGATGATTATCTTTGGATCTCATTTATTAACTTGCACTCATACCATGGCACGTTTCTCCCGCAGATTAAAGGCAGACCTCGAACAACTAAGCGGCACATCTAATGCATGAAGGCTCGATCACCAACCCCCGGCGTCACGATTCACTAGCCTCATGGATTCCGCGCAGCCTCCATCCCCCCTCCTCGTGGTCGGGCTATGTCTACGGGTGGTATCCTGCTCTGTTGGCATCATTGTCGACTTGTCCTTCCTTTCCTTGCCCCCTCTCTATTCGTAATATCACAGACTCGGCCCGCACATTCTTACCTATCACTCTTATCACTGTCAGATGTCTCAGTCTAGCATCAACCTCCTTTTCACTACATACCCACCTATGGTTAATGATTGCACATATCTGGAAGACTTTCTCTAATGCGACTGTAACAATGTAAATCCTGCGTCGTTAGAATGGAGCTCCTTACATATTGCCGACTTTCTCACTCGTGTTCGCTCCGGTTGTTCCTCGGGTAGAGCACAATATTTACGTGAGTCGGAGCAATTTACTGTGCCTAAAATCTCCGACGAACGTACGATGTAGAGCGCTCCGACCGTGCCCGCTGCTTAGACCCCTGGAGATGTGGAACGACATCTGCGTCTCATTGCGCTGTAATAACAAATTGATATATGTTACTCTGAAATTGACCATTTTTGGGTTATTTTGTGAACGTCGCTTCTGCATTGAGTGGTCCCATTTGGGATGTACGGTTAACATCCAACCTTTTATTCGCATCGACTTTAACGTTATCTTTCTTTACCTCTCTCACCTTCTCTTTTCTACCCGGTCACTTCCTGCGACGACGAGCACACGATGGCAATTCAAAGGGAACCTGGCCAGAAAGGCATCAACTGGTCTAACATTGCTGTCGGTGAGCGCGTCTACGTGATTTCGTTTTATGAAACATGCTGAACAATATGGATTCTCCTAGGTGCTATCATGAACATGGTATGTCTTTGCACTCGCTACTGATTATCAGCTAATGTACGCGTCGTGATGCGTCCTTCATATCACATAGTTTGTGCGTTCGCTCTCATTTCGGCAGGGTGATTTTTACTGACTTATCTCCGCCTTGAAGGAGGCAAGTCGAGGGAGACGTGTTCGCGGTGTTAAGTAAATTTGACGGACCTATCTTTAGGTCACCACCCTTGGTCAACCCTTGGAAGTCCTCAAGACCCAAATGGCCGCTAACCGGTCACAGACTATGGTCCAGGCTACCAAGGCGGTCTGGGCTCGCGGTGGTGTCGCTGGGATGTATCAAGGTTTGATTCCATGGGTCAGTGGTTACCTTGTGAACGTCTAGGCATTTGATCCATGCTGATTTAATTAATAGGCCTGGATTGAAGCCTCCACCAAGGGCGGTGTGCTTCTTTTCACTGCTTCTGAAATCGAGACTGCTGGCGTTGGTATGGGTGTCAGCCCTGCTACTGCTGGTCTCTTGGGTGGTATGGGTGGTGGTATCGCCCAGGCTTATGCAACTATGGGTAAGTCTTCACGCAGATGCTTGCATTGTTTTCTTCATACATGATGCATACTTTTATCTATTGAGGCTAGTTCATAATACTGTGTTGCTTTCAATTAACCATCTTTCGGGACTGATTTTCACGCGATGATCACGAATGTCATACTAATATCTCCTACAGGATTCACGACGTGTATGAAGACTGTTGAGATTACGCGACACAAAGAGGCTGCTGTCGGTGTCGAACGGTCAACATTCCAGGTGTTCATGGACATTTACCGCCGCGAAGGTATCAAAGGCATCAACAAGGGGGTCAATGCTGTTGCTGTGCGACAATGCACCAACTGGGGCTCTCGGTCTGTGATATTCACATGAAATGTCGTACTTTCAGCTGATACTCTGTGCAGCATGGGTTTTGCTCGTCTTGCTGAAACTATGATCCGGAATGTGCGCGGCAAGGGTGAAAAAGACAGTCTGGGTGCCATGGACAAGATCTTGGCTTCTTCCATCGGTGGTGCACTGGCTACATGGAATCAGCCTATAGAGGTTGTCCGGGTTGAGGTCAGTGTAACACCATGATTGAGTGGACTACGCTGATTTCACCCAATATTTTCACGTGACAGATGCAATCGATGGCAAAGACGACTGCAAATGCTAACCGCCCAGCAAAACTGACTATTCTCAACACCCTCGGCTTCATTTACAAGGAGAACGGTATCAAAGGTCTCTACCGTGGTGTCACACCCCGGATAGGCCTGGGCATCTGGCAAACAATTTGCATGGTATCGTTCGCTGACTACGTGAAAGCCTGGTAGGTGTTCGCATACTTCTTGGGAGTGGAAGGAAGCTAACGAAGCTTACAGGGTTAAAAAGAGTTAGTCAGGGATCGCAATAGCGATATCTACATTTTAATACTCTTAGACTGATAATAGTATATACTTTACTATAGATCCATACCACTTTTGTTGCTCGCTATATACGCTTTTCTGGACATATATCGTGTGTGACTCGCATTCAGAAGATGCATTCGCATGAGGTCTAATGTCAGTGATTCCCCGACTCGTGCACAAAGTTGAGATGATCCTCCGAGGAAATCATTCATAAGTGAATCTTCAAGGCGTGTTCTCGTAGGGAAAAAAGCTGTTGGCAGGTTTTGAACCTGCACTGTCTTTTGATTAAGACCAGCTAAGAACCCCCATCCATATAGTGAATGTCAAGGTGAAAAAAAAGCTTGTCGTCAGCAGGTTTAGAACCTGTGAAGTCCAAGACAAATAGATTTCGACTACGGTAACCACTTGGCTAAGATCACCATCCATAAGGCTAAGACTGCGAGTCAGATCTAACGAGCCGAAGAAAATCATGCATTGACAGTAAGATTAGCAGTCATTCGACGCAAAATGAAATAAAAAGACTAGCTTGCGTTAACTTAATTCGATGGACACAAAACATGCTAGCAATAAATAAGTCGGGGCTGGTGCCTGGAATCATAGTCTCCACATCCGGTAACCGGCTGCTTTATTCAAGTGCAGCATTAACCGCCTCACTGCTAGCTTACATCTGCAAATCTTCATCGCGACCACCATGAGCGCAGGCAAAGCCCCCATGCACCCACTGCTGGCGCGGTACCTCGCGCAGCTGTCGACAAACCCACTGCGCACCAAGGCAATGACGACCGGTAAGCTTCCATCAATCCAGCAATCACGTATGACGCTCAACGTGTCGGATGCATGTTCATGCAGGCATGTTTTGTTTCCTCCAGGAAGTCATTGGCTCGAACGCAGCTGGTCTCCCGCCACCTCAAATCCCAAAAGATGCGGCCCCCTTGACGAAAGCCCTTGCACGCGCACGTGTTGACTCCAAGGCCATCAAGATGGCTTTGTACGGGTTCTTCGTGTCTGCTCCTATGGGTCATCTCCTCGTCGGCACGCTGCAGAAAGCTTTTGCCGGGAAGACAGGGCTCAAGGCTAGGCTGGGGCAGCTCCTTGCGAGCAATCTGCTGATTTCGCCAATAAACGCGGCTGGTGCGCAGTCTTCACTCGTTTTGTTTATTTTGGCGCTAAGGCTCATATACAGTGTTCTTGGCTTCTATGGCTGTCATTAATGGTGCCAAATCCGTTGACGAGGTCATCCGTACCGTAAAGGCTGGCTTCTTCTCCGTCCTCCGAGTAAGCAGGAGTGTTCATCCCTTCAGGCGGTGTTCTTACTACTAGTACATCCTGTAGGTATCATGGGTAGTTTCCCCATTGTCCATGACCATTGCACAGCAGTTCATTCCCGTCGAAGTATGACCTCCGACCATGTGCACAATTACTTGACACTGACGACCAAACAGCTGTGGGTGCCTTTCTTCAACACGATCCAGTTCATGGTTGGCGTAAGTTTTCCTGGCTCATTCAGTCATTTGATGTAGGCTGACAACATCACTGCGCAGACCTTCATGAACATCAAAGTGAAGAAAATGAGACTCGCCGCGGCGAGGAAGGAAGCTGAGGAACGGGAGCGAGAGAGAGCGAGAACGGCCACGGAAGCAAAACCTTGATCACCTTATCTTGTATACACGCGCATGTCAGTCATACTTACACTGTTTGGTTATATCCGTAATATATTCCCTATGCATATATTATGGTCACGAGAGATCCGATATAACGATTGATGAAGAATTGTCCGCAGCCGCCCTTTGCTCGTAACGGTGTCTTACTTGCCATAACCCATCCTCTGTGCCAGGTTCGCCTACCTCAGTCTCCAACCGCCAGCCTGACAGTGCGTACGTTCCTGGACAAGTAGCGCACAACTGGGCGAGGACAGATGTTGTCTGCAACGGCTCCAGAAGTCCCCTGAAGGTCGTCCGGCCACAATATGGTGCAGGGAGATGATGTCTACAGACGCTGTCAGTTGATAATACACTGTGGGGGAGGAATCACTCACGACGATGATTGTTGACAATGGTCAAGTCTAAGAACAAAGCGCGACGGATGGGACAAGGAATGGTTACGAATCGTAAACTCCACATGAGTCAAGCAAACCCTGCTTCAACAGCTGCTCAACAATCCGTTGCTGGATGTGAAGAAGGACCACTCACCCCTGGCTGAAATCATGCTCTATCACCAAACCATCCTTCACGATCACAACAATCGGGTTCATCTCAGCGTTCCACTCGCTATCCCGGATAGCTTGCAGCATCTCCACTTTCTCCCGTTGTGTCTCAGCATACATGCTCCGCTTGACTTTGGCGCTCTCCACACCCTCGAGCACTCCTCGAAGTGCAGCATGACTTGCACCAAGAGTAATATCAGAAACAAGGATATGACCGGAACGCTGCTCAGAAGGAATCTTCCAGAACACGACGAAATCTACAGAGAGGGGGTTGTACAGTGGGAAGATGCTAGGATGAGATGATGTGGGTATTCGTGGGTGCGATTGAGCGAGCGAGCGAGAGACGGCTATCCGCTGTGCAGTTCATGATGAAGTGGGCGACGAACGGTTCGTAGGCAAATGTCTGTAGGGGGCCGATGAGTGATAATCTGGGGAAAAGTGAGGGAGATCTGTACCTGGGAGACATGTCCGCAGAGGAGCTCCAGCGGTGGGGGGTCGTCAGGCGCGAGAACTTGACCATGCAGCACGTTGCTCAGTTTCCTCGAGACGAATGCTGAGACTGCATTCACACTCGTACAATCGCCGGTGGAGGTGGCGCCAAACGATATACGCGCTGATTGAGACGGACGCAAAGGCTCACTAGAATGCGATCAAAGACACGAACACGAACATTTGGTTGCACTTACGGCCGGAGTTCAGCGAGGGGAGAACATGACCAACTAGCGCTGATCGTTGTCACTTGGTTGATCTCCACATTACTCGAAGATAAGATGTTAGTGAGGTCCAGGCTTAACGAGAACGAATGATCTAGCGAGTGACTCGGGTGCGAGGCAGTAGAGATCTGAAGGCATTGGACGACCTCATAACTCCTTGTGACACGCGTGCAATGGAACGGGCTGCCTTGTGCCTGTATCAAACATCTCAGCACAACAAGAGCAGAATGAGGATGTCGTAGTCGACTCACCTCGCGATAAATGAAGAGGAGCGACAAGTCCTGTTTCCGCTTGCAACCTGCATGTAAAACAACCGTGACTTCGGTGCTCCCAGACGTCACGAGTTTCTCTGTGAGTGGTATACTGTATGGAGTTGGTGGAACAATCTTATTATCGGACTGCCATGTTTTCCATGCCATGCCCGTAGCTGAACCTAGCTCAGCATGAGCACCTACGAACGCAATAAGCCGGTAATCAAACATACCTTCCCCACTACCCAAAGGTTCGATCCAGATTTGGTCCTCAGCACCAGGCACAACCCACACCTCACCAATATCCCTCGAACCAGCATTCGATATCAACAGCTTCATCCACTTACACTCTCCTTCAGCAAGCACAAGCGGTCCATCGTCCACAAACGCCACCGCGAGCTCTTGGCTGGCCTCTTCTACATCGAGCTTCAAGAGCTCGTCAGGCCGCGTATGTGATTGTCTGTCTCTGCTGAGGTGTATCCTGTAGCCTGCGACCGCGGCGTGCTAGCGATTCCACCGTTGGAAGGAGACCCAGGAAGTCATAAGCGACGCCTGTGATAACCAGTGATGCTGGTTTGGAAGCCTTAATGGCGATGGAGATCTGAATTGCGTTACGGTCAGCTAAAGCAGGAAGAAACTGACTGGTACCACTAACTGTGCGCGATTCGTTGGCAGAGAGGATAGTATCCTCAACAGTCTCAATTGTGATGTTATCTCGAATCCAGGCAGCGTCTCCGAAGACGATTCGACTATCACCGTTGGATTAGCCAAAGTGACCTCTGTATCGAGGGGATTGCACAGGGTGATATCAACCCAGAATGCCTCTGCACGAGAAATGAGCCCAAGAAGCCAGAGCGCATGGTGATCAGGAAAATTACCTTCTACAGCAGCATTTCCACTTCGTTCAAGCTTCTCCTTGCCTCGATGCTTCCAGAAGGACGACCAAATCTCTTCACGAGTCTCCCACTCGGACTGTTCGCCCTCGACAGAGTCTCGAGCTAAACGAACGCAGGTTTGCGATGGGACAACGAAACGAAGCGGCAGCTTAACATCCTCAAGGCGTGCTTGCTCCCCAGATATCGACTTCAAGTGCTGGTAAATGGTATCAGGGGACTGTAAAGGTGACGGAAAGAGGTACATTACCGAAATAGCAACCTGGAAGTCCTCCAAAAACACCTTGTCCGAGTTGCTCGGATCCGTCGTGATGTCCACGGTATGACTGGAGAGTTGAGCGAGTGGAGAAGGATGATGCTGAAGACCACCGCAAGAGACCCAAAAAGTGCCGCACAGCGCCTGGCACGTCCCCAGTGGTATACAGCAATCTTCCTAAGAGATACACCATGTCAAGGAAAGAAGAAGACGCCAGTCGAAAGACACTAACCAAGCGGATGCTCAATACCGGACATGACAGCATCAAAGCCTTCAAAGTCTGATGGTTGTTTGTTTTCGGACATCCAGAATGACGGCGATAAGAGTTTTTCCGGTCGGGAGAGGGACAATTCATGGGCTCTCCGAAGGAAATACATAGTTAACGGTTTCTGGAAATGCGCTTGGGAATCGGTGAAAACTATCATTCGAAGTCGAAACAACGTACAATGCCACATTTCTCCAGGCGATTTGCAGCGAAGAAATACCACAGCGCTGCTCGCCGTTTTGCATTCTTCCGAACACTGAGGAGTGCAGCATGAGCTAACAAGAGGGCTGCTGGTGGTTCTTCTGCCTTAAATCCTGACACAGTCAATTGGTGCACTTATCGAGGGAAACAAATGGTAACAAACGCACGTTGCCTGCAGCCCAGACAAGCCATCGCTCGCCCTCGAGGGTATCACTTAGGAAGTCGCCAATGGTGAGCGTCGATTCCCATCGCACAGCATATAGCAAGGCGCGTAATTGTGCATGTGAATGAAGCTCAGCGCTTTGGGGGTAGATGATATTCAAAGCATGAGAGACGTGGAGCTGCACAGCTGGCGAGGGAGAGATGAGCAAAGGGAGGATATCCTAACGGCGAAGTTGTTAGATAGAAGGAGCATATTATAAGATACGATACTTACGGAGCCTCCTTTCCCTTCCTTCCGCAATGATTCCCAAACAGCAACTGCTAGTTTGAAGTCACCAAGGATTGTTGCAAACTCAGCTAAGCGTCGTTGCTGGGATGGTGGAGGGATGGTGGAACCAGATAGTGGGGACTGAGGTGCGGTGTATGTGCTCGAACGTGTGTGCAGAGGTGTAGAGGAGTGCACTGGGGTTGCAGAAGAAGTTCCAAAAAGCCGACGCGTCGATGAGAACAAGCGTGACGGTAGCCTTCGGCTCGAGGAATACTGGTGAAGGGACTCAGTAAGGTATTTGGAGGGGAATTTGTTGATGCTCACTGTTTCGTTCCATTCTATCACATATTTCTCCATCCATGGAACCAAGTTCATGGTGACGAATTCTCGTGCAAATCTGGCTGTTTGTTGGATATCTTGTTCAGACATCCTGAGAGTATTCAATGGGACCGTCTGTGTAGTCTTTAGCTCAGGGCGCACGGCATCGGCAGAACCGTTGGAAATTGTAGGTGGCGGTAATCGAGGAACGAGTGCTGGAATAGATACGGGGGGTGGCGGAGGGGATGGAAGCTCGAGAGAGAGAAGGTAAGTGTGTAGACCATATTGTTTCTTAACGGCATTGAAGAGTGCGCCTGCTCTGGAAATGTGATATTATGAGGAACAAGAACAGCAGTGAGCAGTGAATACGCACTCTTCGTCAGAGAGCGGAGAGTTCTTGGGATGAATTATAAGGGTGTAAATGAGATGTGTGACGTCTACCCATGATGGAAAGTCTAATGTTCGGGAATGTAAGGCCGTGATTGCTTGCAACGGATTCGGGGCTGTAGTAGAGACTGCTAATATTACTGCGGCAAGAGTGTGAGGCGCAATAGAAAGGTGAAGGTGAAGTAGGATTACTGACTTGACATTGGATGGTTCCACCCCTCATCTCTAGCCGGGATGTGATCTCCTTCGGCACAACGTCTCAATTCATCCCACCAAGGCGTTCTTGCAACATCTCGATCGTTCATCTTTTCGAAATCATCTACCCATTTGGCGCAGCGTTTGCTGATACGGTCACCGATCCAGTCAATGGTTCGTGTGGCGCGTTGTTCCTCATCTTCGCGACAAGCGGACTCGATTTCCGTCAAGTCAGAAAAGCGAAGTGCAAATGATGCATGGGGCACAGTGGTCAAAGTAGTAGTGCGAGTTGTGACTTTTGTAGCTGATTAAATATTAATATTAGTGGAAAATAGTCAAACGTACCTTGTGGTAATGGTGAAAAGGACTGCAATATATGATGGAGGGAAGGTAGGACAGAAGACTGAAGGAGCTCTTCAAGGTCTTGAGAAGGAAGAATGCATATGTGGGGGGTCAGCGATGAAGGCAGCACCCTAGCCATGAAATTTGCTCGTGCACGTTGCTCTTCAAGATGCGTAACTACCTTTAACTGACACTCTCTCCCAGTCTCTCCTCGGCGTTATATCAAGATACAAAGTAGTTAGATTGAGCCAATTTCCCACATTTCCGAATGTTCATGTTATTAGTCTTACAATGTTCACGTTGACAAGCTGGTATATAGGATCAGAAGAAACCGCCACCACCAAATCCTCCATCAAATCCACCACCGCCAAATCCACCACCACCAAATCCTCCATCAAGCATATCTCCAAGTAAAAGTCCGCCTGCCAATCCACCCAACAAAGGTAATGCCATTCCCCCTCCAAATCCTCCTCTCCGACTTCCTCTTCCATACCGACCGTCATTGTATGCATATGGGTCTCCTGCAGGTGGGCCATACTGACTCGGACCATAGCCGCCGCCCGAGTAGCCTGGGTAACCATAGCCATACGGTGGATAACCACCATTTTGCTGCATGTAGGCAGCACGTTGCTCTAAATTTCGTCTCCGTGCCTCACGACGCAGCTCCTCGTCTCGCGCACGTTCTTCAGCCTTTTGTTTCTTGTGTGCCTCCCGCTCTTCCTTCGTACCAATAGCCTTATCTTTCAACTTCCCGAACATCCCGCGCTTTCGCTCCTCTTGATGTTCGTCAATTGGTGGCGAGCCTGCACTACCAGAAGACATGGCATCGGCGTGGAGTGAGGCAGCCGTCTCTCCAGCGCTGAATGAATGGCGTCGCTTTTCGTACGGAGGGGGATCTGCCAACGGTGCTCTGAGCTTCTCCACTTTTGCTTTGATACCTGGGTTCTCAGAAAGGAATTGCTCGTCTTCGTAGGGGTGCACCCATATTGCTCGTGGTGGGTCTGCCGTTGTATCAACCTGTAGAAGGAAGGGTTAGAGCCCAATCTGATAAGAGAGATCAGTGGTGCTCACCCAGAATGGGTGCTTCTGCTGAGGGTCGTACTCCTGAATCCAGCCGTCTGGCAAGGGTGGTTGAGACATACGAGATACGATGGGTGTTATGGTCAATTGTGAGCCGAGTAGTAGTGTCCAAGCCTGTCCAAGGGCGACTCCACTCTGTGTTTCACTATTATACTACTTATCTATCATCTATCACGTGCCTTTAGGGGCACACTGCCCCTCACAGCCTTATTACACCACTGGCATAGCTACAATCACAATTGTGTCCCTCGAAAATTCGATACAACCAATCGCTCGACTGGATATCCGATACATACTACAAATCCGATGCTTAAGCTGTGTATGTACCTACACACCACTTCGTGGGCGTTGCCATGTTGTGCCAGTGGCAGCCTGAGAGTACAAGACAAATGAGGTATCATGTAATCCATTATCCGACGGAATATTCCCGAGAAGACCGACTTAGATATAGTTGGACTTCATTTTAATGTCAAAGTTGATAGAAGGCAAGATGATGGAAGTGGCGTTCACTGGCAGCACCCTGCAGCAATCTTTCCGCAGTACAAGCTGTACCAGGACCGCTAGAGGTGTAATACCGGTGGACAGGCGTGGGCAGCAATTACTCGTGGATTGCACGTAACCGCAGGTAAGCACCGCAGTTGCTATTCTGGGTAGCATCCTCTTCGAATTCAGAACTTTGCCAGTGCCGTACCGTCTTGGTTTCCTGCATGTCCGACTGATTCATGACTAGTCGACTCATCAGAAATTACTGCACAGCTGTTGTGCTTGCGCATGTCTTGACGCTACACCCTATCCTTGCTTCTATACCAACTTCACGCCCGGCGGGAAATCTACCATGTCGTCATCAGACCCGGGGCCGGAACCAACTCATAACTCAATTACACTCACTCTCGAGGAAGGCATCACCAATCGGTAAGGCATTCCGATGATGCTCAGCATCATCACGACGGATACTAGAACAACAGTTGAGACACGCATTGTGATTCTGAGGGAGTAGGAACTTGGGAATTTTTTCCGAGTTTACTTCGATTGAAAACAGATTGCGCCTTTTTATATTTTTCGCTACAAGCTTACGGCTCAATGCATCCTAGATACTCTGGGCGACCGGGATACTCCACCGCCTATTCCTGCGGCTGAATCCATTTTAATGTTGTCAGGTTATCATCATACTTGAAAACTTAATCAAACGCCTTTAAACAGTTTCATTTGTGGCCGAGCACTCAGTACGACTTGCAGTGCGTGGCTGGCGATAGTCACGGTCAGGCCTTTTCAACGATCTCAAGCCGAGGCACATCACTGACATCACAATTTCATAGCGAACCATAGAACATAATGTACATTATCTGACGCAACACGGGGAAAACTAAAGTTACGGGCACCTCCAAGCGGGATTTGGTATTCAAGTATTCGTCCCAGATAATTACTCCTTGTTGTATCCTCCTCTTCCCCTTGCTTCCCTATTATATCCCCCTCTTCCTGGTTCCCTCGCCTCCCTATTATATCCTCCCCTTCCTGGTTCCCTCGCTTCCCTGTTATATCCTCCCCTTCCCGGCTCCCTCGCTTCCCTATTGTATCCTCCCCTTCCTGGTTCCCTCGCTTCCCTGTTATATCCTCCCCTTCCTGGTTCTCTCGGTACTTCACGCTGGACATCTACCGTGTCATAATCAGAATCAGGGCCGGAACTAGCTCATAATTTAATTCTACTCACTCTCGACGGAGGCTTCAGCGATTGGGGAGGCGGTAGCTCCGATGACGCTCAGCATCATTGCGACGGATACAAGAACAACAGTTGAGACGCGCATTGTGAGGGAGCAGAAGAAAGCAAATATTTCTGGGTTTGATTGAAGACAAGTCGCGCCTTTTATGTTCTTCGGGACACGAGGTTACGAGCTAAATGCTGATGCACATACGCATGATACTGGTGCCCCTAGCCACCGCCCATGTCTACGGACCTTAATCCATCTTGATGTTGTCAAGCCAGCAATCTTTTCCACCATGCTTGCAAACTTAATCTCTGATGGACACCTCGGGTTGGACGGGCACTCAGCGCAAATTGTGGTGTGCATAATTGGCGATAGTCACGCCCTTTCGACAATAAGCCGAGGCACATAACTGGCATGACAGTCCGATAGCGAGACGATAGTACGTGCTCGAACTCTTGTATATGTCTGACGCAGCACGGGAAAACAGAGGAAAGCTTCAAGTTACGGTTGCAAATGGAATTTGGTATTTAAGTAATTCCTGATATGAGTTGATACCTCGACAATCAAACCTACGTTGCAAAGCTACTAGTACAGGTACGTCCGTGCCGCATGATGCCAGTTGCCAATCGCAATTGACAACAATGCAGAATTCACCGCTTTTATGGATCCGGAATCTTTGCTGGACATGGCATCTAGTGCTGTCTATTCCGCGAGAAGGACTGATCCGATTCTTCTTGCGGCCATGAGACACTCCCGACAAAAGAGAACAGGTGAACTACAGCAAGTGCATTTTCTGAGAGCGGTAATCATATACTACTAGGTAAGGGAATAAGAACTATTGATGATAATGTCTGATTTCTCCAAGCTAGCTGTACTCGGTAGGGATTATAATTAATATGAAATATCGATTATGGCGCAAACTATGTATAGCAAGTATCATAACTGTCAAGAGGATTTATTGCGGGTCCAGCAAATTCACAGTCAAGTTGGGTTAAATGCAGGTCAGCGTTCTGACCTCCCACCCTGGAAAATACTTCGTGATAAGCCTGGATCCGCCCGGCGAAGCTTTCCAAACAGTCGATCCGTTTTAGCGCTACCCAGGCAGACCACTTGCCGCTACATTCCCTGACGTCTTGGCAGCCGGCAAGCCCGAAGCTATAGTAACCTCAGCACTACGAACTACTACTGCGTCATCATCAGACTCGGGAGGGAGGGAGTTCATAATTCTGCTTACCTATGGGATTTGCGTTGGCTCCAATGATGCCCAGCATCATTGAAATGGACACAATAATAATAGCCGAGATGCGCATTGTAAAGAATAAATAATAATGCGAGTCGAAAGATCTTTGTAGGGTCTCATGAAGACGAATGGCGCCCTTTATGCATGTCTTGCACGCCGATGCGATGCGATGCATCTGACATAGGATTTAGCACGGCACCCATGTACCAGGGTATGCGCTGTACGAGCGTAACCATAGGGGAGACTAGTGCGACTAAGGCCATGCATACTTGTGACCAGGCTGAGAACTACGCCATGAATGAGCCACCTCACTGGCCAAGTCATCGATATTTGCTACGCTTGGTCAAACGCATCTATATAATTTGAGTGAGGCGGTTAGCACGAGGAGGAATGTGCACTTGATGATAAACACGGTCGGGCACATGGCGAGTCCAAGCTAGCGATCCGATAGTACTATACGTGCTCGAACTCTTGCATATTGTATTACACAGCATTTAGTAAAATGGATGCTAGTATTGCAGTGATCGATATTTCTTATACGAGAGTAGGCTGAAAATTAATATCCACGACCAAACCGGTGCATATGCAAAACAAAGCGGCTAGTAAAAAATGTATTCGTGCAATACGCTATTTTTTCACGCTGGCATCAGCCATTCCACAAATAAAATCCTCGTGCTCCCTGCAAACTGCTACTGACAAATATTAATGTCCAATACTACCACAACCCTAATCTCCAAACGCTGCTGTCAGTGCATACAATCAACGATAGATGTGTCCACCGCGAGAATACCCCACGCGCCGGCCAGCACGTTCGCGGAATCAGATATATTCAGCAGTACCGTCACACAACCCAACTTCATGCAATAATACTATTCTCAATTGACACGCAAGTGTGCCCCTGGAAGTCAATTGTGGTCATGCAGGTTTCTATTTCGGAATCGGCTTTGAGTTTAGCGTCGAATTCTCGAACGCTAAGGATAAGACGTGGTCCCAGCACAAACATCTGCACATTCCACAAAATTTGAAGAACGCCGCCATAAATCAGAGATCCTACGGGAGAAGTCACCTATAGCAATGATGAACAGTGGTCATATACAGACGTATTAGTGACAGGTCAGCGTACCAAGGCTGGAGAGTAGTAACCGAATTGGAAGCAAGAAACAGCAACGCAGCTACACATCACGTGTGGAACTTCAGCGAGAAAAGATAGCCGCATCGAAATCACAAGCTAACCTTGCAAAGTAAAGCACGTGAGTTTTTACCAAAACCGTAAAGAAGTCCTCGACGGTCCATCGTCGTAGTTCGCGAAAGTGTTTTACAGCAATCCAGACCACAAGACAAAACACGAGGACATCCCATATAGTGCCGAGTATCCAAGTAATGGAAAGCGGAAGTGAGGAATCCCAACCGAAATCATAATTACATTTGTAGGTGCCGGAGAGGATGAGCTCCTCTGATATTCATCAAATTAGCTTGATGCACTGAAGCCTTTCGTTCATAATGAAAGCTTACCTCCTGAGGTGTAGCTGTTTGTGAATCCAACGGATACTCCGGAGGTGATAACGACAGGTAGCAAGGTTACAACAAGGAAGATAAGCATCTTTCTGGATCCCTGATACATGGCGTGCAATCTAATTATCATGATGGCTAGCAAAGTTTGAGTCAACTCAGGATCGCTGAAGTATCGCAGCTGAGTAGCTCACCGCCCAGGGTCACACTCATGACCACAGAGATCCAATTTATTGCATAGTAAAAATTAGCGCCTGAAAACCCCGATTAGTAATGAGATCTAAGACTCGGAGGACCAAATACACCAGAAACTCACAGCTGTCGCAGTTATTATATTGAACAAACAAGCTGGCCGGGAACCTCACCGCTGCAGCGGAGAGCATTTGGTTGTTCAGAGATGTCAGGAACCGGCACAAAATACTCACCACATCTGTCACTGAGACTGTCGGAAGATTATCTGTAGGGTACTGGTCAGACGACACAAACATGATGTATGTGAGGAGACAAACCCAGCATATTGATGCTGATTGTGAGAGATGGATTTATCAGCAGAGCGCCAACTTGTTAGCCTTGCAGACATACACAGCATATGGCATTCCAGCATAGCGCACCTAGGATATGTTGGAGTCAGCACAACTTGCCAACTGCACCTATGAGCCACATACGCCGACATATAAAACGGTCACAAAGGACCAAGGTCGCCTCTGTCCCGAATTAATTATCCCGTCATTGTTCTGATATGGGACTCTGCTTACCCAGATCAATTCGACCTATGAAACCGTTCTTAGCGACGACTGCTCCGGTGATGATAGTATTAACTCACCTCATGTCCGAGTGTCAGGACTGGAGATATCATAAGGATAACACTGGTTTTTAGATGATTTTGCTTACCCCAATCGTATATCACCACCACAGTAGAGATAACTGCAAGCCACAGACAAAGTTAATTCGAGACATCATGATCGGACTCTCTCTCCACGAACCTGCAAAATAGCTGAAAAAAATATTCAAATTGATTGATGGCCAGTAAATGGGATCATTTGAGACCAGAGTCATGTTTGAAGGATAAGCGTATGAGTGGCGAACCTGGTGGACGTGAAAGGTGGTGTCGTACTATATACCACGTCTTGAATTAAAATAGATCGACCGAGAAGTAAATTGATGGCTCACATCTTCCCCTCGGGCTAGATTATCATGAGGCTGTAAAAACAGATACGACCAGGGGTACATCATGATAGGAATTTGCTGTACTTTGTTGCCTGATTTAGCCAAGTAGTCCATCATACAGCTGATGCATCATCAATTTGTATAGTCAGGTGGCCCATCCGTGATGTATACTGACAGCATGATGGACTGATGAAGTTTCAAGCTTAGCTTCAAACGGCTGCCGGCAAGACGATAACTTACATAAGATTAATCGACCTATTCTCGCCGGATACTTTCTGGGTTTTCCCCAAGTTGTGTATGTTCGCCATGATCGTGGTTTGCTTTGATAGTTCCACTTCAAGTTGCAGATCATTTCATGCGCTGTGGTCACTGGTGGGACTGCTAGGGAACTACCTTCACAGTTGAACATTAACGTTGAGATCTGAGAGTTGCCAATGGCGCGCTCGAACATATTTTACGTAAATTCCCGCCTTTATATCATAATTACGTAAGGTCTCTCTCCTTCACTCTGAGACGTTCTGTCCACCCCGCCCAGTTACTAGTCAAAGAAGAGGTGTCCGGCGCCTCTTCTAGCCTGTGCCGTTTGCTGGTCACGTTCCCTTTTAGTTTGCTTCCTCTCCCCAGGATTCAGCTCGGGTGATGTAGCCCGGGTCTCCACGAATATCTACCGGCATCGTCAAACTCGTGAGGGAGACAACTCATAACTCCACTTACTCATTGGGGAGGCATTGGTTCCGATGATGCTTAGCATAATTGAAATGGATACAAGAACAACAGTCGAAATGCGCATCGTGAAAGAGCAGGAAGAATATCAATGTGGTTATGTATTGTGGATTAATACTTGCTGGAGCAAGGGGGACTTTTTATGTGTTGAGGTGACCAGGCAGTACCGCTACCATATTCATGATGTCCTGTGCGACTAAGGAGACTCACACAAACGGCCGCCTATGTTCTTTGAACCAGGGTCATCAAGTTATCAACATTTGCTATGTTTGATCAAAAATGCTAATGCTGGGTCACTTAGCGCACAGGCTTGCTTAGCGATAGTCACGATCAGGGAAGGGCCTCCAATAGCCTTCCGGAAATTAAATAGTCGTGCTCAGACTTGTCTGACGCAACACAACACAGCTTTATTATAAGCTGCACCGTACGCAGCTTGAGCTTGGAACCTGGTCTCCCGTATACAAGGTTGAAGGCTGGGACGTCGACAACCAAGCCAGTGCGTAGACAATGTCAAGCGACTAGTTCATAAGCGTCGAGTGATGATAATGATCGTACCTGGAGTGATCACTAGCAGGCGAGCATTGACCCCCTCTCGTTGTGGAGGTTTCGGAACCACTTCGATAAATTGTTAATCCCTGTTGAATATACAAATACAAATTACTTGTGGTATATCAGATGCACATGAAGTTAGATTATTGAAATGAAGCGAGAGCAGACCGTGACTGCATGCAAGAAACATCTACGAGCCGGCGAACGATGAGGGCATGGTCACAACAACGAGAAGCGGTGCATTAAGGCATCGAGTGACTGCTAGGCAGGGTGGGCGTGAAGGTAACGGATTATCTCCTGAATCTTCAGCACCTTCTGTTCCGTCGGCATCTGTCGAAAGTATAGAATTAAATGTTTAATGACTTGCAGCCCTGCAGTACAACATGAGTTTACTCACTTCAAAAAAGTGGTGCATCCGTCGGCGCCTATCTTCATCTGCTGCTTCCTGGAGAGCGATGTCGTCTACAAAAGGATGCGCACCGCTGAGACCTTGTCTCTGGTGGGATGAAGGGCCATTGGTAGGAGGGACCGCCCACTTCTCCATAACGCCCCAGCCTTTATCCTGGTCCTCCGATGTCAATTCTGTACCAGCAAACTTGTGAACAGACACATCATCTTTACGCCCCCATCCATCACTTCCCTCTTCATGATTCGGCTTCCTCCAAGCTCCCAACATCCCCCAAACCTCATCAGAGGTCCGCCATCCGCCGTCCTCCTCCATCATCTCCAAGAATTCTTCCATCCTCAGCACCTCACCCCTCTCCGCAGCATCCACCCCGCGGATCCAGAACGGCACTAGATCAAATACATGATCCACGTGCGTCTGCATATCCCATGTGCGCAGGCCATCGGAAGTTAGCGGAGGCTGCTCAGGCGCTCCCCAAGCGTCATCGTCCCGTGGCTGCCACCACTCTATTTCGGAGATGTGCTGCGCGTGCTCGGGAGACGTATTTTCGTGTCGAACTGCGGCTCGCATAGTTGTAAAATGGAATTGGTTATTGCGCCTTGGGATGCAAATGTTGCAAGTCCATCCGCGGCGTGAGACGTCGGTGGTAAAATCTATAAGCGGATCATGGTCATGCATCTACGCCCCCCGTTGGTGATAAGTGTCTGGGACACACATTGTTTTTTGTCAAATTTCAACTTTTTGGAGGAAGAAGTGGGTGCCATGGGTTCAGGTCGAGAGGAGGGGGTGGTGGGACGATTGAGAAAGTGCGGGAGCTCGGGGCCTCAAGAAGAGCAATATAAATGTCTTTCATCTGGTGTCCACAGACCGGGACTCCAGTGGCACGGTCCACAATCACGATGAGCAGCCGTATATATTCCGCATACGGACTCGGCTTCGTATTTCTGCTGTATACGTTGCCAATACAAGAGAACCACGAGGACAAGCCAACAATGGCCATAACGAGATAGGAAGTCCTGAACCTCTTATTACTACGCAACGACAATGTCCAAAAACTACAATGTTCTACTTTAATAATGATCATAATTATCTATGAAGCTCCGGGTGGCGGGTCCACCCAAGTTCCATTCGGCCAAAGGGTCGCAGGCATTGTAAAATCACCTGGTGTACCCCCCATTGCATACTGCAAAAGAATTCGTCGGTCTTTAGCTAGCGCAGAAAGTCCCTTAAAAGCACTCACAGCAAGCCTGAAAAAATGTGGCAAGCCACTCTCCAGTGCAGCAAGTGAGTAGTTGAGTGCAGTGCCCACGTACACCTCCACATCATCCACGAGTAACCCGAAGCCATTCCAACCTTGCGTGGCAATGGCCGTAGGCATGCCATTCCAGCTGATGGTTTGGTTCGCGAGAGCAATGGAGGTATTGTAGGTGGTGGAATTCGTGAGGAAAGTGGGGAGGGGGGAACCAGTTGTTCCGTCTCCAACAAGCTGCAACATCACATAATTCAGAGCTACTGAAGGCATGTATAATAAAAAAGACATACACTAGCAGCGGTCTGTAGTATCGAGTCGAAGCCGAACGCAGCCACGTCATTAAGGAACATTCCAAGGAGGAACCCTTGATAAATCGCCGAAAGCCTCGTCGGGAAGCCAACGCCAGGGAACAATACCATCGAGATGATGTAATGATGTAGTCTGAACTGCAGACCAGACGCCAACGTCAGCACCATTGTCACGAGGCCTCCAAGGATGTACCACACGAGGTAGTATGGCAGCCAGCCAGTCTTCCGAATAACACGCATCTGGTTGACCACCATGACGAGAAGGATGAGGACGATAATGACAAGCGCTACAACACCCCCCGGTTGTTGCTTGATATCAGCCGCAGTCAATTGCTCGATAGGAATTTCGTCCATGGTGAGATTTGTCAGAACACCAGTCCAATAAGGCGCGAGGGTACCATATCAAAGCTTCAAACGGCGCATTTGCAAACAGAGGCAATGTAAACCTCACAGCAACGCGCCAGAACCCATAGCAGACGAAAAGAGTAGGCAGGAATGCACCAAAAGCAACGTCTAGCGGGGGTGGGGTCGATTGGGGCTGGGAAAACAATGCGATGTGCCAAAATCCGATGCAGACGAGGCACCACCACGTGATGATGGCTCTGGGTCGCAATACGAGAAAGAGAAGGCAAGTAATAAGTATGTTGAAAGCGAGCGCCGGTGTGCGGAGGTCGGTGCAGTGAGTCAGAACATTAGACGGTGAGAATCTAAAGGACATCGGGAATACAGAGGGGAATCCAATGGAAGATAGTCCGAAAGCAGTTGTAGGTAAATAGTTCGTGAAATTCCCCACGAGGTTAACAGATGCGCAACCTCCTGTTGAGTCACTGAAAAGGCCGCTATGTAGAGAACACGTGAGTTAAGTCTGCAGCATTGAAATCAATCAATAACTTACGCCTGAACAGCAGAAGCGCAGATAAAACTATCAGCTCTATAAGTCTTCTGAATATCCCCACCTCCAACAAGTAGCGGTACAAAATCCACAGATTCATCGCCCACTAAATGCGGGTTCTGCAGGACAACACTGCTACATTGCGCCGGGCATCTAAAATCGAAAGATGAATTACTAAACGGCGCGCACAAACTACCGTCCAGACCGCATCCTGCGTCTTTTGTCCAGTAGACGGATGTACAATCGACAAAAGAGCTCGCAGGGGTTAAATACCACTGTGCACGGACCAAAAAGGAAAAGGAGATGATATATGCTGCTACGAGGAGAACGAAAAGCCATGTAGTGGTAAGTGGACGAGTGAATCGAATAATCGCGGGTTCGAGTGCGATGGTAAATTGATGTCCTTTGAAGTTATACATGCGACCGAGGAGGGGCACAGGGTCTGCGTGTTGTGAGCGCCGGTAGCAAATGGTCCAAAACATAAAAACTCACTCGGAAGATCAACTTTCGGCCTGGGTCCCCGAATGTATTTGACCGCTCGATCAGCAACATTATACAACTGAGGGGATCGTGCTCTGAATGAATCAGCGAGTCTTGAGAAACGAGTGGAGGGTGGTGGAGAATGAGGCTCGGCACTTGATGAGCTCGGACCATAGAGGCCTTGCTCTGAGGCCTCCGCCTCAGACTTTGATATCTCCTCGCTTGAGCGGACTGTTGTCTCGCGAGAAGAACCGTACCGGAGCCCTTGATCCATGAGAGCTCAGTTTGAGGCGACTGTCATGAAGAACTGGTTGTGTGCGAAAGCACATGTCTAGAAGCGCAGTAAGCGTCCAAAATTAAATAGCATCACTAAGGCTGTCCTCAGGCCTAAATAGCTGATTAGTATCAGAAGGCCTGCAAGCATAGACTCGAGCATCCTACGTTCCTATGTACAGCTCAGCAATATTGTGAACATACGTATAGACGGATTTGCCAAAGAAGATCATTACCAGAAAAGTACCCTGCCAAGGCCATCAAAATATCGACCAATGTACTAGCTCCAGCGAATCATCGTATATAGACCACAGGCAAAACTTCTATGCCGCATATTCCCCTACCGTTCACCATCGTCTGTTTCATAATCGCCATCTTCATCCGATCCTTTCTCCTCTGTTCCTTCTGTGCTTTGCCGCCCCCGATTGCGCGCCCAACTCGGCCGCCCTTGCTGCATTTTAATACTATTATTATTACTCGACCACTTTGTACCTTTGTAGTGGGCTGCCAGGGACATGATGGCTGTGCGAAATGAGAAACAGCATCAGAATATGATATGCGAAAGAGGAAGGAACGCACCATCTTCATTCCTTCTGTAGAATTCACCCCACGATTTGTCTGATCTCTCGTTATCTGGGAACTACACAATCAAATACACACGATTAATTCACCAAATTCAGCATATAAGATATGATAGTACTCACCTTTTCAAGAAAGCCCTCCCATCGTTCCCGACCTACCATGTCATTCCATCCCGGAGTGCGCGCAACATACCTGGCTACGATCCTCCAATCCGCAGGTGTGAACGAACCACCAATGGCTCCCATGTCTGCTTCGTCAGTATCTGTCGTGGCGGAGGCATCGTGATTGCTAGACGAGGGAGAAGGGGAGGGTTGCAAAAAAGGGGCGCCCCGTTTGGATGCAACCATCTTAGTTTTTGGCACACGAGGAACCGGTTTTATGCGACGAAGCGTGGATGTTGTCTGCCGAATGACTTCAGTTTCTGAGTCTTCGACTAAATCGGATGGCGCATTTGGAGAGTCTGAGTTGGCATCGTCTTCATCGTCTTCTTCCCCATCTTCGTCTCCATCTTCATCTTCGTCATCGTCATCATCTTCGGCGCCCTGGAAGGAGTACAGGATCTTGTCTGCGATGTCATGTCTGGCATGCCAGTGAGATGCCCAGGACGGTGCGCTATGATGTGGGGCCTGTACAGGGTCAGCATTGAACATATGTTCAAGCGCAACACTCCACCTTTTCACTCAACATCGCACACAACTCTTTCTTCGTCAGACTCGCATCCTGACTCAGTCTCCAACCGATAAAGTTCAAGAAATACGCGCGATCCTCCTCTGTATACTTATTCCCATTTGTCCCAGCTTCGATTCTTGTTGGGGGCGTAGGGCTTCGTGACGGCGGAGGGGGTAAAGTAATATCCGCTTGAAGCGGCATAAGCTTGGAAGGAAGGTTTGTCGGGAGGAGGGGTGCAGAGAGGGAGTTGAGGGTTGCTCGGGGGCGTTTTGGAGGACGGTAGCCTAGTGACGGGGTTGTGCTGATGGCGGTAGGTGTAGAGCGTTTAGGGGGTCGACTTTGTCGGAGTGGCGGGGAAGGTGAAGGTTGTCTCTTTCGCGAGTCGCGATCACGATTGTTTAGAGGAGAAGCAGACTTTGTTGCGGAGGTAGATGCACGGTTGGAAGTAAAAGGTTTTTTGACTGCTTTTGATGTTTGGCTTTTTTCTGCCAGACGAGCGACGAGGACATCAAAACGGTCGTGATGGTCGAGGTAATAATCTTTCCAAAGGTTGGCAGCATGATTATTAACCTAAAGGAGTGTGATCAATAGCGCGTGCGCCTTACGATTTAGTGGAGAAGACACGCACACCATGTAACCCTTCCAGAGCCTGTCTGTACGTCTTCCCGGACTGTTTGCAGTCGAAAAGAGCTTGAGCGAGGATAGAGTCGTCATTAGGTGACTGGCCGACTGGAATTGTTAGGCGAAGAAAGTCCTGCATGAACTGCTGTGGAACGACAGACGCGAGATCAAAACTTGGATTGGGGAACGCGTGCTGAATTGAGTTCACGTTCGGCGCAGTTTGCTTTGGCTGGTGCTGCTGAGCTGTGTGGTGACCATTCTGCGTACACTGTTGGTGTTGTTGCCATTGATGATTCTGGGGTTGGTGAGGATATTGGTTCTGGTTCATCGACGGCCAGTTTTGATGGCCGAGGATGCCTGTCATACTCTGGTTGTGAAACTGGTCTTGAGGTAGACCGGCGTGGTGAGAAGGAATTCCGTTTGGTATTGGGGCGTTCATCGAGGACGCACGCGACAGCGAGGAGATGAGTTCACCGTTGTTCACCGCGACGAGCGACGAGCTCACAATTTGAATTTGAAAGTGCTCAAATCCACGTGTCTCTGTCACGTGCTATCATCACGTGAGACCATCGCGGGGCACCGTCAAGTACTGAGAGCGCACTCGGTTCACTTCCTGTTGGATCCGTCCGTCATGTCGATCTCTCGTCTTGCTCGTATTCCTCTCCGCAGTCCCTCGCGCTCTTATGCTACGACGGCAGGCTTAAATGCCCTCGCCCGTCCCAAGGCAGAGAATCTCAGCGCGACTTGGAAGGGCACTAGTGCAACTGGAGGTAACACCAAGAATTTCATTGGCGGTGCCTTCGTCGACAGTAAGACAACCCAGTGGCATGATGTGCTCGACCCTGTATGTCTATGTCCCAAATTACTATGTAAGAGCAAGTATTAATGATTGTTCGGCAGTCGACCCAAACACTGCTCACACGCGTCCCGGAGACCACCATAGAGGAGTTTGATCAAGCAGTCGATGCTGCTAGCCAGGCATTCAAGTCATGGAGCAAGCAGAGCGTTCTTGCTCGCCAACGTTTTGCCATAGAGTCCGTTTTCGAGTACCCACGTTACCAACACCTGACCCACTTACGCTGCATTCAGACTTCAGTATCAAATCCGTCAGAATGCAGACGCACTTGCACACAGCATCGTCCTCGAGCAGGGAAAGACCCTTGCCGGTACGTGTGCCTTCTCTGTCCTTTCGATATCTTCTAATCACTTCCCAGATGCTCACGGCGACGTCCTCCGTGGTCTTCAAGTCGTCGAAACTGCCATCGGTATCACCTCCAACATTGTCGGCGAGAAACTAGAAGGTATGTGTGTTGCTTGACTTTTGAGTTATGGTGCTCACGTTATCATAGTCAGCAAAGACATGGACACTGAAGTCCGAAAGCTCCCTCTCGGCGTCTGCGCGAGGTCCGTTCTGAAATGCCCTACGCAAACATACGCTTACCTCTTACAGCATCGCACCTTTCAACTTCCCAGCGTAAGCTCTTTTTTATACACATCTCTGGCTTACCCCTTACGTCCCTATTCAGAATGATTCCCCTTTGGACAATTCCCCTTGCTACCGTTACTGGTAACACCCTCATCCTTAAGCCATCCGAGCGGGACCCCGGTGCAGCCATGATCATTGCTGAGCTCTGTGCCCGTGCTGGCCTCCCTGAAGGTGTAGTGAACGTGGTGCATGGGACCGTGCCCGTCGTCAACAGGATTTGTGACCATGAGGCAATCAAAGCGGTGAGCTTTGTGGGGGGAGATCGCGCAGGAAGACATATATATGAAAGGTGAGTGAAACGAGTGAAATAGTGATCTTCAGAACCGCGCCGACAGATATGGCAGGGCCACGACGAACGGCAAACGTGTACAGGCAAATCTAGGCGCAAAGAATCATGCGATAATCATGCCCGACGGTAAGACGCCTCCTCTCATTGTGTGTGGCTGGAACCCACGTAATACACAGCAAATAAGAATCTCGCGCTCAACTCCATTATTGGTGCTGCATTCGGCGGTAGGCGTCCACCCTTTTGATTCTTGCTTTGTTGATACAATCGTGCCTGTACAGCTGCGGGACAGAGGTGTATGGCAGTTTCCGTAGGTAAGTCGTGCGAATGTGCCGTGTGACATCTGCGTTAATGTACATCTGCGCATGTTTAGCCGTACTCGTCGGCGCAGCACAATCATGGCTCCCTGAGCTTGTAGAACGTGCATCAAAGCTGAATGTGAACGGAGGATTTGAGAAGGGTGCAGATCTGTAAGTGCCCTTTCGCCATCCTCTGGACCTTCGCAACGCTGACCTGCACCACATACAGAGGCCCCCTCATCTCTCCCGTCTCCCAAGCTCGCGTTACGGGCCTCATTGCATCCTGTGCAGACGAAGGAGGGCGAATACATCTTGACGGGAGGAATGTTCAAGTTCCCGGGTATCCCGCTGGTAACTTTGTAGGCCCAACGGTTCTGGAGGGAACAGTGGGGATGCGGTGCTACCGGTGCGTATTAAAGTCTCTCGTGCATAACTGGTCACAATCTGATACTCATCGCCATATTCAGCGAAGAAATATTCGGCCCAGTGCTTACCGTGATCACCTCAGACACGCTGGACGATGCGCTCGACATTATCAATGAAAACAAGTACGGCAACGGTGCTGTGATTTTCACGCAGTCGGGCGCGACAGCAAGGAAATTCGAGTCAGGGGTTAATGTGGGGCAGGTGGGTTTCTATCATTTCATGCGCTGTGATGTTGGTGCTTGGGGGCACTGCTTAAAAATGAGAGGAACTTGAACCGATGCTAATATAATCTCATCTCGTGCCTCTACAGGTTGGCATCAACGTTCCTATTCCTGTTCCTTTGCCTATGTTTGCGTGGAGCGGTAACAAGGGCAGTGTGCTTGGCGATATCGGGTTCTATGGGAAGAGTGGAATTAATTTCTACACCCAAAACAAAGTAAGTCTAATCAAGCCTTCTGTGTTTGAACTTAGTTGTTGACTTCGTCGGTGCAGACCATAACGAGTCTCTGGCGCCAAGAGGATGCTATCGGCAACAAGGCGTCAGTAGATATGCCCACACACCACTGAGCGTGCGAGCCATGATCATAGCATGTGCTGTCCCTAAGAATGAAGACAAAGGAAAAGGATCACCAACTTGTCTGTTATGTACTCATTAAGCGATATTTCCATTATCAACCATTTGTATATCTCGTATCTTCGTGCATAGAATCAAATTGCTTTCTGTTCTACCCACCAGTTCACTTTATTTGATCCGAGTTCTCGAGCACAGAAAATATAAATATCTTCCAAGAACATTGAGCTTCACGAGGTCTCGTCCGATTAATCACTAGCACCCCCAGCTCAGCAGTGCTCTGCATCAGTCAGTGTCCTAACGACACTATGCACTTGTAGCAATCCACGTTGCACCCAGCGGAGCAAATTCTCCTCTAAGCTTTCAGTCTTCCGTATTGTCTACGTTCACGTGATACCTATCAACTTTTGAACCTGGACGGTCGTGAATTCATGAACACCTGAAGTTCCAAAGCACATATGCCCTCACCCCCGATCCAAGTCTTCCTCACGACGATCGCATCGCAGGTCGTCGTACGGAAGCGCCAAGGTTCGTGCATAGACGCTCAACGTGCAGCACGTTGATCTACTATCATATGAACCAGAATATATTCTTCGCATCCTCCAAACCAAGAAGATCCCATATACCTCGTATGATCTTGCCTCTGACGACGATGCCAAACGTTTGTGGAGGCGTAAGGCCCCGCCTGGTGCGTTTTGATCTCATCCTGTACTGATACTGCGCTCACAGTGCCTTTCGGACGATTCGGCAGATAAGCAACAGCTTCCAGGTATACTCGTAGGCGGCAGATTTATTGGGGTATGCCCTTATCCATGCCTTCCGAATACATACGTACAGTACTCATGGCAGCTGCGCCGAACAGGACTTTGATGCCTTGTAAGCCTTCTCTCCTACCCTGTTGTGTCTCAATCCTGTTTTACCCCATATAGCGAAGAAGCTGTCGAAACCGAAGGGCTGGCTGGCTTCTTGCGGCTAAATGAAAGCTGGGACATTGCCATCGACGAAGACCGTCCGGCGCCCGAGGTCAAACCCGTTGGTGTGCCCGGAGCCGTCCCCATCGCGCAAATGACGCCCGAACACCACAAGCCCCGATTCTTCCCCCGCGACCCAGATACCCCACTGAAGCCAGTGAACAAGCACGAGGGCTTTGATGTGAGCACGGAGCTGGAGGGGTATGGGTTGCAGGGCGTAAGGGTAACCGATGACGATTTGAGGTTGTTGGTTGAAGAGCTTGGGCTCGAGGGAGATGATGCAGAGGATATGGTGAAGAGCTTGGGTGGGAATGGGAAGGGTGCTCCCCAGAAGGGTGGTGAGGGTGACGAAAAGGCGAAGGCGAAGGAAGCAACGACAAGCAAAGACACTAAGAACGCGAGCGCGACAAAGGAAGACAACAAATGACCCTTAGGGACTGATGTATTATATCTGTTTGATCTATATACCAGCCATGGAACAATAGAACGAAAGTATTAGCGTCTGGAATTGGTCTGGAATGTGCAGAACTCTGCCAGCCGGGTGTGATTAGGTTACTTAGGCATGTTCTTCCTGGATGTGAAATGATAAGGCATCTAACGTTGAGCTCCTTACAGCTTGCTCATCGGCATGTTGACAAGAAAGCCACCATCGAGTGCAATGGTCGCGCCGTTCACGTACGCGCCAGCCCTGCTAGCCAAGAACAGCGTGGTCCCTGCGATGTCCTCAGGCGTGCCAAAGCGATTCGTCGGGACCTGGTTGATAATGATGTTCCCCGCAGCTTCAAAAAAATGGGCCGTCACTATAAGATTCAGGTCAATGAAAGGCCAAAAACAGAAATGAAACCGTGATGAACTTACTCTTGCTTTCGAACGCGCCTGGAACGTCAACCCGAGTTGGTTAATTCAGTTGGAAATGAATGAAAGAGCAGACTGACCACAGGCTATAGTATTGCTGACTATGCCTTCAGGCCCAAGACGGCCGGCGAGGTGGCGACTGAGATGATGGAGACCAGCTTTGGCAGCAGCATAGGCGTATGTGTCATGATCGGGCACACCGATGCCCTCGACCGAGCCAATCTGATAGGATCAAAAGAGAAGCCCATTAATAGAAATACTTCTCCGAAGATGCAAGGTGTACTCACATTGATGATACGCGTCGGATCATTATATACAGCCCCTGTCTTACCACCTTGAGCTGCGCCCGCGCGTAATAATGGCAGCAATTTTTGCATCAGAGTGAACACACGTTGCAAATTCAGAGTGAGGACCTTTGAAAAACCCTCGTCCTTTGTTGTATGATGTTCAGCGAGACAAAGCGAAGCCGACGGTAGTTAACGTACTGGGTATTCATCGATAGGTTCTGCCCATGTTGTCCCCGCATTATTGATGAGGACATTAAGAACGGTTTCTCGCGCGGAGAGTTCTTGCACAAACCGCTCGACCTCAGAAAATTTGGACATGTCGGCAGGGATCGCGGTGCATGAACCTGGACCACTGGCTCCGAGTTCTTCTGCGGTGGCTTGACATTCTTTTGCAGAACGGGCCGAGATATAGACCTATCTCAGCGCGGTTCAGAGGTCAGGTCCCCATCCATCTGCCAGGAAGTAACACACCTTAGCACCGTTCCTCACAAATGCGGAGGCAATCTACAAGAAGTAACTCAGTCTTTGCCACCATGCAAAATCAGACATTTGGCACACACCATTTTCCCAATCCCACGAGAACCTCCTGTCACGAGAACTACCTTCCCTACGACTGCGAAGAGATTTTCGACCTGCAATGCGCTCATTTTAGCGGCGCAGTTTGTGCTCAGAGTGTGTGTAGTAATAATGCAGTCCGTAAAATGAATCTGCTTTCATTCTTTGTTAGTCAGTACTAATAGCGACGAATTTCAGGGAAGAGGAAGAGGTGCCGAGACATGTGGAGCGTATGGTTTCGCGGACTTCAAATTGCTCTTGTCTACCGTAACTTTCAAGTTTTGCCGTATGAAGCCAACACAAAAAGAACTCATTAACCTGATACAGCGGTGTGAAACACTGGATTTACAGGCGATTACAAGAGGCGAGATTGTACCTACTACTACCACTGGGGACAGAACTATAAATACAATTGTCAGGTGTGGCAATGAAACACGTCCGTGGAGAAAAATTACACAGTAAAATTAGTTCAAGAGGAAACATCTAAGGTTCAGAATCGTAGAAAACATCTGAGGCTCTTGAGCGACGCCGCCGTAATGGCTGTTCAGAGAACGTAACCGCAGGAGGCATATCAATCGGGACATCCTCTGTTTTATATTCCTGTGATTCCGTTCAGTAAACGATTGTTAATTAATAAAACTTGACAATAGACGAACGCTTTGCGAAGCATTTTCATTTCTTGGGGATAGCTTTCTCCTTTGCCGCCTCTTGCGGTATATGCGCTCTTTGGCGATTTCTTCGGTCAGCTCACCAGATCCGTCAGCCTCACTTGGGAAGCGCCACTGAATTGCAGGAAGTATGCATGCCGCAAGCACAAGAAGAGATATCACGAGAAAAGTGGCAGATGATACAATGGCAAAAGTAATTGGGAAGCGTGTCACAAGCCCCCTATGTGGTAGCAGGCCATAAGGTTCGGACGAATGCAAACGGTGACAGATGTACTTACCGAATTCCGTGGCGCTTGACGGTCCCTCTCAGGGATGCAGAAAAAACGCTTAACTCTCGTCCTTCACCATTACCAAGGGCCCTCCATCCATCCCTGCGCCCCAATTCCACTCTGGCGATGACGCGAGACGCGCCGGGTGCGTGCGACTCAAGGAAGAGAATGTCAAGGTTGACTAACTTGGGCGACGACCATATTCGGCTTTTTGTAGGTGGCAGAACTATAGCCTGGGGTGTGTGAGCGTCTTCTCTGCGGACATACCGTTCAGTACCTACTGGTTTCCTAATGGATGTCAGAGTTCTATTAGAAGGCGTCGAGAGCGTCAAAGTAGTCATGAAGTTCCCTAGGGCAAAATTCGTCTCTGATGCTGGTATAACGAGGTGCATGGAGATATCATAGGGTTGACTAGGTGCCAGAGATGGCAACGATATCTCAGCATACGGAGAAGTACCATCGCTATAACGAAGCGAGTACCATGAGCGACAACCGGACGGCTGGAAGAGATCTTACCCATATTGCAGATACATAGGGGACTCCCACCCTACAGCAACATTCTTCCAAACGTACCAGCCCGAAAAAAGGGAGAAAAGTATGATAACTGGAATTAGAGCAAGACATACGAATAATGGAATCAGCTGAGGTGCTACTGGGCGAAAGATGTTCATGATGAACCGAATGGCACTAGATACAGCATTTGCGAGCCAAGAATACTCTTCATGCTCTTCATAGGAGAAGGGCTTGGAGTCCTCAGGCTCGACCTTGGCAGTTGGCGTCGATGAAGCCATGCTTCATGTTCAACTGAATTGCAGACCCGAATGGGGGATGTTACCACGTGACCACTCGCGTGCGTAAGTAGTCTCTTCATCTCAAGACTTACCCAGTAGCGAACTGTCAGGGACTCTCTCATTCTGCCATCGTACGCTCATGCCCGAGTATCGGATAAACCATACTGATTGATTCTTCTGCTCATTCAAACTAGATGATACCTGATATCCAGACCCTATTGGGCGCCAACCCATCCACTGATTCCATAACCGTGTTTCTGAAAGATCTGGTTCAACACTCTAACACGAGCTTGACAGCTCCCGAAGTGAAATCATACTCGGATGCAGTCTACTTCAACTACTATCCCCTAGGAATAAGCTTCCTCTATATCCCTCAGAAGGGGTACAAACCCACTGGGGGGCTAAAGCTCGAGGACCTTCAAGTTGATTCACTAGTACTTGACAGCATTAACATCTACAACGCCCCAAAGCCTAAGGCGACCCCCGCAAAAACAACTACATCCAGTCGAACAGCGGAGCTCGCATTTTCTACCTATCCCGTGTTAAAGTGGAAGCTATCGCTCTCACCTGAGGCCTCGGCGTCCAACGAGTCGATCGAGATTTCGCTCACAACAAATGGTAAAGATTTCGTCAGCTGCCTCGGAGAACCTGATCGGAAAGGCGGTGGTTCTGGGCCTTCATCTGGATCCATTGGCATTTGGTGTGAGTGGTCGAAGCACGGAATTATGGTTGAGTTTGGAGGGGATGAAGCCAGAGGACCACAAGCCTGGGAACGTGGCAAGGATGCCATATGGAGGGTTATCACGGTATTTCCCCCAAAGCAGGAATAGACTCGAAGGTAACAGCTTATGCTACTGAGAGTTCTGCTTTTCGCTGATCCGGAGGCAGCAGAAGGATAATTTTGAGTTTAGTCTCCCATAAGCAGACCATAGAAGCTGTGTCCCTTCTGCGTCACGATGTGCTCGTCAAAAGCAAGCTGCCGCTGACGCATGCAGATCTCTGATAGTGTGCCGCGTCCTTGCTCTCATGATGATAATCTTTTTCTCGAGCTCAGACAACACCAAGACCTGGTCCTGCGGGAAACTGTCATTGCATCCCCAGTTACTTGTTCCTTGGATCGACATTCAATCGTTATAAATAAGGCTATAGGTAGACACTGAATGCGACGGGCTACTGCCTAGACAAACGCGGCGACCAGAGCAAGTGAGAAGAAACAAAGAGCCATTTTCTGCTTGGAGGCATTACTATATGTAGAGGTCGGAAACTATGGAGACGCAAGGACTTAGTCTTGTGGGAAGGTTCTAAGAAACCTTAATTACTCATAACCCAGGTTAAAGGTAAAGCGTGGGGGTGGAATTTCAGTGCAACCATAAAAATATGAACTTTGTTGTTCATTAAGAATAGCACCCGTGAACCGACCAATGACATGTTATATGTGTGAAATTCTGGCTGAAATACTGTGAGATCGGTGAAATGTTGAGTGAGACCTCATAAAGAGTCGTAGAATTAACATTACTATCAGTCTCGTCAAATTTCCATCATGGCTGCGCCTCCCGAAGTGACCAATAAGAATCTTACTGGAAAATATACTATGGTTCGTCTGCTTAAGTTATGTACCTTCAAAGTGACGACTCTGATGATGTCCATGGGTGACAGAACAAGACATTGAGCGATGACAGCGACGACATCCTCAAGCTCCAGGGCGTATCTTGGTTCAAGCGGCGTGCCATCTCAATGTTTACATTGACACTTGGCGTCAAGCATTATACAGATGAGGCCGGCAATGAGCACATAGACGTCGAGCAGACTCTGTCTGGCGGTATTAAGGGCACGAATGAGGACCGCACCCTTGATTGGGAGGAACGTAGCGACATCGACGATGTTTTCGGTGCTGTGATCGGACAATCAAAGAAAGTCAAAGCTGAGGAGGTGGAGGATGAATTCTTGAAATCTGGCTGGACGGAAGAGGCAGTTGAAGACGGGTTGGTTCTCGCTGTAGACTGGAGCGATACTCCAAAAAGTGGCATGGATTGGAGGGCAGAAATGGTATGACTTTATCATTTTGTCTTACTTGCCGTCCCTCATATTTTTTAGACATGGGGGTTCGAAATATTGAATGGCGAAAGGAGACACGCAAGACATTTGAAATTCACATCATCAAATAAGAAAGATGGTCCCATCTTCAAACGCCTGTATTACGATTACAGTGAGTCACTTCTCGCAGTGATCTATACGCTTATGACAATTTTTCTCCTAGTCGGACCCAACTGAATACCACGGACCTTTATAGGAATGTACAATAAGAGCTGCTATGGCGAGCATTGTATCAACTTACATTCAATTAAAATCATTTGTCCAAGGCCGGGTCTTAGTGATTACCCCTCAGAACACAACGTTGCCAAAGAGATGTCAAATTTGGGGTAATCGGGCATGACCTGGTGTGACCGAGTTCATGACCGGTTACGCTGCCTGAGACAAGAATAATTGTCGTACCATCGTCTATAAGGCAATTTACGTGGATGGCTCTCTCGCGTGCTGAAGCCTCGGCGGCCAAGTCCAGCCAACTGCGCATCCCCGAAGTAAGTAACTTGAGTGTCTATCTTATATTAAGAACTCACGTTATTCTCGAAGCGCTATCACTCGGTCAAGGGCCGGTGCCCGGGAAGATCAATCTCCACGTGAAATCAAGGCTTTCTACTGGCAATATAAGAAGCCAAGGCATAATGTCCTTGCTACTTACTGTTCCACTCATTCACGACCTCTTATCACCATGGCTTGTCCTAAAACCATTACGACTAAAAATCTGTCAGGAAAACTCAGACTCGTGGGTCCCTACTTTGATGTACGGACTATAGCATAATGCTGATGATTCATGGCAGAATAAAACGCTGAGCGACGACATTGACGAGACCTTGAAACTTCAGGGCGTTGGCTACATAAAGCGTACCGCTATCGCCAACTTCACCCTTACACTGGAACCCACTCAATACACGGACGATGACGGCGTGGAGCACATTGATGTCAAACAGACACTGTCAGGAGGCTTCAAAGCTCCTGCAGATAGTCTACTTTTGAATGACACGGAGATTCCTAAGAACGATGACCTCTTCGGACATTTGATCGCCAAAAGTTGGCGAGCAAAGGTCGACGAGCTTGATATTGATTTCTTGAAGGAAGGTTGGTCAGATGATACTCTTGAGGATGGCCTCATCGCCGGTGTCGTGAAAAGTGACACCGCCAAGACCGGGAGGGACTGGGTCATAAACGTGGTACGTTTGCTGGTTCGGTCTAGCGGACATATGATCTTAATGATCTACATCAGGTTTGGGGTTTCGTCGTCGTCGAAGGTGTAAGGAGATTTGCCCGACGCTTCAGATTCACCGTGAAGGATAGGTCTGGACCTATCGACGTCAAATTGTACTACGACTATCGTGGGTACCTCCCGTCCTCTTACTTCCCAGTACTGACTGAGCTTCCCCTCAGTGGAATGAGCCTTTACGAGAACAAATCAAACTGTGCCTGTACAATGTGTATAATGAACATATGATTGAGCTGCATGCAATTGATTGGTGTATCCTTGCGCTGAGTCTGAGGAGACAAAAATTAGGACAAGCACATGTGTCTGAGTTCTCCGCGCTCTTGCGATGAGCAGTTGAAATAAGGTCGATGAAATTATGAACATATTAATCCAGCAGCTTAAGTGGGACAGGTCGTTTCTACTTTCTTTGATGTATTAGTACAAGCAACGTCAAGCATGAGCGATACGCGATAAAAGTCAAGTTGGGGTCACGTGGCAACTATAAGTAGTAGGCAACCGTAAGCATGGACCAGGTTGCAGCCCAATCAGCCAAGTTCAACCGTCAACCGTTTTCCATAGCGTCCTCCACTACCTATTGCTTGTAGTTCTAGTCCATTTAGACATTCAGTCCGCATAGCCGATCACGATGGATGAAGAATACGATGTAATTAATCGCCCCTGATTCCATCTCATTCATCTGTGCTGACATCTTATCATCACTGGCGTTTGCTGGTTGGTACGATCTAGGTCATTGTCCTTGGCACTGGCCTCACTGAATGTATCCTCTCGGGTTTGTTGTCCGTGGAGGGGAAGAAAGTCCTCCACATGGACAGAAACGATTATTATGGTGGAGAGTCGGCCAGTTTGAATCTGACACAGGTGGGTGCCTTTCTCGTAGCAGACTCAAGAACTCGACACTAACGAACACACACGATTTCAGTTCTTCCGTAAATTTCGCCCAAACCAATCTCCACCCACCGACCTGGGCCGTGACCGCGACTATGCAGTTGATCTTATCCCGAAGTTCATCATCGCCTCGGGTGAACTCGTAAAAATACTCGTTCACACTGATGTCTTGCGATACCTCGAGTTCAAGCAGATCGCGGGCTCATTTGTGTACAAGAATGGTAAGATCAGCAAGGTCCCGAGCACGGAAGTGGAGGCAGCGAGGAGCCCGTTGATGGGTTTGTTTGAGAAGTATAGAGCCAAGAAATTCTTTGAATTCCTGCAGGGGTGGAAGGAAGGAGATCCGGCAACTCATCAAGGTGAGAGCCTGTATAATCATGGGTTGAAGGCTCGTTCATTCTAATGTGGGAACCAGGATTGAATCTCGACAAGGATAGTATGAGGAAAGTATACCAACACTTCGGATTAGAACCCGGCACTCAAGACTTCATCGGACATGCTCTGGCACTCTATCTCGATGATGAGTGAGCGTGATCTCCCCACACTTCGCCAAGCCCACTAATTCTTCTCCACAGCTACATCAACAAACCTGCTCGTGAGACTTACGAGCGTATCGTCCTGTACACCACCTCTATGGCACGATGGGGTAAATCCCCTTACATCTACCCTCTCTATGGGCTTGGCGAGCTTCCCCAATCTTTCGCACGTTTGAGTGCAATCTATGGCGGGACCTACATGCTCGATAAGCCGATTGATGAGATTGTGCTCAACAAGGATGGATCATTTGCGGGTGTCCGCAGTGGAGCAGAGACCGTCCGTGCTAAGATGGTCATTGGTGACCCGAGCTATTTTGGCGCGGGAAAGGAGGCTGAGGGTGGCAAGCTGAGGGTGGTCGAAGATGGTAAGGTGGTGAGGGCGATCTGTATCTTGAAGCACCCGATTCCTGGTACGGATGAGAGCGATAGCGTGCAGATTATTATCCCGCAGAACCAGGTAAATAGGAGGAATGGTAAGCGCTTGTCTTGTGATGTTCTCGTATGAGTCATGCTCATGGTATGGCATAGATATCTACATCGCGATGGTGTCCTCGACACACAAGGTATGCGCGGATAACATCTATGTTGCAATTGTCAGCACCATCGTCGAGACTTCCGTTCCTGAGAATGAAATACAGCCTGGTCTCCATCTCCTGGGCAGCATCCACGACAAGTGCGCACACTCCTTCACCTTTATTTATTCTCATTCATTCCAACTAATCCAACAGATTTGTGACCGTTTCCCCCATATACACTCCCGTCGCCGACGGGAAGCAAGATCATATCTACATCACACGCTCATACGACGCAACGTCACACTTCGAAACTGTCGTTGAAGACGTGCAAGCCGTGTTCAAGCGTGTTATGGGCAAGGACCTCGAGCTCAAGAAACGTGAATCTGATGTCGAGCAATGAAGGCAATGAGATCTTAACTCCACGGCCACTCTCTGCCATAGTCATACCTTATACAGTGTACACCCGGATCAGGCAACAAAACCTTCCCTGCTAGTTTGTTTGTACTCTTTAGTCTTTCGCTCATCTACCCTCTCTACATTCGATCACAGGTCTTTTCACTGCATTTTTGCGAACAATTGAATCATGACTGCCTTGGATGGATGTATATTGTTACGCTTGATCTCGGACCTCAAGAGTAAGTATCGCCCAATGTTACAGCTAGCCACTCAGATTTAAGGTCTTAACACGCACTGGTTCTCATTTAAGATTCCAAAAGCTCATGAGGTGATAAAAATCTACTAGGATCAGGCAAATGAAAACGAATCCATACTGAACTCTGGCACTTGGATATCCTGCTTGGCAGATTTAAGTAGGCTACCGAGGCCTGCCTTGCGTGCTAAGAGGTCACTCTCCTCTTTTATGGTCTCCTGCATGGGTGCCTTGACAAGCGAACGGTCAGGAGAGACTCTGCGTGTTGAAGCCGGAGATGCAATGTCCATGTCAATCATAATCGACGAGCGTCTGCGTAGCCTGGGATCCAGCACGAAAGATCTCCGCAAAGTAGTATATGGAGTTGGTGGGGGTTCTGTCGGGGCAGTGACAGATGTCGATGGGCGTTCAAAGGACCACGAACGCACGAGATCCAGCGCTAGTGCATGACAGCCTGTAGAGAAGCTAGTCAGTCAAACTTCAACTCAACATATGATTGCACTCACCCATCCTGCAGAACACACGGGCAATCTGGAGCACAAAGTTGAATTCAGAGCGCCCTGATATCTCGCTTGTACCCTTGGCTGTTTGCAGCGTCTTGGAGCGCAGCTGGGAGAATAATAATGCAAGACTAGGATCATCGTAGTGGGGTTCACCGATTTCTGCCACTTGTATATCTAAAGCATCGGCAATATCTCGCAAGGGTGTCTAACCAAATGTGTGAACTCTCAAGGGTTACATGAAAGAGCGACTCTACTTACCACCAATATCCTGACAGCAAAGTCCCTTCGGTTGAGCATCCAAAAGGCCCAGCTCCCAAGCCATCGATTACCTTCACGAAAGGCGGTAGGGATCACAGTATTGTGTAGTATATCCCGCAGCACAGGACCATCCGAGCCTCCTTCCACTACGCGAGCGAGAGCGATCGCCAGCTGAAAATCCGACAGATGTCTGAGGCAAACATGAACGGCGTCTTTCAGACTCCCTCCCAAGAGGAAGAACGCAGCAGCGTACTCTAAAGCGATCATGTAATGGCAAAATCCACAAGAGGGTATGGAAACCTACCAAATCTCTGCTTACCTAGCAGAGCATACGCATTCTTGAGTGCTGCAGTCTTCCGTTTCGGCTCGTTGAAGTCGTTCGCGAGGAACCTGAGCATAATGGCTTGTTCTCTGTGCCATGCAGCTTGCTTCCACAGGCCATGCACCAGCTTCACCTTGCCCAGTGCGAAATAGAAGAGTGAGCATGCTGTAGGGTCACGATTATCGCCAGCCATGTATTCATTCCGTGCGATGACTTCCATGTGAGCCCTCTACATACCCCCGAAACTCAGCATGGCTCAACACACAGTGCGAAAGTGAACATACCAAGGATTCATCCGAATTCAGCCATATGAAGACCCCGAGGGCTCGGGCATCAGGCCAGAGCATCCTTCCATTGCACGATGCCGTAGATGTGCTTAACAAAAGCCCTTGGCTCTCACTGTGGAAGGCCCAGACCATATCACGATATCGCAGGCGTTCCCTCCAACCGGTTGATCGTGGTATTGCGCCGTTTGAGCGTGGACTGCTGGGATCAGATGTGACTCGACGGTTGAGGATATAAAACGACCGCATAGAGATCACATAGCGAAGGCCGTTAGCGTCCAGTGCTCGTCTCTGTTCTTCGATCTACACACAAGGTAAGTTGGTGATGGTTAACCATACATTCGTACACTGACCTCGAGGGTTGTCTGAATAAGAACCAGAAGATGTGCATGCTCATTAGGAGTCAAATGAGGAAGAGGTCGCGTTTCAAGTTGCTCTATGAGCGTCTCTACCGCATGGCGGGAAAAGACGGTTTCATCCGGTCTTTAAAATGTGAGCAGTTTCCATAGTGTTATAGGACAACACACTCACAACGAGTTCTCCTGCGGTGTGCTGAACAGGAAATTATACCGTTTTGAAGGTTTGATGTTCTGTGAGAAAATTACCACGAGTGACGACAGAGTCTTGAAACAACTTACAGATATCACATGCTGACCTCGCAGGTACTGTTCCACCGGAAAGGCATTCCAGTGAAAATCCTGCGTAGGATCTTCGTATATAGCCTTCACGACCAGAGATAGAGCAACGATGATTTGCTTCACCAGCTCCACCTTACCTACAAAAAAATTAGATCAATTTCCTATTCCATCCACAATACTTACCCCAAAGCAAGCACTGCAGAAGCATTTGCGGATGGTAATCCTCCAGGGGTCCATTATGTCGAGCAATATACTGAAACAGGGGTTCTTGATCCTTTTGAAGTGCTGTTTGACCAAAGAGAAACAACTGGTGACTCGCTGCGATCAAGAAGGACCCATTTGCGAGCCATATTGAATCGCAGATCGGATATGAGATGTAGCTTGCGAGTATTCAGTCGACTCTCAACGCTCGTTGAAACACCAAACGTACTTTCTGATATCCACTTTCCAACAAATAGCCCATGCAGGGTCATCATTAAAGTAAGTTTTCCTTTGCTGGCACAACAGCTCAACATGATGTGTGAAACCGACAGCCAGAATTGACTGATTATCGGGAGTTGATGTCCAGTCCAAGTCACCGATATGTTCAGAAGTACTATCAAAAGGATGGATGAGGTAGTGCTGAAAACAGACTGTCTCGCCCACCTGAATATTCTGCGGTGCTCGAGACCTGAGGCGAATTCAGATTCTTTTGAGTCCCAGATCGTAAGCTCTTCGCCATCTGGTAGTCGTACAACTGATATCAAAATAGCATATGTCAGTTATCACAGCTCTGCATAATGAAGAAAAAGTTGTTCACCTAGTACAGACTTTTTCGCAGAACTGCAACTCGCCAGGGAAAAATTCTTCCTTCCTGTTTTGACCTTGCCTGTGCATCTCCACCCAGAGGATGTTCCTTCCTCTGCTATCCAGAACGAAAGCTCGCCATCGTCAGAGATACTGAGTAGTGTGTCATGTTCCTCCAAAGAGCTATCCCTACTCCATGACATTGGATCGACGGGGATGATTAGCTTGGGCTGCTGGGCCAGTGGTAAATTATTCTGGGAATGCAGACGTAGGGTTGGATTAGGGTTGTTGTCAATATATATGTATACGATGGAACTGTCTGAGGTTAGGCCAACAATACATTCATGCGCTGTCTTCGAGGGTGCCGAAAATAAGTCGGTGATAGAAGGGACTGTAAGCGCTGAAATGGGCTCCGAATGTAGAGTCAAGACCGAGGTTTCGGACGAGTACGTCGCTAGTAGCTTACCTGCACCACAAATCAGGCTACATGATGTGCAAAACGAGATCATCTTACCGCCATCCATAACCACGACCTGGTCCGCATTAGACCATCGTCTTCCTCGGGCAAGCTGAGACCCCCCTTCAATGACCCGCCAAACTTCCCCTCCATCAGCGCGCACGACTGCAACGCCTCTTCCGGCAGGCGTCCTAACCAGTCTTCGTATCTTGCTCTCCTCACGGGGTAACCTATCAAGTCCTTTGGCATTAAGGTGCAGTCCTGCGGACTGACCATCGAAGAAGGCTAAGGGTGACACCTCGAATGTAGCCAGGGGAGTAGATGTTACCATGGTTAAACTGGTAGCATCAGGATGTGGGAAAAGGTACAGATGAGAAGGAAGTTGAGAGAGAACATTCAAACTCGTATGTGAAAGGGCAAATTGACGTATGAGCGTCGGAGGTCTCCGGTCAATGTTCTGCGACCCGTTTGAATTTACGCCAAACGAATAGATATGCCTAGCACCTACCGCGACGGCACTGACAAGCATAGAGCCATCCCCAAGAGCGCGAACAAAGAGATCCCAACCTTCTTCATCAATTTCTCGCAACCTCTTGACCTGAGGACTTGCGTCTTCGGTAGCTGACGCTAGGACGGCTTTGATCGTCCGACGGACGACTTCTTTATCCAACCACACGACCGTAGACTTCCTGGGATGTGATCCAAGTTTTGCTGCAATGAGGAAGGGAAGCGAAGAGAAGAGGTCAAGGGACGCATGTAATTGCAAACGATGCGGTGCGTCAATCACAGGGAGGAATATCCGCAGCGTGGAATCAGATGTGATGGTGTAGAGTCCGGGATCATCACTGCACCCAATGTGTAAGCCTCGTGTCAAAAGTAGTGTTTGAAATGCTCGACCTTCGTGATGCCTGAGAAAACCTCCACATCAGGTCCGTAACGGGCCTGGGGTGAGGAATGGCTTGCACCAGGCGGCCAGAAGTAGTTGAATATAATCTAACCAAATCATCATGCTATAAATCATAATTTAGTAGGTACTAGTGGCGGGGCGCGAGGTCCCGTACGTGAGATGTAGTGGCAATAAATGCAAGCGTCGGAGCAAATTTCACGAGAGACGGAGTTGCCACCCTGACGAGCGAGGTGAAATTGCTAATGAGGCGAAGGAACATGCACCGCTGTACCTTGCTTCCCACTTCTTTGACCATGTGAGAAGGTCATTTTCCAATATCAACGTGTAGACGGATAGGCCGTTCTGACTGCCAACTGAGAGAAGCCCTGAAAGGAAATCAACGATTGATGCGTAAAGGTACACAATACTGGTACCAGATCTGCAGTCCAAAGTTGTGACGGGGTCACTGTCTTGAAGGGAAATGGAAGAGTGAATTCTCCAGGTATTGTTACCTGACAATGACCATGCGGCGATGTGCATGTCCATGGAAGCAACTATCTACTTCGAGTATGTGACAGGATTAGGAGGGGGAGTAAAGGAGGAGATGCACGTACTACTTTCATGGCGGAGTCGACCGCCACGCAAGATATAGTTTGATTGAGGTGCTGGGTGCCAGGATAGATTTCCCCGAAGGTGAGCACGCGGACGAGGTTAAGAGTACTGGCATCCAAAATTACTACGGTGTCTGCAGAGGGGTACAGCTAGTTGAAGAGGATCTTAATCAGTATGAAATTGGGCAAATGAAGTGCGCACTATGAGGGTGACATGAGGTAGAACCAGCTGGTGAAGTGCACCAACTGGACAACCAGTGAATGTTTTC